TATAAATAATAATCCCATGGAAATTTAACACTTCACTTCCGCCACAATGAAAATTAATATCTTCAAGATGAAGCAAATCTTCTTAGATTTTAGTATCTTGTATTATTTTCAAAAGAGAATATCATACAAATGAAGTTTAACTCAAAGAAACATAACCTCAATTATTTGACTTCATTTCTGATTTAAAGCTAAAGTGGGACTTTTTAATGTGAAGTACTTTTTGTAACATCTTAAATTTAATATGTTTAAAATTAAATGTTACCTGAAAAAGTAGGTGGACTATACATATTAGAGTACAGTACACAGTCAATGTTGTACTTTTTTAACATGAAAACAAAGTTTTTAGTAAAAAAAAACATTTTCAGCATAACAAAGCTAGCATGTCCGTTTCAAATATCACAGAGTATTAAGTAAATTATTAAAACCTTGAACGTTCATCTAAAATTAGATCTGCTATTAATTACGGTTTGTCTTAACAAATGATACCATTCATAGGCATTTTTCTATGGCTACTGTTGTATAATTTAGAATGTTATACATTTAGATAAAATATATCATTTGTTACCGCCACCGGAACTACTAATTGTCTACTTTCAAGACTATTAAATATGTTGAAATATTATGTATCTTAACCTTTCTTATCGACATATTTACGAGAATGTATTGTGATTATTAACAATTTATATTATTTTAATACTTTTTTAGTTTAGTGTTTATATTTGTGTGGACCAAAATGTGCCCGAAATATGTATAACTATTTATATACATCACATTATTTACCCTTCTTTATATTTTTAGAGATAAATAATGTAAACTTACTTTACATGTTTTTTATTTAATCACTTCCTTTTCTGGGTGGTCTGATAAAAATGGGGAAAATAAAACGTTTAGGTTGTGCATTTTTTGATTTTGTATCCAAGGTTTTTAGTACATTTTTGATAAATATAAATATTGTGGTTTTCATATAAAAAAAAATAAAAAAAAGGATGTGTGATTTTTTAAATTTATGCTTCTGCGAATTTTCCCACTATTTTTTAATTTTACACTACTGTGCGAATTTGTCCTACCATTTTTTAAATTTGGGCAATTACCCGGTATTAAATAAATTAAATATAAGGGCAGTTTTCAATTATCCTATTTGGTTTAAACATTAATGTACTGTGCAGTTTTCAATAACCCAGTTTTAAATAAATCTGCTTATGTAATGTATTCCTGTGATGGATTTTTTTTTGGGAAATAAATAAATAAAAAAAATGGAAGGGAAGTTTTAGATTATTCAATTTTGTTCGAATTTTGGCAAAAATCCATTAATCTACGGATTTAAGGCGTTACATATTACATTTTACACAATTTCAGGGCATTTAGACAGTTCTTAGTATTTTATGAAGTTAAAGCCGTTTTAAAACTGCTTAGGTATACTGTCCTAAAAATCCTGTTTTTCGAAACCTACTTTATTTATATCGATATACAGTTTTTCATATCAAATTACACAAATAAATAATATATTATATGTAGGTATTTTTTATATATCTTGTATATTTACTTTTTGCGTTTATTAGCATTTGAGAAGACCCAAACATTATTATTTTTTAAATTATACTTGAAACCTTGTAAAATGTATATGGAAATGTTATGTAATAAAATTGTAAATGTTGTAATTCTACGCCGTGGTATTTTTTAATCAGGCATTTCTAATCACTTTTGAATTTCAGATATCTGAAATAAATTTTAGATACTGAAATTTAAGGTATTAAAAAGTACTTTGGCGTTTCTATTTTAAACAATATTTATAATTGAACTAATTTTAAACTAAAAAATAATGTGGAATTAAAAATATCAAAGTGACACTAAATTTCAAGTGAATTTTTGATTCAAAGTGATTTATGTGAATTTTCTATATCAAAGTGAAAATTTAAACTGATATTTTTAATTTACGTAAATTTTTGATATAAAAGTGAACAGAAAATTAAAAATATTAAAGAATTTTTTGAAATTTTCAAATCAAAATGATATTTTTAGTTCCTGGGGTTTGGACACCCCTGGTTAATGGTTCAATTTATCTACTTTAGGTTTATTTGCCCTATTCTCGTTCAATTATTTTGCGGTTCATAATATAAAAACTGTTATTAATAATAGGCATAATAATAATAATAATTATATATTACTATTTTTAATATTCACCTACACAGGTATTCTATTAAATCGTTTATTAGGTTAGCTGCTATTGGGAAGTAGTTCAAGTTGAAGGAAAACTGTTAAACTGAATCTTATTTGACAAAGCGGCAAGGTAATGACGTTTTTCTTTCTATGCCTTTTTATTTGTGTAAATATTATAAATAGGAATTAAATTAATAATAAATATTGTGCCTATTATTAATAAAAAACGTTATTATATAAACAAACAGTGCCGCAAAATAATTGAACTGAGATTAGGGCAAATATACCTAGTAGATAAATTGAACAACATCGCCAAGGGTGTCCAAACGGCGGTAATTAAAAATATCAATTGGATTTAAAAATATCAAATAATTCTTAGTTTTACTTTAATATATTTAATTCTTCATCCCTTTTAAGTTGAAAATAAGTGAAATTAAAAATTCACTTTGAATTTTAGTGTCACTTTGATATTTTTAATTCCACTATATTTTTGAGTTTAAAATTAGCTGAATATTGTTTAAAATTTTTGTAACAATTAAAAATATAACTTGATTAAAAAATACAACGGCGTTTCACACTATTCCTCATAATTTAACCAAGAATTAAAAATTAATTAATTTTTTCCTTTATTAATAAAAATTATTCACTGTTTTAAACCACTTATTTAAAATTTTAATGTATACAAAATATGAAAAACCGATTTTTCTTTAAAAAGTCATTTGGAGGATAAAATAAAATTAGTTTGTAATAAATATGTATATTTCAAAAAAAGTACCAATACCACCATAAATATCATTATGAATTATAATCATTCCGCGGATATCCGGTCGATGTTTAAAACAACTTAAATGTACTTTAATCGACGTGTTTTTAAAGAATGTCAATGCAAATTTAATCGTTTACACACTACATGTAGTAGTGTAATGCTTCTCATTTAATTTTATCAGGTTTTTAAGTGTTTTTGTACAACTTTTATGCAATCAACATACCAACGAAACAGTTAATAATAAATTGGAATATTATAATGATGTTAAAAAATTAGTTAAAAATAAATTTTTATAAAACCGCATTCGATAAAAAGTGCGATCCTAAATAAATATTTTTTAATTAACATTTACCAAGCGATAAAATTTTGTTTATATTTGTTTTTAACTGTATAACGATTTCATAAAGATTTAAAATTAGACATTTGTTTGGCAAAAAACTTAATCATCTGTTAAAAATATTAAAAAGAAATATATAATTTGATGCAAGTCTCTCTACATGAGATTAATTGTGTAAATATTTAGGCTGAACATGGCTTATTAATTATGTTAAAGAAAACAATGTCTAGAATCCAGGCTCCTCAAAGCAAATAGACAAAAAATGACGCAATTATTTTGCTTATAGTAACAATGAATGTGCTTTTTAAGAATATGATTTTAATAACGCTGCGGTGCAATTACTGTAATTAAAATGATCTCATTATGTATGACATGCTTTTTGAGAAATTGTAATTGAAATTGTGAACAACAAATAGTACATCAACATTTTTTTATGAAAAAATGCTAAAGTTGTAGATTTTTAAAAACGTCCGTAAAACATATAATGTTAATATCAAAATATAAAAAAAACAAATTTTTGTTCACATTTAGTACACAAAGCTCATAAACAATAATTGTTAAAAGTTTTAGGCTCCACATTTTTTGTCTTAAAACTTGTCTGACCAATAGGAAATGAGATAAAATGATTCATTTTTTCTTTCAAAAAGGGAATTTGTCATTCCACCTTTTGGACAGTCAGGAATAGGGTTTTTAAATTCCCGGAAAAATTGAGCCGCCTGAAAAAAACCGTTAAAAAAACGGAAAAATTGATTTTTGCCCTTTTTTCATTTAATATCTGTATCTGTACACTTATATCAAGAAAAAAGTGAATTTTCGATTCTGATTATAATAATTATTCCTATTATTATAATTCAGTAAGAATCCAGGTTCCAAAAAAAACATATTCGGTGCTGTATTAACATAACTATCGTTTTATTTGACACATCGATTTATAAAATTATAATATTGTAATTTAACTTTATAAATCATTCATTATTTTGTAAATGGATATTTTAAATGGACTCCCTTTTGCACCCAATCAACAGTATATTTAACTTTACGATTATTTTCTTAAATCAATATTGAATATTGAACATATGTTGTGTTTTTTTCTGTAATACATGAATTATCCTTAAGGATATTTTTTTTTCAAATTAAAATAATGTTAAGTTGTTAATTGCTTTCTATATTTTCAGAAAAAACTATTTTTCCCAATAAAGAAAATTTTTCCAAGGCCGGGAAAAAAACGGAAAAAAACAGTTATTTTCCCAATTTTTCTTTTTTTTTTCGACACTACCATAGTTATAGTTATAAAATATTAACTTAATTAAAATATGTCTTAATAAGAGAAAATTCCAAACAACCAAATTTTGCTTTTCCCAAATTTTGATAAACAATAAACTTGTCCATTTCTAAAATGTCATAAAACCGTATAGCTGTCCTGTTTAAAAATATGCTAAGACTCAAACTGGATTTATGGTTATAGTTTTATATAGAATTAAGAACAGATTTCCTATGGGTGTTTTGGTTCCAGTAAAAATTTCTTATTTTTTTAATTTTTCTTTTTCAATGAAAATGCTTTGACGAATTTTTTAGAAAAAAAAACTAAAAATTGCCTTAAATGGCCTCCACATAAGAAGTAACGTCTCAGTATATTTTTTTTATTTGTCTTCTCTTTTCTGAATATAAAATTATGTTGAAAAGAATTTAAATTTGACTAATTTTGCAGGAAAAAAATCGAAACATAGCCCTTGGGCCCATATGGCCCCACGCGAGAATAAACGTTACACCAAGCACGCGACTAACTAAAGGTTAATACGGATGTTTTTAATAAATTTCTTTATCTTTGTTAATATCATAAAACCACAACCTTTGTTAAAATAAAATATTCCACGAATTTAAAAAAATCATGCCCCATGACTATGAAACATGATTTTACATCGCATTTTTTCTATTGATATACAAATTATCGTGCATAATGAGGTTTTCCCATGAAGCGAATATAATATATTTAAATCCCTGAGGCGTTTTTGTCGAACACTTTATTTAGTTTGTTGTGGCTTTGCTCGTTCAGTCATGGCGTAAATTCCTGCATACCCCAATTAGTGTGTTAACAAATTAAAAAAGAAAAAAGAATGATGGATTGCACATAAACATGTGCAAAAGGTGTGAAAAATAAGCAAAGTGTTAAATAATCACACATAAACTTTATTAAAAATACAAAAAATACATTATTTAGTGTAAAATATAAATATATATTATCAAATTTATTTTTCATCATATATGCACCATCTGAATTAATTAATTGAAAACCTTAAGCTAATGGTTTGGGTAAAATTAATATAATTTAATAAACAGCAACTATAAAATCACAATTTAAAATATCAATTCAATTCATATTTATTAACTGCAAGAAAAAAGTAAGAAACATAAAATCTCATTTTACGAATAAAATAAAAAGGAAAATTTTAGTCAATAATGGTTAACATGCAGTTATTATTACATCATATTCGATAATCAATTAACAACATTTATGTCTGAAAAGTTGCTGTTAAAATTCTGCAAATAAGTGCACAGTTTGATACATTTTTGTCTTTAATTTATTAAATAACAACAATAGCAGTCTCAAAAATAACACCAATTGTTTTAACTAAAGGTATACGAAATTGGAACGTTTTAATAATTCGGCAAGTTATTTAAGAATTACCATAAATTAAATTAATTAACAATTGTATAACTCAAATTAAAATATAACAAATTTTGGCAACTACTTCGTTTTTAATTTTAATATTTGGTATTTCTGTTTTCAATAATTTCAAATATTTTGACTCCTCATTGACAAGTATTCCGTCAATTTCTTGATAAAGCATTATCAATAGGGTTTGGACATGCAATTGTTTATTGCATATTTGAAATCTACGCTACTAAAATGTTTAGTCATTTTTAACGAAAAATTGATAGCAAAAATTCAAAGCCATGTGATGTTTGTTATCTAAAATGAATAAATTGTATAAATTTATGCTGCACATAGTTTTTTAAATTTTCGGAAAAATTGAGCCAGCGGAAAAAAACTTATTTAATTTTCCGAATTTTCTGAAAAATTTTCTGCAAATTTCCTAATTTTCCCGTTTAAAATGCCAATAATGTTTTAAAGGCTCAAAAAAACCGATTTTTTTCGTTTTTTTTGCCAAGTGCGGAAAAAATGTCATGAACGGCTTTATATAACTTAAAAAATTATTCGTTTATTAAAATGTGTGTATTTTATAATTTTACAAAAAAATCAATTATTCCCAAAAAGACAACTTTTCCAAGGCCGGGCGAAAAAACAGAAAAAAGTTTTTTTTAGGACGCTTTAAAACTCTACACCCAAAAGTCCCACTTTGACATTTTGAATCCAAATAATTGAGGTTTAATGCTAATTTTGTCTTATTTCCTAAAAAATCATACAATGTTTGTATCTTTTGCGTATAAAGGTCCTAATTTAGAACACAAACTATACATATACTGGATTATTTTCAGAAAATAAGACATTAGCGTTAAACTGACAGATAGATAACCTTAATTATTTGTATTCAAATGTCAAGTTGAACGCTAATTTTGTCTTAATTTCTAAACATAATGTATAGCATATGTACTTTTTGTGGATAAGGCTTTTAACCGAGGTTTTAACTTAAAACACAAAAAATACATAATGTATAAATACATAATGTATTAATTCAAAAATTAAGACGAAATTTGCGTGATTAGATGTGAAGCATACTACACTCTGTTTGACATTTTAAATTATTTATTTATTCAAATGAATATTTTTCATTTAATCTTTTGTTCTTGAATTATTGACCTGCTTTTGTTTTTATAAAAACCCCTTACGGCCATTTCAAGCATACGGACGGGACAAATCACAAAACTGTTATTACAAAAAAAATTGTAAATAATTTATTATATAATATATGATATTTTGGTATCAAAATTGTCAAAAATATTCTTCTTTTATTAGGCTATACATGAGGTTAAAAAAACGCAAGAAACATTTTATAAAAGTAGAGATAATTTTAATAATTGACAGGTGTGGATGGGACAATATAAATCTTTGTCCCGTCCACACCTTTCAATTTTTATTTAATAAAAGAATATTATATAATTAATTATCTACAATTTTTTTTTATAAAAACAGTTTTGTAATTCGTGCGTTTCGCGCGCTTGAAATGGCCGTTTACCTTTGTTGTTAATTTTTTTTTTAAATGTTAACATACAAATTTTACATATTTTTTTAAATACGACCTTAAATAACGGAGCAAAAGCGTTAAAGTAAAAACAAAAAAAAAATCAAAAATTAAAAACAAAATCTAAAATAAAAAATATTTATTTGTAAAATGTATTGGTCTTGATGATATCAACTACCACAAAGTCTGTAGACTTTTTTGTCTACAACCTTTATTACTTGGTCCATTTTGAGTAGAATTTTTTAATATTTTATAATTTACATCAAAATAAAAAAAAACAAGAATTTCGTATACTTGTGGCCATCCTATAAACAAAAAAAAATAAATCCAAAACTTACTAAAACCTCAAACGTTCCAATTTCGCGTGGGGTAAAGCTCGGGCAGTTGTGTTACACTTAAAAAATAAATCTTATGTACAAATTTACGATGATCATGTAGATACGCTAGATTAGTTTAATTAAAAGTAGAATTCGTTTGACTAGGACGACTTTTTGCTGGGGGCGCCGTGAAGCTCTATGAAGGACTCGAGCGCCTGCGGCACTTGACCTCGGTACTTCAGCTTGTGGTGCTTCACCGCGTTCGCCGCCATGCACTTCAGACTTAACTTCATTTGTGTTTTCAGGATTATTTCGGCGACACCTGGAAGTACAAGGAGCAGGCTGATGGCTAACGAGAACGAAAGAAACGAGACGAGACGGGTCCAAAGAATTTTCGGCATACAACGTAATATATTTTAAGCGTACTAGGTTTTAGAGTGCATGGGTGTCCAAAACGTGCTATTTTGATTTTAATGAATTATTTAATCCAAAAAACAGTATTAATTATATTTTTTTATAAATACCTACAGTCTAAGAATAATTTTCATACATGATATACAGTAGACTGGGGCAAAAAAATCAACTATTTTTTTTTTTGAAAAATATATCGAAAATATGGTTTGGGGTTACAAAAAAAAATTATTGTGAAAGTTTGAGTCCATAACAAATATTTTTTTAAGAAAATTAAATGCTCTACAAAAAAGGTTAAAGTGAAATTTAGCGTCAGATGAACCGTTTCCTTAAAATCATGCCTTAAAAATTGGTATAGTTTTACATTTTGATCTTTTAAATTGCAACTTTGTAATTTATGTAAAAATTAGTACCCATAAACATTCTTATGGGAAATCAAATGCTTTACAAAAAAGCCTCTTAACATTTTTGGCTAAATTCACTCAATCAAAAGTTATTCAAGGTTAAAATTTCGTTTTGACTTCAAATTTAACCTTGAATAACTTTTGATGGAGTGAATTTAGCCAAAAATGATAAAAGACTTTTTTGTAGAGCATTTGATTTTCCATATGAATTTTTATCGTTTTTTTTCGGGTACCGATTTTTACATGAATTACAAAATTACAAAGTTAAAAGATCAAATTGTAAAACTATACCAATTTTTAAGGCATGATTGTAAGAAAACGGTTCATCTGACGGGAAATTCCAATCAAACCTTTTTTGTAGAGTATTCAATTTTCTTCAAAAAATATTCTTATGTCAATTTTGTTAAACTCAATGATTTGGGAGTTCTGAGACAAAAACTCGCTCAGGAAAAAAAAATCTAAAATTGCGATGATATTAATATTAATATTATGGACTCAAACTTTCACCATAATTTTTTTTGTCACCTTAAACAATATTTTCGATATACTTTACAAAAAAAAATAGTCAGGGTGTCCTGAAAATGGCGCACCTCAATGCGGTAGGCATTTTAAGTAAAATATAAAACATAGAAAACAATTTCCTGAAGCCGTTAAGTTAAAATGTTAAATTTAACCGAGTTATGACAATTTAAAGATTAGATTTTTTGGAGAAAACTTTAAACAATGCTAATTTCAGACACTTGTTTATTTTTTTCTTTATGAAATTTTTTAGATATGTGATCCAACAGCTTAGGAAAACACATCGTTGCCGAGTTTTTTAAACCTAAATACTTGAAACTAGTTGTTGGAACACATTTTTTAAATTTTATTCACACTTAAAATATCCTTCTCTACATCACGGCATACCGTTTATTGGGGCACCTTGTATAGATAGAATCTTTTAATCTTAAAAAATGAAAAATTTTGAGTTTATTTACCAAGTATCCCTTTACGTTTGTGTATCTTTTTTATTTGAAAAGCTACAAGTTGCTTCAGGGTTCGCCTGATTTAAATTATTTGATTTAAATCACGATTTAAATCAATTGCATTTTTATTTTAATGAATGATTTAAATCATTTAAAAAAAAATTCTAAAATCTATAAACTAAATCACAATAATATCTTGACTATTTAAATAAATTCATATGCATAGAAAAAGTGCCTATTTTGTAAATTAAAATAATGAAGGAATACACCAAAAATGCGGACGGTGGTTTATTTGTTTATAAAGTAGTGCCAATATAATATTATAGTCAAGTTATTTTTAGTATATTTTTTTAATGGTAGGTACAATTTATTAAAAAAAAGTTAATAATTTAAAAATAAATAAAAAAAACTGGGAATTTTGAAAAAAAGTAAGTTTCACATGTAAACATACACATCTATCCAATTTTCATCCAATTTGTGATATTTTTCGCCTACTAGATTTTTAGTTACCACCACTAGGGATGCACCGGAATTCCGGCGGTACCACTAAATCCGGCCGATCCGGCCAGTTGGCCGGAACTACCGTTCCGGCCGGATCGCTCCGGCCGGCCGGAATTTTCGGAACTTTTTGGAAATGTTTAAGTTTTAAATTTTTAATATAATTTAAATTCAAATATATGCAAAAAGAAAGAAAATTATTTTAAGGTTTTTTTAATTGGTGCCTACTTACCTATTGTTAAGTCGTTAATTAATCACAAATAATTTTTTTATTATTGGCAGGTGGCTGCTTTTCTCCAATTGAATGAGTAGAATTGTTTTAATTTTGTTAACGCTAATTAAAAATTAATATTTAAATAAACAGTAATTTCTATCTAGGTAAAATTAATAGTAATAAACACTCTGCATACTGTAGCTAGTTTAAAAAAAAGTAAAAATAAATCAGCCTCAATATTTTCAATGGTTTACGTATAAAAATAGGCATGCACATACATTTTAAATTTAGGTCCCGATCCGGCCGGAATTCCGGCGATCCGGTCCGGCCAGCGACCGAAATTCCGGTTCCGGCCGGATCGGCAAAATACCCGATCCGGTGCATCCCTAACCACCACCATATTTTGTTTTTTATATGGTCGCCATAGTGATATTTGAAATGTTCAGATACCTAGGAAAAAAATAAAAGATGGTGATGGTAACTTAAAATACAGTAACAAAGATTACTGTGTATGTTTACATGTAAAACCTAATTTTCTTTATAATTCTCAGAAATAACAAAGTTATAACAATTTTTGGTTTTGGAAGGTTTTTAGTTTTTTACAAATATAACCGACCTTGTAGCTTTTCAAATAAAAAAGATACCCATTACATGTATGTACACCATGTAAGTTTAATTTTGTTATTTTTTAAATTTTTTATTAAAATGATCCTTCGAATGTGTTACAACAAATTGTAAAATATTAAATATTTTTAAAATAAAATACACTTCTTAGCATCATACAATTAATACTTTAAAAAATCATTGCGGTTTTTAAAAAGCCGTTTTGCGACACCCATGAAATTTGACTTATTTTGAAAACTGCAAACTTGGGGTTTAAAACATATTTTATTGATTTATTTCGTTTTTAAGCTGAAATTATTTTTTTTTATTTTTAGGATATTAACTTTTTGTTTTAGATTTTTGTCATTGCTTTATTTTTATGATCTCAATTACTTTGGTTTATTTATTGTATATTATAATATTATATAGTATTAGGGCATAACATGACATAACACATCTTGATAATTTTAATTAAACATCTTAAAATTTTCAAGCAGACATCCTTAATTTGAAAATTTAAATTAAGAAATAAACTTTAAGTTGTTTTTTTAAATATATTGGAGCTGTGATGTATTTTTACTAAAAAGATTTTACTAAATTGACTGAACTATGGGTAAACCTCAAACTATTTAATCTTTTAATGAGGTTCATCTATCAATACTTTTGTATGTATGACTACTAATGATAATTATAATTATATGTGGTAATGATAAAGCAGTTTTCTCGATAAGTTAACAGAGGTGCTAGTCTTGATTGCAAAAGATATCTGTTATCTTTCAAGTTTAATAAGTAGGACCTATTATTCATTGTACTATAATAATTAAGATGCATCAATTCCGTTGGGGACCCTTTTTACAAAATAAACACAATAATCAAAATATGTATCCACGTTAATGATAATTTTTATGAATCATCATATTTTTTAAATGTTGATTGATAATATCGTATTTTTTCTAAATGTTTTTACAACTAAGTGAGTGTTTTTTGCATTATTATATCAATAAAGTATTTTTACAAAACACAAACAATTGAGTCTTATTTTAAAATCTACTATAACTACCACATGCAGAATACGAGAAAGGTAAAATAAATAATAATAAAAAAGTAAATCCTGAACATTGAAAAGTAATAGACTTTACTGTAAAAAATATGTAAAGAACTTTTATATTAAAATATTTTTTTAATAATAATTCAAATTTGTTGGGTAAACAATTAAAAAAAAACTGGCAATCTAATAATTTTTGGAAAAAATTGAGATTTTTTTTTGAATGAATCGTTTGTTATTGTATTTAATTTTTCTAAAAAAACTAAGTTTAAAAAAATACAATTATAAACAAAAAATGTATGGGCATCATTTACTACAATTTATATCATTGGGTTGATGCTCTAGGACAAAAAATACAAAAAGTAGATGGAGCTTAAGTTCCAAAAAAAGTTATATACTATTATTCACTTTTATAAAATATTCAATTTTTTTTTTTGGAAAACTGCATTTTCGGTTTGAAGATTTTTAGCTTTTGTTTCGTCTCTTAATACTAGAGACATCTTCAGAAATTAAACTGAAAGTGAATTTTGAGTTAATAAGTAATAAAATAACACAAACTCAAAATTATGTTTCAGTTTAATCCCTAAAGATGTACACTTGATGACATTCAAATGTGAACCGCAAAGTGTAATTGTGTTATTTAGACTTTGTATCATAGACGTATAATTGACAAATAGCTGTTATTTATTATTATCACAATCCGTTTCGCGCATACTAAAAATCACGAAGTTAGGCAACCCATTTTATCGACGGCCATTTTGATGTTGCTTACAATTCTAGTGCTTCGGGTTTGTGATTTATACAGATTAATAATCGTTTTAAACGTTGTTTCTTACAAAGGCACTTGTAGCCCTTAAAAGAGGCCTTAAAGTGCTAGGGGCAACCATTTTACTCCACTTTTGTAAAAAATTATTTGTTTATTCTGTAATAAATTTATTATCCTTAAGGATATTTTTTTAACTAAAATAATGTTAAGCTTTGTATATTTTCAGAAAAAAATCAATTTATCCCAAAAAATACAATTTTTAAAAGGCCTGAAAAAAAAAACCGAAAAACAAGTTTTTTTCTCATTTTTTTCGTTAAAACCCTGATATAAGGTTTATATTTTACAAAAGAGAAGTAAAATGGTTGTCCTTAGAAATTTAAGGCCTCATTTGAGAAACAACGTTTAAAACGATTTTTAATTTGTATAAACAGTACAAACCCAAAGCACAAGAATTGAAAACAACATAAAAATGGCCGCCATTAAAGTCTGTGCAGTGGTTTGCCTAACTTCGTGATTTTTAGTATGCGCGAAACAAGATCTATATCGATATACCTTGTTGTGTGATTTGTGAATATTATTATAAAATAGCTGTCAATTTATTAAACAAAAACGCTGCAGCATCTAACAGAAGCTCAGAAGTCAAGGGACATGGCAAAATTTAAAGAAAATGTGTCTTTAAGTAAGGCTGCTGATTTAAATGTTATTCTTGTGTTGGAGTAATATTTTTAATTAGATACAAAATATTTTATAAGAATTTTTATTCTGCAAATTAAAAATATTATAGTTCTTGGATATTTAAAAATTTATTTTAATTTTTATGACAAACTGATATTTTTAATTTAGTGAATAATTTAAATATTTTTAATTCGCTAAATTTAAAATATCACAGGAGACATTTTTCAATTTAAATTATTATTTTTTAAAATAAGCAATATTTTTAATTGAATGTGATACTTTTAATTAATTTTTTTTAAATAAAAATTATCAGTTTGGCATAAAAATTAAATCTTATTTTTAATTTAGCGAATTAAAAATATGTTTGACAAAAAAATACAAATATAAGAAACATGTGTTTTAAATTCACTAAATTCAAAATATCAGTTTGGCATAAAATGAAAATTAATTTTTAAATATCTGCTATAATATTTTTAATTAGCAGAATAAAATTCTTATGTGATATTTTTTATCTAATTGAAAATATCGCTCTAGGGTTAACACATAAAATTAATTCCTGAATAAAAAATATAATGGCGCCCAATAGAAGACCTATAAGATAAGGTGTAGGAAGGTTTCTAATGAGAATAAAGACAATGCTATCATTGAAAATAGACGCCAAAATCCTTTTGTGGCAGTACAAGAAGAAACATTATTCCCAGGATCTCTTAAAACTGCTTAAAGACGATTAAAACTAGCTGGGTTAAAAAACCGCGCTATCTAGAATTAAAAGACGAAACATCGGATAGTAACAATCTAAACCTGAAAATGCATTTTTTCCTTGACTCAACAGGCAACATAAAAACATTACACTTACTACCTGTCACTGATGAATCTAGAGGCGTCTCTCCCTTGATGTTGACGCAGTCTAGATGAGCGCCACCTTCCGTCAGATCGGTGATGATCGAGTGCAACGTCAAAAAATCCGAGATGGCCTTGTGATAGTTGACGATCACGTGCAGCGGCGTGTTGCGCTCCTGATCCATCGCGTTCACGTTGGCGCCGCACTGGATGAGCAGGCGGGTGGTTTCCGCGCAAGGAAACCTAAACAAAAATGGCGTCGAAATTGTTGTACTCACGAAAAAGTTTTATGTGGTCTTTTCATCTCAGATCGACCAGGCAAAAAGGGGTAGGTCGTTAGTTTTCAACAATTTTTTTTTACAGTTTCTCCTTCTAAATCCCGTGGGAAATTTTTGAAAAATGGACAGAAACATCGATTTCTTGAAAATGCGAAAACTTGGCCAAAACAGTTTTAAATATTTACTACATACAAAAAATACAAAAAAAATTGAGGTCAATATTTTGACCTTGCCACATTTTTTTTATACTTCATAATTTTTTCGTTTGAAGTTGATAATATGTACAACTTTCACCATAAGTCCAGAGTTGGCTAAATTCGTCATTTCGAAATTATTTTTTTAAATAAAAATGCCATTTTTTAGTAAATTCGTGGTTCATTGCAAAAATTTTGTATTTTATCTAGGGTCATAAAACTGGGGTGACTTTTATAAAGTGTAATTTAGAACTTTTTGACATATTTAACATATTTTTGTCACCTGACATGCTCTTACGTAAGTGGGCGTTTCTCTGTAAACTGGGCAACTTGAAGTAAGAAATTGTCTAGGCAAGTTTTTTTGTTATATTTTTGTTGTATTTAATAAATGTTATTCGTCTATTTATTAGTATACGGCAGATGAACCAAAAATATTCCTATTACTTTGGAAAACATTGAGCATTTTCTGAAAAATCTATAAAGGGGACTGTTTATAAAATCCGGAGACAAAGTTTAGATGACTTTTTTAGAATTACAAAATAATAATTATAAAAAATAAATAAGTCACAGTAACAAGCAAACAATATTGGTTGAATAATTAAACAATTAGGTTGATTCCAGTTACTGTCTTTAATTAATTTAGTCTGAAGTGACCATTTTGCTTTGGTGACACGTCAAGGGACTGGTTTTTAAGGACTATAAAAACGATTTTGATACATTAAAGTTTATTTTATTGGATTTTGAACGTCGAGCATAGGTAGATTAGGTTATTATCTTTTGAAGTTATCTACGAAATATTTATGATCTGTTATTTTTCTAAACAATATTAGCTTGAGACAATGAGTTGCCCAGTTTACAGAGAAACGCCCAAGTAAATTATATATTAAAGATTTTAGAGTAAAACGTAAATTCTTAATATTTTTGCATGTGTTACTTTTAAAAGATGTAAAAAGTATACGTGAGTTAATTTTGGTTAAAATAATAAAAACCAAGTATTACATACCTAAAAGTAATGAATCGAATGCACAAGAAACTTAAAAAAACGCGATTTCGAAGAAATATAGAACACAAACAATTCCGAAAAATGTTGGTCAGTTAACAGATATGAGTGAGGCAGTCACGAAACTCTTTTTGACTGAGGCTCTATCAGGAAGGGAAATAAGTATAAAGCCTAAGAGGTCCAGAAACTAATGCGCAGGTTAATTATGTTTGGAAATAACAAAATTTCTATTTGATTTCATATTTCGTTTTTTATTTATTGCCAGAGATTTCCTACAATGGCCATAATCGTTTCAAAATATTTTAATGATTTTATTTAGTAGTTTTAAAGCCAAACAATGTTGAGCAATTACTTACACCCCTTTGATTCTAACCACCTGAATTATTATTATTATTATTTTGTTTTATAAAAAGTTTTAGCGTATGTTTTCATAGTAAAATAAAATGTTAATATTCACTTACCAGCAAAACAAACTAACAAACTGTCTTCTTTTAAACACAAAGGTTTCAAAGCCTTCTTAATTTATTTACTTCTGTACACACTTTAAAATATTATAAATTATTAAAAAATGCATTCATATTTGGTATCAAATTTAAAAAAAGTGGATTTCTTTTATGACAAATGAAGCACCCTCTTTTATTAAAAAGAAAAATAGTTTTGGCATAAAGTATGGTTTTTCAATTTTCCTAATAACCAGCATTTCAAAAATTTTTTTTTATTTTTTCCAGACTACTTGGCCCAACATGAAGCAGAAAAGCCAATTTAAAATTTCATCAAAAAATGATTTGAACTGTCAAAAATTGACCAATGGTATAAAAAAAATTGAGAGAATCAATTAATTTTTTATATATTTTTTTGTATGTAGTTAAACATTTACCCCCAATTTTAAAAAAAAATTGTAACCATCAAAACATTTTTGGCCAAGTTTTCGCATTTTCAAGAAAAAATCGATGTTTCTGTCCATTTTTCAAAAATTTCCTACAAGTGAACAAAACAAATTTATGTTGTGTTGTTTTGAGAAAAATTCTAGATTGCAAAGGCAAAAGTGAAGTGTGAAAAAAAATCATATCTCAAAAACCTATCCATAAAAAAATTAATTCGATTAAGTAAAGTAAAAATAAATAAATCATTTTCATTAAAAATTAAACATTCATATCTTACTTGCAAATGTCGTTAGTATGAAAATCGTCGACAGGTGTCTCTGCGTTACAGGCAAGATGCAAAAGGGTCTGGCCATCCCTTAAGGTGACCTGAAGCTGGTTTAAGGTAAAAACCATGCGATTCACGTTGAACTTCTCCTCTTCCGAACATTGTTTCATCAGTTTGGTTAAAATGGTAAGCAGGTACAGCGTGGTGGTTAAATTACTATCGATTTCGTCCTTAAAAAATATTGATCGTATTAAGTAAAAACCTTAGAGTATATAAGGCATGGATCAGGTGAGTAACTATCCACTGTTATATACTCCAAGTTTGAAACTTAAAAAAGTAAAACAACATTAGTAAGACATGATAATGAATGCACGTTACCGCTACTTTTAGTGAATTATTCTCATGATACATCGCTGCGATTAGCGTTAGTAGAAAACCTAGATTAGTTTTTTTGGCGATTCCATCTGGGTATTTTTAGACATACTAACCAATAACTTGATAAATAAACAAATTACCAGGACAGTTTCTTTGTCGTCTTTCGGCCCGGGATTCGACAGTTTTTCTTTGTTACGCTCCAATTCCAAGATGGCGGCTGAAAGTACTTCGACCACTTGAGCGTAGGTAACTTGGACGCCCACGTGAAGCATTTGAGAAAACACTTGGGCAAACCTATAAATAATGTAAATTTTTGCAAAAAAGGATTTATTTGTCATTAATCACAATTTTTTACAATAAAATCTGAATAATTTAAGTCACAAGGAAGAATCACAGAAAAAATAAGATAGATTACTATGGAGGTTTTTTTAGTGTTTCTTGCAAAAATTTAAGAGGAAATTTCCTTCACCAATTTGTGGTATTTGCAAAATTGCAGGGGTTATTTAATTTTTAAGGCCGCCGATGAGAGCGCAGTGTTTTTGCTGTACGAGGTGTGTTCAGAAAATATCGGGAATTTTCGTTTCTTGAAACAAATATTTATTTATTCGTCTACATTAATGTGCTCTTCTTCCAATACTCTAAACACTTCTAAAACTCGATCTTTGGGATAGCCTTTAGTTCTTTCAGCGATGCGCTTTTAATCTCATCTATGCTTGCAAAACGACGGCCCTTTAAGGTTCTCTCTATTTTTGGGAATAGGAAAAAGTCAGACAGAGGCATGTCTGGCGAATATGGAGGCTGGGGCATCATTACAGTATTGTTTTTGGCCAAAAATGTTGTTCAAAATTAAACAATTTTGGAACAAATTTTTCTGCCACGCGTTTCATACCCAAAACATTCGAAAAAATTTCATGGGATGAGCCAATCGATATACCAACATCATCAGCGACTTCTCTGATGATTTATAACCATTTCTTCCACTTTTTCCATGTTTTTATCGGTTGTTAATGTGCTTGTGCGTTCGGGGCGTTTGTCATCTTCAACGTCTTCACGGCCATCTTGGAAACTCTTATACCACTTGTAAACTCTTGTTTTACTTATAGCAGACTCACTATAGGCCTTTGTAACATTTCACAGAATTTATTTTATTTTTTAAGCAAAATTGGATACAAATTCTTTGATCCATTTCTTTTAAAGAACGAAAAATCGCCGAGCTCATAAAACACGTCTAACCTTAGCGGCTGCCACAGATAAAGCATAGAAAAAGATAAAGTAAACAATGAAAACAGCTAAAGTTTTTATCATACTTCAAGGGCATGTATAAGAACATAATAAAGAAAATTTTATGACAACCTGACCCTCCGAACCCGCGAAATTTAACAATTCCCGTTATTTTCTGAACACACCTCGTATATGGTGAGCCCCACCTTTTGACTTGCAATTGCGCTTACGACAACACGCACCGAATTTGTTTCTGTTTACTTTTTCCCAATGATGGAATATTAGCGTCTTTTGCAAACACAAAAAATATAACAAAAAGTCGTGCAATAGAGCAAAACACTGCGCGCGTGGCTTTAAAAGTGAAATTACTCCTGCAATTTTGCGAATTCAAAATAAATGGTAAAGGAAATATCGACTTAGATTTTCGCAAGGAATCGACCCCTTTCGTTTGGACCAAAAACTAAGTAAACCATGACATAATTCTGTTTACTATTGAAAAGAGCGGAAAAATTGTGGACTTAATACAGTTTGGCTCTGGGGTACAGAGTTGCAAAATATTTTTATTACTTTGTTACACAGGGTGTCTCTGAAAATGGCGCACTAGTTTTCATTTATAAGGTTTAAAAAATTTAATTAAAGCTTCTTTATTTTATTGTATGAATAATATTTATTTACACTATACAGGGTGTACCAAGTATCCTATATGTATGTCTATAATACTTCTATGGGTATTTTTTTATTGAAAGAGCTACAACATTTTCATCCAATTTCTTTGCTACTATATTTTGTTACCACCGCCATATTTTGTTTTTATAATGGCCGCCATAACTTGTGGGATTCCTTGTTTTTTTTATTTCTAGCTATGTGAAATTCCAATATGGCGGCCATATGAAAAATAAAACATGGTGGTGGTAACTTAGTCTGGTAGGTAGGCGAAAAAACTCAAATTGGGTGAAAATGTAGATAAATGTGTATGTTTAGATGTAAAACTTATTTTTTTTTTTAAATTCACAGGAGTAACGAATTTATAACGATTTTTGGTTTTGACAGGTTTTCAGTTTTAATTAACTTGTAATTACGCAACTTTTGTCTAATTTAACCGACCTTGTAGATCTTCAAATAAAAAAGATACCTATATATAGAAGGATACTATACACATCCTTCTATACATAGGGCTATATAAAAGGATTAAAATCAATTTTCTAATAAAAATTGGATTTTGTTTTGTACTTCGCGTGGAATGGCGTTGGTCGCCATAATGGTATTAAAAAACACAATTTTATTACAAAATGTATTGTAAATTTGGAAATATTTTAATTCGAGTTCAGTGTAAATTATTTGTTATCTTTAAAACATGTATTAATAGAAGTTTAACACAAGAACTTGTGTTGTACTATGTTTTTTTATATTTCTTCAAGCTTGCAGTTTTTTTTATAAATTTAAGGTGGATTAAGCCAGCATTTAATGTAATTTAATGTAGCGTAACGTAATTTAATGAAATTTAACGAAAACTTGTGCCATTTTGGTTGTGGTGGACTAAATGATAATTATCTTTACTTTTAAGCACAAAACAATATAACTAACATTGTTGTTGCAAATAAGGTTGGTATTAGAGCGCGCAAGCGCAGAATAATTTTTTTTCTACTCCTTTTACGGAATTTGACCGTTCTAATATCACTTTTGTCTATGAAATGACATATATTCCGTAAAGTGTTACAGAATGAAATATTCTATCATCTGATTACAGAATAAACACTCGTGGCGACATCTCTGTTTTTAATATCTAACAAATTTTTGACCGATCCAACCTCACTTTCTTCCAATTAAATTATTTTTCTATGGTATTTTTTGGAAACGTAGAAAAAGTATAGTCTGAAACACGTTTGGAATTGCATATTCCGCTCTCGTGAAACCGTCAAACTCGCCTTCAGCTCGTGTGACAAACTCTTCACTCGAGCGGAATATGTTGTATTCCAAACTTGTTACAGTATATACTATTATGTAGAGATGGGAAAATTCCCATTTGACGAAAATTCCCGGAAACTTTCCATCGAAAATTCCTGAAATTTTTCGAAAGTTTCAAAAAAAAAAAAAATTTATTGCGAAAATATTTTTTTTTATGCCAGGGATTTGCAAAAATATATAACACATTAACTTTTTGTCAAATTTTATTAAGAAAAAAAATAAAAAAAATGTTTATAAGAATGTAACTGCAATACTATTTTTAGTATCTTTTACTTTGGACACGGCGTTCTCTATATATAGAGAACGCCATGCTTTGGAATATTCCTATTGTATACTGAAACCTACAAAATAAAAATAAAATGTTTACTATTAGAAATTCACTGGTAGTAAATCCTAGATATTACATAAAAAAATTAAAATGGACAAAGTAACTAATATACAGGAATATTGAAAAGTAAAAGATACTAAAAATAGTATTGCAGTTCTGACTGATAAAATTATTGTATTTTTGAACTATTTTGTAATAATTCCAAACACTAGATTTTTCTCTTGGCCTTGTTATGTGCTATGCCTATAAATAAACAACAAAAATGTAATCCGGCTTCATTGAGGTTATGTAACTGTTACATAGTAACATAACTTACATTATTTATACTTCTTCTTCTGCTTTAAATTAACACACATTAAATTCTTATTCAAAGTTTCTTGGCCTTGTATCATGGCCTTAACGAAAATCAGCGGTTAAACAATTGACATTTAAATGAAAAAAACAAGGAAAGTTCCCAAGGAATGTTTCCAAGGAATGTTTCCGGGTGCTTAAAAGAAACTTTCAAAATAAAAATAAATTCCCAATTGGAAACTTTCCAAAACGGAAAGTTTCCTTAAAATGGAAACTTTCCGATTCCCATCTCTACTATTATGTAATATAATTTAAAAAAAGTTAAAAGTCATCCAACTTTCCATTACATTACATTAAATGCTGGCTGAATCCACTTTTACACAGTAACGTTTTTAAACAACTTGTTTTGTCCTTAAGAATGATTTTTTACAATTTTCAGTACAAATCAAAGACGGCACATTGAATCAAACTTGCATGCCACGATTTTTAACTCGAGCACTCACCTGAGCAAATCCTTGACGACGGAGACGTGATTCTGCTGGCGCAACTTGAGCGCGTGCAGCCACAGCTCGAGGCAGCGATCGAAGCGCGCGTTGTCGGCGAAGACGGCGCCGCGATAGATGACGGGGTGCGGCACTTCGGCGTTGTGCGTGCCGAGCACGCGCTCCCTGATCGTCAGCGCCTCCATGTGCAGCGCGTTGTGGTTGCGCTCGATCGCCTCCAGCTCGGCCGCCGTGCGGCACTCGATCCAGCTCTCGTAGGCGGGCACCGGCGGAAAGCTCTTCTTCGGGATCGGTTCGTCTTTGTCTGCGAACCTGCAAACGACGCATTTTGATGCGTAAACATTAGGCACGGTGCTGTTCTGAGAGGTGATTTTTGGACTTTCTGTGAAACCTAATTTTTTTTATATTCTTGTTAATTAGGTCATAACTAAAATTTTAAGAGCAAAATAAAAAAAATTTGACGGTTTGAATGTAGTAATTGGCTGTTTATTAAAAATATGTATGCACACTTTCAATTCTTCAACTAAAACTTGCGATTTTATTTAAATATTATCATAACTTTTTAAATCAGATTAAAGATTAGTTAATTTCCTAAAAAAAAGTCTATACATTTTTTATACCTTTTACTGTTTTGTTGTAATACACGTTGAAAGTTTTAATTTAAGGTTAAATGTATAGTATACATTTATTAAACAATAATTCTAAGGGTGCCACATTTTATTTAGGGCCGATTTATTCATTTTTGATTTCTTTGACGAATAATTTCTTTGGATACTAGATATTGCCAAGACATGAAAGTTATCGGCCCGATAAACTTTACTAAAGATGAATAAACCGGTCCTTAGTTAAATTTCATGAATTTCTTCGTTACTTTTACTACAATTTTTCATTTTTGTTTATAAAAAACACTAAACAAAAATTATAGAATACGTATACTGAAAATGACAATTCAAACGTCAAATAAATTTTTAATAGATCTAAGTTTCATGGCAACCTTTAAGGATATATTAATTAAGGGAACATAAATGTATACGTCAAAGGTTAGATTAAAAGTTTGAACGTTTATTGCAACAAAACAGTAAAATATATAAAAAAAATTGTAAAAACCTTTTTTTTAGTTATGCAAATATTAAATATTTAAATTAAATCGCTAGTTTTAATTGGATAATTGAAAGAGTGCATAATATTTTTAATAAACAGCTAAAACAATTCAAACCGTCAAATTTTTTTTATTTTGCTCTTAAAATTTTAGTTATGACCTAATTAACAAGAATATAAAAAAATTAGGTTTCACAGAAAATATGAGCTGGGTCATTCCATGACAAACAATACTGAGGGTGAAAAAATAAATATGTTCTTTTCGCATTAAATCTGATGAATTTTGAAAAAAAATATTCCAAATTATAATGTGGAACAAAAAAACTAGAAGAAACGCGTAATTTTTAAGTTAATTATGCTTCAAAATCTGTACTCAAGTGAACTGGCTGAATGAAGCCTACACAAGGAGTTCGAACTTGTAAACATGTAAACAAGAATCTTCCTAAGATAAGAGGGCGCTGGTGTTACGTTTGTTCTGAAACAATTGACTAATTTGTACCGAAACGCTACCAAAAGAGCAGACGTCACGCATCGACAATCAGCGCCGCTGGTGGTGAAAAAAAAAAAGACTTAATTTGTGCAATTTAGAGGGTAGGTGTTGTCAATTTCCCCTATTAAGTTCGGGCTCCTTGTGAACGCTCCATGATTGTGCCTTTAACTAACGGAAATACGATTTAAAAAAACTGTCAATCTGTCAACCGTTTTGCCACGTTGTGATTTAAGGTTATTTATCGTAGAATTATTGGATTGCGTCACAGTCCCGAAAAAATTTCGTTATAAGTGTGTTTTCTTATTACTTTGACACCCGAAACGAAAAATCAGTTAATTGTTTTTTATCTATTTTGCGTTCATAATGACTTCATTGTAACACCGCTTTCGGTGCTTTAATGAGATACTTTATCCCACCAAAATTTTTGATTTTATAGGTTGGCTATACTAGTAAAATAATATTTTAACACCAAGAAAATCCTTTTTTTCTTTTTAACATTAACAGTCGGTTATTGTAAATAAGTAAATTAAGGACGGCATGGCGAATCGATTATGACATTAACTGTCAAACCAATGACTGTGATACCGACTATCTAAAGTAAAATTCGATCAAATTAAATATAAGGTATAAAATTAATTTTTTTTGTAGAATTTTTGCAAAATAGATAAAATAGCATAAAGAACTCATGTCATAAGACCTTTTGTTGCACTCGTCCATTACAAAACTCGCTCCTTCGTCGCTCGTTTTATAAATTGTCCGCGTGCGACAAAATGACGTCTTATGACATTAGTTCTTTAATATACTATTATTATACCTTAAAGATTAATTAGTGTAATATAATATTTAATAAAAGTAAGGTTATGGTGGTAATGATTTAAAATACCAACTAATATCTAAGCATAAGACTAATTTGATATGATTTTTTCTGGATTAAAAACTGTAACACCCGAAACGTTTTTCATATGTCGATATATGTGTGTTTATTGCTTGAAAAATATTGTTTTTTTAAGGCTCTTTCAACGGCACACTAGCGCCGCCATCGGAAAAGCAGTCACACAACTTTTAAAGAGTGTGACTGGTTTTCCGATGGTGTTGTCGAACCTACCGAAATGGCAACGGACCTACCAAAATACCGAATACTAAGATTTTCGTCAATAATTATGTTTCTACCTATTTTTTTTACCGATTTTTAGCAATAACGATTTTACCCTACAGAGCCATGGTAACACCAAAAAAAAGTAAAATTTTATAAAAAAAAAAATAGTAATACGTTATTTGTGACAGTGATTGATGGTTAGTAAATATTATACTTTTGGAGGCCTGTAATTTTCAGGAATGTTTCCCTAAGAAAATTCGCTGAATTTCAAATAAATGTAACAATGGTTAGGACATAGAGGCAGAATCGTGTAACACCTAAAACGCACACTTTTCGACTTATAAAACTATAGCTAAACTGTACTAATTTTACAATTTAGATAAAACAACAAGAGAATAGCTAAAATATTCTTTTAAAATACATAAAAATGTATACTTTCGTTGAACAAATGTAACACCCGAAACGATGGAAGCTTTTAATATTAAGATACTCCGCATCACACTTTTCGATTTTCCATAATAATAAATTTTTTTTTGTTCCTTCTGATTTTTTTAACTCACCAACCAAAGGTCATTTTTATTATGAATACTTATTTAACTTTGCTGCCTAAAATTTCAGTTTTTGATAACTCGATATGCAACCAAATTTTTTTATTAATTGATTTTACCGACGAAAAATTTGTTTTTACACTCAGTTGGTAACACAATGTTATTGTCTCTAGATGGCATATTAAGTTATCAAATACTGAAATTTAAGGAAGCAGAGTTAAACATGTTTTTATAATAAAAATGAAATTGAAAAATAATTACTATGATATTATTTTAGTAAAGTGATGTGTTTACATTTTTAAATGAAAAAAAAATATTGGTTATCGACTTTTGTAATCTCAAATTTCGTGCTTAATATTTTGATAAAACTGAGTAAATCCTCTGCAATACCGAAAAATCGGCAAAATTAATGGTGAGTTAAACTTTGACCTTTAATGACTTTTTAAACAATTGGTTTAGCAAAAAATCCTAAGAAACCTTTTTTGTAGAGCGTTTAATTCTTTAAAAAAATATCCGAACACATTTTCTGTATGACCTTTTGTTGGTAAGTTACAAAAATCAGAAGGAGCATTAAGATATTAAAATTAAGAGCTTATATTTTCACAGGCTCATTTTTATACCTAAACAAAACTTTTGAGCCGTTTTGCAAGAAAGAAAACAGTTCGATTTGGCTCTGCAGCACAATCCTGGAAAATTGAGCGTCACGCGTGGGGTTCTAAAATTTCCGGAAAAATTGGGAAATTTTCCGAAAAAATTGACTTTATAATTTTTTAAATTTTATTCTAAGGGTAATATGAAAAAATGAAAAAGTCAATTTTTCGAAAATTTTCAAATTTTTACGGATTATAATAGTTATTTTATTTCAGTAAGAATATTCTACCGGGCCGCAACAAAAAAACATTCGGTGGTGTATTAACACGATTTATAAAATTATAATTTTGTAATTTAACTTTATAAATTCTTTTTTTTTTAGTTAGATATTTTTAATGGACTCCTTTTTACAAAAAACCCCAACAGACAGTATATTTAACGTTCACGTTTATTTTCTTAAATTTAATTTAATGTTTAGATTTTTTTTATTTAAAATAATGTTAAGTTGTTAATTGCTACTTTTTTTCAAATGTGTATATTTTCCAAAAGAAAATTTAATTTTTCAAAGGCCTGGGAAAAAACGGGTTTTTTCCCAATTTTTCCGGTTTTTTTTTCGACACTTTAAAACCATAGTCACGCGTAAGTCACGTAGATGTGAAAATCGATATAAGTGGATGTGCACAAATAAGAGAGAGATAGAAATAAATCAATCAAATATGGCGGCGCGCCTATTTCTTCACAACCTCCTTGATTTGGGTATCAAATAAAAGGGTTTGACGAGTAGAAAGTGATAAGGTGGGTAAAATTTTTAAAAATTTCCAAATTTTTTAAAATTCACAAAATTAAACTTACCTCATTTGCAAAGATCTATGCATATATTTGTAAGCTTTGACAATATCATATGTCTCCTTATCATTGGCATAGGAAGCTCCCAGCAATTCTAGTGCCTCAATTTGTTCCTCTTTACTAATTTCCTTCCGCTCCACTAAATATTCGACTATTTTCTCTCTAAAAAATACAAATCACAAATTAAAATAAATCAATTGAAAACAAAATACTAAACATACTTTGTCCTTTCAGCGGCTGCCTTGATAGGTGTCATCCCAGAGTCATTGACGGTAAAAACAGCCTTGTATTGTAATAATTCTTTAATAACATCAAGGTGACCACACTCGGCAGCAAAGTGCATCGCTGTGGCGCCACATAGGGCCCCCTCGTTTGGGTTGGCCCCATTTTCCAACAAAAAACTAACCTAAAACCACAAATAATGAGTTTTTAGTTTATATACAAAAGTTTATACACAAAAGTGCTCTTTTAGTTCCACCCTTACTTCCTAAGAAGTCCCAGAAGCCAACTGAATGGGTTGAGCGGGTAAGGGGTAGGAACGGACCGCGGGCTTAAAGTCCCCTCCGAAGGAGTCTTTTGTACTTTGTTTTAAATATTTGTCTTTAAACATTCTAAAATCGGCGTTCACTTAAAACTGACGTTTTTGGCATTCTAATTGGACATTCTAAAATAAGTTTCAACACTTTTTAAATTTAATTAATTTAATTAATATTGTTTCCAAAAATGTTTTTAAAATTCTTAAATATGACTTGACATTCTTAAATTTGATTTGAACATTCTAAATTTTGTAGGAGACATTCTACAATAAGCTTTGCCCTAAAATAATTTTGGAATTGTTTATGACATTCCAAAATAAGTTTTGACATTCTTTAATTTATTTTAAACATTCTAAAATAAACTTTGTCTTAAAATTTACATTTTTAAAAGATTTTGGCATTCTAAAATTTATTTATTTATTTATGTTAACATTCTTTGGTTTTGTAAAATTTGTATTAAATATTGTAAAATAAGCTTTGTCTTTCTAAAAATTTTGTAGGTGTCATTTTAGAAAGCCAAAAACTAAAAAAGGCAATTTTATGCCAAAGCTTATTTTAGATAGTTAAAAAACAATTAAAAGAATGTCAAGACTTATTTTAGAATGTCATAAACAGTGCCAAAGCAGTTTAAAGATGTCAATTTTAAAAGGGCAAAGCTTATTTTATATAATAATAATAATTATGTAGGAGACATTCTATAGAATGTCTCTCACAATTGTTATCATTGTACCAAATATGACAATGTTAAGAATATCAATTACATTTTTACAAAGACAAAATTTATTTTAAATATTTAAAAACAAATTTCAACAATTCAAAGTACTTTATGTGTTGGGGAATATTTCTAATACTTGTTTAATATTAAATTAATATTAAATTTTGTTTAGGACCTAAGAATGTCATTTTAAAATGCCATAATTGTGGATACATTCTTAAAATTTAATAACCTTTTCCCTTTTAAACTTTTCATTTTTAAAATGTTTTGAAGTTGTTTATGACATTTTTAAATAGGTCTTGACATCCTTTTATTTGTTTTTAAACATTTTAAAATAGGCTTTGTCTTAATATTGCCATTTTTATACGTTTTTGGCATTTTAAAATGATATTCTTAAGTCTTGACATCTAAAATTTGTCCTTCTAAAACTGATGTTCTTAAATTTATCTTGACATTCTTATATTGAGTTTGAACATTCTAAATTGTGTAGGAGTCATTCTAAAATAAACTTTGTCCTTTTAAAATTCTTTTGGTATTATTTATGACATTCCTAAATAAGTCTTGACATTCTTTTATTTGTTTTTAAACATTCTAAGAGATGCCTTGTCCTAATATTGCCAATTTTAAAGATTTTTGACATTCTAAAAATGTTTTTGGTATTTTTAAATGTTTTGACAATATTAAATCTGGTTTCAACATTCTAAAATAAGCTTTGCACTTTTTAATTGGCATTTATTATGACATTCATAAATACATCTTGACATTCTAATATTTGTTTTGAAACATTCTAAAATAAGCTTTCTTCCTCTAAAATTGTTATTTTAAAAAGTTTTGTCACTTCATGAAATGTGTTTTTAAAAATTGTGAATGTCTTAAAATTTGGTTTTAAAAGAAGCTTTCTTTAATAAAATTACCATTTCTAAATGAATTTTTTTATTTGTTTTTATATATTCTTAAGTAGGCTTGTACTTTTATTACTTTTTAATATTACTACTCCTTTATTGAGTCTTCTTGTTTGAAAAAAAGTTTGACATTTAAGATTTTTACATTTTTAAGTAAATTTGAAACTCTTGATCTTAAGGCACTACAAATTCAGTAAAACATACCACATCCAGATGTCCTTTATATGCAGCTATCATTAAACAGGTATTATTGTACTTATTGGCTATATTAATATTAGCATTATGATACGTCAAATATTTAACTATGTCCAGTCTTCCATCAAAACAAGCAGCCCTTAGGGGAGTCGAGTTTGTTTTTGTCGGGTGGTTCACATCTGCACCAGCTTTAACCAAGGATTTTACTACATTTAAATGACCTGAAACAAACAATGTTGTCAACATCTTTACGGCACAAATTACTTACTTAGTTTTGTCATTTTTACAATAAACTATACCTGCACATGCAGCACACCATAAGGCACTAGCACCTTCTATCACATAACCATCAATTTTAACAGTCCCCTCTTTCTCTAAATCGGGTTTAAATTTTGTCAACAAGATTCGGACAACATCAAAATGTCCATGTCGAGCTGCCAGAATCAGGGGGGTACATTCCTGTCCATCATCCTCTGATACAGTCTGCAAATCACACAAAATTAAGTGTTTTGTCTTTGCAATTATCAAAATATGGCAAGAAAATGTGAATTGGACAGACAACAAAAGACATTAATTAACCTCCAAACAAAGGAAAGGTGCAAAAAACAAAAGGAATATTACCTCGTTAACAATTTCCTCGATAATGTCATCGTTTAAATCTGAAAGCAAAGTAAACAATGCTATTGGCATTCCATCTTTAGCAGCATGATAGATGCGCTTTTTCAAAATATTGCTCATATTTCTTACTTTACGCATTCTTTGCACATTCTATTTTCAACTGTCATATGGAAATATACAATCACGTTTCTTCCCGATTTTTACTGACGTAACGAATTCGGGACTTGGGATTCGCGAGTCTGGATGAAATTTGCATATGTCATGTCACGTGATCCACCACCTTGTGCTCAATAGGACACGCGCAGAAAATAAATGAAAGTACACACAAAATGCGTATTTAAATGCTTTTATCGGAAAATACTCCAAAATTTGGAGTTCAAATATACCAGTTGTTTGCCCATTTTCTTTAAATAATTTCGACCAATGAACTGGTTTAACTCGTTTAACCCTTTTGTCCTTGATTTAAATTTAAATTTTAAAAATGCATGTACAGTGACCGTCAAATGTAATGCCATAATGATAAAGCGAATTGCTATTAAAATTAGGCGTAAATATTTTATTTATAGCGTTAACACGCACTAAGTAATTTACAGCTTTGAAAATTAGCCAATAATTTTGGTAAATTATTGTTTCTAATGAATTTGACATTTGGATGTCAAAACAATTGTCTGTCGCTGTACTAACGGCATATTTTTTTTTTATAAACAATCTTCGAATATTACTTACAATCATATGAAATGCCCATACTGTAAAATCCAAAATAATCCCAAGGAGTCAAAATATACATTTTTTTGAATTCGGCAATTTTTCAGTTCAAGTAGCAGCTATCGATTAAACAAGCGCACTTATATTTTGAGTACCTGATGTTTTTTTATCTATTTTTATTCATTGAATTTAAATAATGTAAAGCAATCAACAATATATTCACCGTAAATTGTGCGAAGATGAATGAAGGTTAGAAAATCAGCTGATTGTTTTTGTATTAACAAAACTATATAGTATTTTTTAAGTATTATAATAATGTTTTTGTCTTTTTTACGGAAAAAACTAGGAAAAGACCCGGAGGATAAAGTGAAGAATGTTTGCAAAGACAGCACAGAGCTAAAGGATACAGTTTATGGTATTTTTTACAACATCTATTTATAATAAAAAATATAAATACATTTTTATTTACAGACTTAATTAGAACTATTAAAGATCCAGAAAAACCAAACACTCTGGAGGAACTAAACGTTGTCTATGAAGATGGTGTAGAGGTATAGCAAACATTTGTTTTAATATTCAATTGTTTTAAATATAATTTTCAGGTTAAGGAACCCACTTTGGGCAAAGTAGATGTGATTCGCGTAGAATTCAACCCTACGGTACCCCATTGCTCTCTGGCCACATTAATTGGGCTTTGCATTCGAATCAAATTGGAGAGAAACATGCCATACCCCATTAAACTCGATATTTACATAAAAGATGGTGCTCATACGACTGAACACGAAAGTAGGTTGAGTTATTGTTTTTTTATAACAAATATTATTATTTGTGGTTTTAGTCAACAAACAAATCAATGACAAGGAAAGAATAGCGGCTGCCATGGAAAATCCTAATCTAAAGGAAATGGTGGAAAATTGTATACTGGAAGAAGACTGATAATCAGGGTTTTATTTTATTGTTTTGTAAATAAGAGGAAATATATGACATTTTAGAAAGAAAAATGCAAAGTTTCTTTTTTTTATATTTGGAATTTGACATTTGATTATGTTGGTATACATAGAAATATTACTAATAATAGTATTACTTCTATGGTATTATAATTATATAACTTAAGTTAATATACCATATATGGTATTTTTAATATTTTAAATTGGTTCTCCTATTCAAACCCTTTATTTTATACTTTGACATTTCTCTTTTAACTGTCAAAATTATAATAAATAGGTATGCATTTGTATTTGTAGGCTGAGAATACAAGTTTCATCAAGGTAAAGTTATTGCATTTTTTGACAACTTATATTTGACATTTTTAAATTTATAAACCTTTATAATCTGTGATAAACACTAACCAAAAAACACTGCACAGTTTAACGGCGGCCATTTTTGTTGTTTCCAATTCTTATGCTTTGGGTTTGTGCTGTTTATACAGATTAATAATCGTTTTAAACGTTGTGATTCTTACAGAGGCACTTGTAAGCCTCAAATGAGACCTTAAAGTACCAAGGACAACCATTTTACGTCTCTTTTGTAAAAAACAACCTTATTCTCACCAGGGCTGTCAAATGTCAATTTTAAGGTTAATTTACCATAACCCACAAATTAACCTTAAAATTGACATTTAATTTCTTCTGATTTTTTTTTCATCCAAGTTATGAAATATTTTTGTTAGGTAAACGAATTAAATTCATTTAAATAACAAAAATATTTCATAAATTTTATTAAGAAGCCTTTTTATCCCCTAATTTTTTTTACTGAATGACCACTTTTTCCCAAAAAATACAGTTAATTTTTTTTATCTGGACCCGTGTTTTTTTGTTAGGTTGGTGGCTTATGCCAGTTTGACGTAGTATTTTTAGTATTTAAAAATGGTACTTCTTCTAAAGAATTAAATTAAATACTTTGACAGTGTCAAATATTTATTATTGATAATTTACTTGTCAATTATAAATAAAAAGATAATAGGTGCTTTCCTTTTGCCACGATTCTTAGATATTCTTACCTCACCTTGGTTTATCTCACTTTAGAGACCGTTCCATTTGCAAAATGACAGGTAAGCCAAAGTGAGAATTTTACCTCCCCCCTTACCGATCAAGCACAACCTCCGGAGCACACTTACAAATGAGAAATTTTGATTACTTGGTGGTGGGGATAGATGCACGCCAAAAAGTGAGGTTGTACACTTTCTATCAAACAAAACAGAAGAAAATTAAAACAATATTAGTGATGGGCATAATCGGATTATATCAATAACCGATTATATCCGATACGATTATTTCAATAATCGGATGATAATTCGATTAAATAATCGGCGATTATAAATCGCATACTTTCATTCGGATTTCAATATCGGAATAATTTAATAGAATTGATAATTCGAATGAAAGTATGCGATTAATAATCGCCGTTTATTTTCGAATTAAGTAATCCGCGATTATTAATCGCATATTTTCATTCGGATTTCAAATTGAATGATTCATTCGGCGACTAGAATACCTACAATTGTAGGTATGACTATTTAAATAGTAATTTACGATTACGATGATACGATACGATTAAACTAGTATTTTCAGAATCGCTGCTGAATATTACATTCACTACATTCTATAAAATTAAAGAATAAAAAAAAGGTATTTAATATTGTTTAAATTGGATTTATATTTTTAACTACCTGTATTATTTGATTCGACATTTTGTTCGTTAAGTCTTTAATCTTTGCGTTAAACCGTTGAGGGAAATGGTTAAACCACAGAACATAAAGCCTGAATTATAGATTGCCTTCCTTCCTTCCTTCCTTCCTCCCGTAGAAGATGAACATTACGTAATTGTCACCATTAACATTTCCCGTTTAGGTATTTTTAATACTATGTGATAAAATTTTGCAATTATAGTAATAAAAAAAATCAAAGAATAAAATATTTTCTTAACAAAATCATATTTTTAAGTAATTTTAATATTTTAAATTATCAATAATTGTTAAGTTTAATTAAAATTAATAACGGGCAATGTTAATGGTGACAATTACGTCAAAAATGTTTATTTAAATCGTATTGCCAGTTATAGATTCCCGTACCGTACGGGCACGACTACGGGAGGAAGGAAGGAAGGCAATCTATAATTCAGGCTTAAGGGTTAAACTGTCAAGTGTCACTTTTAGAGAAAATAGGCTTACCAACCGTTCCTTTGGTCTATTTTAGGTAAGATGAGTGCGCGTAAGTGGCCTCGCTTATCTCCAGTGCTGCCAGATGAACGGATTTATCCGTTTTTTACGGATTTTCCAGGTCTAGAGAAATTGGAAACGGATTTTGAACGGATTTTCATCAAATACGGATTTTTACGGATTTTTAAGATAGCTTCATACTAATACTAAAAAAAACATCATTTTTGCCCCGTTTTTTGATCATCTTTGTCACGCTTCTATTCCTCTTCCTTTTTACTACGTTAAGCTACATTCGTAATGAATTCGCTGGCCGAGTGACACTTTGGCACGCAAGTCGGCACGAAATTTACCATTCACAATAACTTTAGAGTCGAATTTAACGCATGGGCGTTGGTAACTGTCATGTTCTTTGTAAGGTTAGAATTTGCATTATTTTGTTTTTGTTATTGCTTTTTTAAATGCAAAAATGGACAACAATCAATCAAATAGTTTACTTATGTTGTGTAATAGTTTATTTAGTGATAAATTCTTATTACAATGTGTTACAAAACACTAATATTCTCTTTATAATAAATAACAATAATAATAATAAAAACTAGTATACATTAAGTTACATACATACATACATACATTTACATTAACAATGGGTAGTTTATTTAAATAAAGCAAGAAAAATGTATTTAATCACAATAAAAACACTACACACACAAAACTTAACGCCATTGAAAATGTCAAACCTTCATAACAAAGGCAATGCGCATGTCGCATAGCCGGCACGAAAGTCGAAGTTGAAGTCGAAGTTTGCAGCTTGCAAGAAATTTTGCTCACTTCAACTTCCACTTTAACGTCGAATTTCATTGTGAACGATCACACTGTTACACATTTGCTTAGCTTGCGAGTCAAATTGCCACTTGGCCAGCGAATTCATTACGAATGTAGCTTTAGACAGAAAAAGAAAGCGGATTGAAAAAGGATGTGTTCTTAATATAGGGTTCTTATAAACGCCGAATATATGCGAAACATATGCTTTTTCATTGAGTGTGACAAAGAGATCTCTTGTTCGAACAATAGTTTCATATGATTTGTTAAGGTTTTATAACACGTTCAGGCCCGTTCCTGGCGAGCGTGCAGTGCGTGCACGCACGCAGGCGCAACATTTCGGGGGCGCAAAATCAAAGAGTCATTTAGTACTTTGTAACGATAAACTTTCTTGCATATGATACTTAAACATACATTGGATAAAGGTTTCTGCCTTTTTTGCGTCGGCCGCTCTTTTTTTCGGTCGCTATAAAGCGCCTTTTACCGCTTTGATATTGGCTGCTTATTTTGTTTTGATATGAGTATCAAAGTAAAAGGAGAGAAATGGTCCTATTATCTTTAGTATTTGTTTGATAGTTGCAGTTGACTCTCTAAAATAGAATTAGTCAAAAATGACTAATTCAATTAGTCTAATTGCAATAGCGAAAAAGCAGCGACTAATAATTATTGTCAATAGTAATTTGTATCCCGGATATTTAGCAGTCAATTGCTATGTAAAATTGTCCGCTGAATCCGAAAATGTCGTCAAAAGTTATAAAAGTAAAACCTTTTTGAGAGTTAGTAAATTTTCCATATAATATGGTATTGACTATAGTCAAAAATTATAAAAGTAAAGCAGTTTTTAAGATATATATATCTTAAAAACTGCTTTACTTTTATAATTTTTGACGGTATTTTCGGAAAATTTTACATAATAATTAGCTGTTAAATGCCCGGGATACAAATAGCTGTGGACCAAAGTTATAGAGAGTACGTCACTAAAAAGTTTTTAGTAAAAACCAGTTGTAGGTAGTTATTATATTGTTTAGATTGTTTTTTTTCTTTAGAGTATTTTTATCACTGACAATTTCCTTGTATTAATTTCCACCAATCACAAACGCGCAATTTTGAACTACAAATGGTTTCTAGGTGGAAAAACTGTATGACAGCACCTGTCAGCAGTTTTTTCGAGTTTACCCGCGGCAAAAACTATAATTTATATTTTAATTGTTAACTGTTACTAATGAAATAGTCTTGTCAAATACCATTCGGGCATCTAACTTTTCCTATGAAAAAAATCGTTAAACACAATGCTAAGTAATATTTTCGTGCAGGTGCAAAAATCCTCGTCTTCGACTCGGATTTTTGTTGCCACCAGCACTCATGCTTCTTGTTAAAATATTAATTAGCAACGTGTTTTTTCGATTTTTTTCGAAAAAATAGATGCCCTTATGATATTATTTGTTTGTTTAGTAATTTAATAAATATTTTTTATACTTAATTTAAGCGGTTTTTTTTACATTTTCAATTACATATTGCCAGTTCGTCGCAAAATATATATTTTTTAAATTTTACGGCTTAAAATTCAAATATTTAATGTATTATATTTAAATATAAAAGGGGCGCACCAACGAATGCTGCACGCAGGCGCCAGACACCCCAGGAACGGGCCTGAACACGTTGTTATTGCTGCCAATATATAAGCGGCGCAATGCCACCAATAGTAACGACTAACCAATACTGACTCCAGTTCAGTGCATTGAACTGCATTGTGGCAATATTTTGATCTCAAAGTCAATGTTTATTATATATCCGAATCTGTATATAAAATACTTTATTTTGTGAAAAATGGAAAGTGACGAGAATTATATCACTGACGAAGAGGTTCAAACTTCTGAAACTCCCCCGAAAAATTCTGAGATGTTTCGGATTTTCTTTGACGAAAGGTATGTTTTGTCACAAAAATCCCCCTTATAGAAGAAATTTTTCGAAATTTAGACAAAAACGGATTTTTACGGATTTTTCGAGGCTTCCCCCCACCCTTTCCACGAATATATACGGATTATCCGACCATCTGCTCTGGCAGCACTGCTTATCTCACTTTTGCTTGGCTCACTTCAAAAATGAAAGGAAAGCACCTAATTATGCCAAAAATAATAGCAACGAATTCGAATGTAAAAGCCCTTTTGAGGGCAAAACTTCATTTTGATGAAATTATGCCAAATGCCACAATGGAAGAAAAAGTATATCGCCTTATGGACATTTTTGGAGTAGAAAAGTAACGAATTTGGTTTTATAAATATTACATCACACATTATTTTCACCATTGGACAACATTTACGTTCACAAAAAATTTTAATTTCTTTTATATAAATTCTTTTCGAGGATTATTATCCCCTAGGAATACTTTTTTTATATGATTTTACTCATCCAAGAACCACCAAAGCCAAATTATTACATTTTTAACTACAAATGTCGACAACTCAACTTGACAACTGCACAATGTAACCTACAATAATTTATACATAACCACAATTAGATTTATAACTAGTTTAGTTTGTTTTAATCAATGCGACCAACTTGACAACTGTATTTACCAACCAAAACCCTAAATTTGCAACGTTGCCGCAGTCCAGATAAAAAAAAGAACTTTATTTTCAATGACAAATTGATTATTTTGACTTACGTGAAGCATCATTTGGCAGCACTGCGAAGGTTTCCTAGGTTAGAAATAAAACACAAATTGTGGTGGCAACATTAAATGTATTTCGAGGCAGTAAATGCAAATTAATTTAAATAAATAAAAAATACTTGTTTATTTGGAATGGCCTAAACAAACTTAAAATTGATCCTCATCCTTAACATAATTATCCCTATGGTTGTTCAGCTTCTCAATAAGTTCATCCACCGAAATTTCCCCGTGGACTTTGTTATCTCTGGTGCGCACGTTCACGGTGTGGCTGGATTTCTCCTTCTCCCCCACCACGAGGATGAAGTTGAACTGCGCCAACTGCGCGTTTCTCACTTTCTTGTTCATGGTGTCGCCCGCGTCTGTGTCCGATTCGGACATGAAGCCGGCCAGGTGGAGTTTCTTTTGGACTTCGATGGCGTAGTCGTCGTATTTCGGGCCCACTGGGATGACCATCACTTGACGTGGCGACAGCCAGAACGGCCATTTGCCGGCGTACGATTCAGTCAGGATTGCTATCATTCTTTCCACAGAGCCCAAGATTGCTCTGTGGATGATTACGGGCTTTTTCTTCTCGCCATTCTCGCTATAAAAAAAACACTAGTTTACAAAAAATTTCTGCCCACCATATCCCATTATAATTTTCTCATGTATTTTTACCCACTAAATACGAAAATCACATTCAATTTTTTTTTATGGAAGCGTTTTTGAGATATGGGTGATTCTACAAAAGTTGGACAACTTGATGTCATCAGTCAATAGAGTACCATGTATTTTAATATTTTTTGTAAATATTTTAGTAGGTATATTACAAAGATCCAGGTTTATTGTCCACCCAATTTTAATGTATTTTTTCAAAAGCACGTTTGTAGAAAAACATAATAAATATTCAAAACATCAGTACCTTGCCGGGCCCAACTCCTGAATCAAATATTTGAATGATTTTATTTTAAAATATATTCAATTTATCTTAAATTTTTCAATTTCACTACAAACTATAAAACATTAAATAATGTATTTTTCATATTTTATCATAGATTCGAATAATAGCAATTTTTTAAAAATATTTTTGTACTCAACCCGTTAGTTCTGTGTCAAATGTTAAAATTCAAAATTCCTGCGTCGTCAGTTCCATGTTCGATGTTTCGGTTATCATTTTTTCGCAAACTTCAATTTAAATTCTGCTTGCGCAGAACTTGTTTATTTAATGTCATTATAAACTCATATAAATTTGGTGTGGGTCCCATATCTAATAATTGAGATATCGGTATACCCATAATGTATTACTTGATATTAAGATATTTAATGAATAATATGCTCAAAGTTGCAATAAATCTTATATTTTCCAATAAATTATGTATTTAATTAGTACCCTGGTATACTCATCACTTCCCTTGCATTCAAATTTAGAAAACACTGATATTTCAGAAACTGTTTATAAAAGTGACTGGCCCAGTCTGGAACAGTATATTTATAATATTATCTATGTTCTCATAACAAAATACTGTTTAATTTTCTTCGAAAACTATATAAACAAAATGAGGTCAAAATTTGCCCAACTTTTGTAGAATCACCCATATGAGTTTTCAATTGTTTTTTTTTTTAATTTTTGGAGGTGTTTTCACGTTTTCAGTATAGCTTGAAATCTAATTGATCGATTTGGTCAAACATGTCCTTAAATTGAAGGTATTTGAGCCCTCTAATACTTTCTTCTACATACTTTTGATATGGTAACAGTATTTTGATGCTAGCGATTTTGATAACTTAAAAAAATCGTTTTTATGGCAAAAATTGAGGTCGAAAATTTACATATCGTCCTGGGGAAAGGTTTAAATCAAACAGATAACTCTAGTTTGAATTTTTTTTTCGTAAAGCTGACATTTTAACCAAAAAAACAAGCTAATGTTGATAAAGTCCATGGATATATCCATACCTATAGGTAAATGGCGAAGTTATGAATTTTGTAGTGGAAGACCAAAACTCAGCTTTTTGAAGATTTTTATTATTTTTTTCTTTTGAGTTTTTTACGTACTTAATTTACCGAAAACATTATTTAAAATTTAAATTTGACATAACTCCGCAAACGTGAATTCTTTTGTCTCTCGTGTAGACATAGTGACATTTTACTTTTATTTTTGGACATTTCAAGAAGGTATTTTTTTCATTGTATATTTAGTTAATTAAAAGTGTAAAATGAGTAAAAGATGTAGAGAGCACAAGTGCGTAAATAACCCGGACAATCTGGGCGACGTATTAACGTTCTCCGTGCTCATCACTTAAAGTGATGAGCACGGAGAACGTTTTCACCAGGAAATAAGGGCTATGGAGCGGCGGTATCACGGCTTCTGGGATGCAGCCATGATGGTTCCCTCATGCGAAAAACGGAATACGAAAGCAACAAAAACTTTTTTATATAATTTGTTGCACAATAATATTGACTGTAGTGATCTTTTATCAGAAATTAAGCTCATTGTACCTAGTAATACTCGAAACCAGAAAACTTTTTTTATTCCCAGAGCAAATACTAATTTACTATTTAAGTCACCAGTTTTTGTTATGTGCAACAACTTTAATAGTATTTGTGTAATGTGTGATATTTACCACTTTTCTTTAAAAAATATTATAAACTTTATCTGTTAATTTGAATGTCCTTTTTGTTTTTGTACTGTTGGGCAATAAACGTTATTATTATTATTATTATTATTATTATTAAAAAAAATGAGCCAGAATTTTTTTAAATCTATGCTTATTACAACATAATAAAACTGTCAATATCTTCAATGTTCAATATTCAATATAGAATTTAATTTCAATATTTAATGTTTGATATGAATGAAATTAAATTTTATATAATTGAATAAAATGAAGAAAAAACGTAAAAATTCTCGAAAAGCTGAATTTCGATCTTCCACTGAAAAATTCATAACTTAGCTATTTATCCATGGATTTTTATCAACAGCAGCTTATTTTTTTCCTTTAAGTATCATATGTACGTAAAACAAATCAAACTGGACTTATCTTTTCGATTTCTATCTTTCCCAGAATGATATGTAAATATTCGACCTCGATTTTTGTAAAAAAAAAAGGACTTTTCCAACTTAATAAAATCGCTAGCATCGAACTACTGGGCCGATATCAAAACTTTACAAGAGAAAGTTGTAGAGGGCTCAATTACCTTTGATTTAAGTGCTTGTTTGGTTAAATCGATCAATTAGAACTCGAAGTATACTCTAAAACGTCAAAACACCTCAGAAAATTAAAATAAAACTATTGAAAATTTATATCTCGAAAACGCTTCTATGAAAAAAAATGTGATTTTCGCGTTTAATAGCCAAACTACACAAGAAAATCATAGTGAGACATGGTGGGCTGTACACTACTTTTATTATAACAAACACTACTTTTATTATAACAAACACAAAAAATCTGACTTCTGGTCCAGAATTCGTAAAATCGGCATGACAAAAATTAATATTCTTATTCTAAGTCAAAATGTAAAAAAAACTGTTGAAATTAAATTTTTGGTAACCTTTTAAACAAAACCTAGTTCTTCAACCAATAAATCAATTTTAAATTAAATTAAAATTTTTAATGAAATTGACTTGGAAAAATTGTTTTGATTTTTTTTTAAATGAGGCAAAACTATTTTTCTTACCTAACATAAGCCAAATTAAATCTGATTGGCAACTGGAAATCCAACTGTATAGTAGCACACTGGTGCGACCTCTTTAGTGCATCCATAATGGTAATATCAATTTTGGGACCATAGAAAGCACCATCGCCAGGATTTAGCTTCCATGGTTCACCAAATTCGTCCAAACTTTCAGACAACGCCTTTTCAGCTTCATCCCAGACCTAAAAAAGCAAAGCTCATTGTAAAATTTTGATATTTATTTATTTATTAAAGAAATACTCTACAGGAAAATTTTCCCAATTACAGAGCTTTTTCTAAAATTAACTTAAGACTAATTTACATAATATGTATTATAACTGCTATTCTTACTTAAATCTATTTACCAAATAAAAAATACACACTTTCAATAAATACTTGAAAGTATTTCTAATACAAAACGAAAATCTCCAAAAAAATATCCACAATGTTACCTAAAACTATCTTTCAAATTTAATTGATAAACTTTGATTCCTACCCAAACCAAAATAAGAAAAACTATAAGTCCAAAAAATATCTTTTTAAAGTATTGTGTTAATTATTTTTTTAATTTTTCACCTGTCACTCCTTTTGGATACAAAAAATTACTTTTTATTTCTTTCTATTACAAGCATTACTTCCATCAACTCGTTAATTGAGGCCTGTCATAGCAAAACCGACAATCTCCACTTTTGGTCAAAAATTAGATTTTTGGCGGAGACTGTACTTCAACTAATTATCTATAAGATGATAAAGTTTATGTGCTGCAAAAGGAGCTAAATCCTGCCTAAAATCCTATTTTAAAAATGACATTTAGTGCAAAATCGACAATTTCCACTAATAGATTTTCAGCAAAGTACACAATCTCCAATTCCACCATTAGAAATTAGTAATTTGTGTCACCTGATATCCTAACATTTGATGTTATAACGTATTTTAGAGATTTAATTTTGTGTTTTTTTACTGGTACATAGTGTTAAGTTCTACTGCAGTAAATTGCACTTAAAAATATATTTAAAATAGGTATATACGTTTTATTGTTTTAAGAATTATAAAAAAAGTTATCTTGTTTATTTTGTGCTATTATACCATAATAAGACGTAAAGGTAAAGCAAAAAAAGACTGATAATGTCAAAACATTGCAAGTAAAACATTAGGGAGCAAAGTGGGAAGAAGATGATGAGTTGTTGTACTATAAAAAACTTTTTTGCACGAGGCAACTTGGTCCCAGATTTACAAGAAACTCCAGATTTATGTAGCCCAGTTCAGAATTTTTCCACATTGATTGTATAGTTAAATTTTATAACTATTAAAGGAATAAAAATACAATTATTTTTTTGTTTATTTTTCTAAATCTCCTTTAACGTTTACAACAAAATGAGCAATCTCCAGAAATTCATATCAAAGTCAGCAATCTCCAATTTATAATTACCGATTTCACCTATACTATGCATCCTGGAGACCTTGTAGTTGGCTAGACTACCTAGACTAACAACAATATTTCAATAAAATATATAAAAAAAAAATACAAATCTAGAATTTAAAATACCAAAATTAATTATCTCAATTTACTCAGTTTTAGTCTGACGGGAGATTGTTGACTTTGCTCTGACAGGCCTCAATTAACCTTCCGGCGGGCGCAACCGATCTAAGAGATACACCAGTTAAAATATTGCACGCGAACGCATTGTTTTTATAGGCATAACTACCCACCCTTCAGTAGCTTCATATTTTTAAGACTTCTACCGATATGTCTACTGCAGTTTATGTTTGATCGCCTTGAAAGGTGGCGGCAGGCATTTTGATCTGCTAGATACAGTGCGCCCGATTGCGTTATAATTTAATATTTACGTTATAATTTAATATTTACAATTTAATATTACAAAAGTATTGATTTTTTAAATGCATTTTTACTTAAATTTATAATATGATAGTTCAACAAAAAGAAGAACAACCACCTCAAAAACGAAGATGTTTACCATATACTTCAGATTCTGAAGTCCAGAATCGGGTATTAGACGGCTTTCTAAATATAAGTGCAAAAAAATGTCAAAAAGCATTCTGCTTACAACATGCAATAATTGCAAATTATTTTCGTATGCACTTCATGTTTGGATAATACTGTTATTACTGAATCCAGTGAGGAGTTTTGATAATTATTTATATTTTCCGTTACAAAAATTTTTTTTATTTTATTTTCGGAATTTATGTAGGTAGGTATATTTTTAATTTTATGTTATTTATTAAAAGTTTTAAAAAACTTTGTGTTATTTATTTATATGGTAAAAATTATATTTTTACATTATTATATTTATAAAATTTTATTTTGTCTTTACAAAAATTAGTTATATTTTATTTTATTTGCGCATTTTTGTATATATAGTATTTTATAAGTTAGTAAATAGTCTTATAAAAAGTAGTGTTATTTTTTTATTTGGTAAAAAATATAAAAAAGGACTTTACTAAGCCTATCTGAAAATTGAGTGTCAGATCACTGCGCCCGAACTCGTACACAAAAGACGTGCGCCCGCCGGAAGGTTAACATTACAAAATCAAAACAAAAACACATACCTTAATGTCGCCCAAGTATTTTTCTGGCCTTGTGGACAGCACCAAATTGAAAGTGAAGCCGAAGATGCCGTAAACGTGCCTCAAGAAGTCCAAGGCGCCGCTCATTTCTCCCTTGATGTGCTCGGGCGCGCAGAAGATGTGCGCGTCGTCCTGCTGGAACCTGCGCACCCTGGTCAGGCCGGTGAGCGCGCCCGACAGCTCGTTGCGGTGCAAGACGCCGAAGTCGGCTAGGCGCAGCGGCAGCTCGCGCCACGAACGGATCCTGTTGTCGAAGATGAGGCAGTGCCCGGGGCAGTTCATCGGTTTCAGGGCGAATTTGTCTTTTTCGATGTCGAAGGAGAACATGTTGTCCTGGGAAAAAGTTTATTTTAAGAAATATCATCGAAAAAATAGTTTCATATGTTTTTACAAGAAAATAAATGGTTTAATTTATAGCTTTAGTCCAGTCAAATCGCCGTGTGACCTTGCGTGCTGAGGCACTGTATTTGAAAACCATAAAACTAAATTTGCACCACCTGACAATTTTTTTGTACAAAGATATACCAAAAATACATTTTTTCAGTTTATAGTATATACACGGTGCTGTTCTGAGAGGTGATTTTTGGACTTTCTGTGAAACCTAATTTTTTTTTATATTCTTGTTAATTAGGTCATAACTAAAATTTTAAGAGCAAAATAAAAAAAATTTGACGGTTTGAATTGTTTTAATTGGCTGTTTAATAAAAATATTATGCACTCTTTCAATTATCCAATTAAAACTAGCGATTTAATTTAAATATTTAATATTTCCATAACTAAAAAAAAGGTTTTTACAATTTTTTTTATATATTTTACTGTTTTGTTGCAATAAACGTTCAAACTTTTAATCTAACCTTTGACGTATACATTTATGTTCCCTTAATTAATATATCCTTAAAGGTTGCCATGAAACTTAGATCTATTAAAAATTTATTTGATGTTTGAATTGTTATTTTCAGTATACGTATTCTATAATTTTTGTTTAGTTTTTTAAAGTGTTTTTTATAAACAAAAATGAAAAATTGTAGTAAAAGTTACGAAGAAATTCATGAAATTTAACTAAGGACCGGTTTATTCATCTTTAGTAAAGTTTATCGGGCCGATAACTTTCATGTCTTGGCAATATCTAGCATCCAAAGAAATTATTCGTCAAATAAAAAAAATTAATAAATCGGTCCTAAATAAAATGTGGCACCCTTAGAATTATTGTTTAATAAATGTATACTATACATTTAACCTTAAATTAAAACTTTAAACGTGTATTACAACAAAACAGTAAAAGATATAAAAAATGTATAGACCTTTTTTTAGGAAATTAACTAATCTTTAATCTGATTTAAAAAGTTATGATATTTAAATAAAATCGCAAGTTTTAATTGGAGAATTGAAAGTGTGCATACATATTTTTAATAAACATCCAATTAAAACAAAATTAACCGTCAAAATTTTTTTATTTTGCTCTTAAAATTTTAGTTATGACCTAATTAACAAGAATGTAAAAAAAATAGGTTTCACAGAAAGTCCAAAAATCACCTCTCAGAACAGCACCGTGTATAGTATATCTTGGCCCCCGTATACTATACTATTTCGCAAACTGTGCATTTTACGGTTAATTATTACGATAAACATTTTGTAGCCCTATTAAATTTCCAAAATATAAAAACTAGTATTTAGTGTGACCAACCAGAGGCGACCAATCTACGAGCTTTTAAACATATTTTCCTGCCTTTGCAAAGTACAAAACATTTTAAACCGGCTTTTCAAAAGGTCCTTGCTGCGCCGCGGCGCGCCGCATTGATTGGTGCCCCAGCACGAAATATAGCATCAACAGGGTAAAACATTTTCATTACGCTTTATAAAGATACAAGTAACAAAAAATATCTGGATTATTTTTTATTGAAGCTGTTCTCGTGTACGAATCGAGAAAATCCAATCCGATCTCGCTAATTTACCACCTACAGAATCGGCAGCTGAACACAATTTTTTTTTTAACATTTCATCCGGTGCAGGAATGGTTGGCGAATGTTTCAGATCCAAAATGGGGGGCTGTAAGCCAATGATGACCTCTGAGTCAGGAGAAACGAAACCATCATCACTTGTCCACATCATTTCGTTCTGGTGTACGAATCAATGCGGCGCAACCTGCGAGTTAGAATGTTCTTGCATGAAAATATGTTTAAACTTTAGATAGATTGCCATTAATTCTGACAAAGAGATATGTTTGATCTACCATGGTTTCTTTGACAAGATAAAGCGAATCTGAAAAAGGGCCAGACCTAAAAAAAAATTACAATCAAACGATCATAAACATAGAAGAAATAAATATATTTTGACGTGGATTAGATCTACAGGAAATACCGCAATAAAAAAACAAGACTAAGACTTTTCCTTTAAAGTAGTAAGAAAAGGGTTCTTATAGGTGTACGAGCGCGACTATGTCCACTCGAGGATATTAAGAGGTACAGAATGTTAATCATAATTTATCCTAAAATATACCGTTTGCGAAGTATTTGCAAAAAGGAAAAAAAACGAACTAATTAACTTTATTTTCTACTCTTTTGTTTAAACAAAAAATACTTTAATTAAAAATTATTGAAAATTTTATAAAAAATATTTTTGCTATTTTACTTTTAATTGTGCAATATGGAGATATTCGCTAAAAACTAAAAAAAATGTATTTTTGCGTATATCTTTGTAAGAAAAAATGGTCAGGTGGTGCAAATTTGGTTTTAAGCCCCTATCGCTTCAGGCCATTTTTCACCAAGGTTTGACTGGACTACTTCTGGGACTGAAAGTAAAAGTTTTACATTTTTAATGAGTAAAACCCTAATCAGAAATTGTATATTGTGCGTCTAGTGGGAGAAAGAGGAAATTTCCTGAGCATAAAGTTTGTAACCCAACCCACTCGTTTTAACAAGTGCACTGCTTTTAATGAAAGACTTTAGTTTTTTTACATACATAAGAATATGTTGTTATTGTGTGTTATTTTTTAGAAAATACAAAAATATAAATGTATACAAATAGTTTAGGTTTAAGAAAAAATAAATTTAAAAAAATCACTTTTAAAAAACCCTCTGGGCTTTTTAAGTGGAGCTTTTTGGGTTATCTCGTATTTTGACCAATAGTCGCACTTAATATTTTATTCAATTACTGACATTTTACAACCAGTGCTGCTGGATGAATTTCATGAAATTTCCCGACCAAAAATTAATACCCGATTTTACCCGCAACTTGTTATACTTTAAATTTTCTAGCGCATTCGCCCTATTTTGAAAAATGAATTAAATTTTGAACAAGTCAAAAAGAATGGTAACAGGATAGAATTAAATAATTACGTATATTTAATAATGCACAAAAAGCATTTCGGCCCTTTTAAAAATGTTTGAGCATTATAAAAAGTGCTCGATATTTGAATTTATGGCCAAAACATAACCTGGTTATTTTAAAAATGCTCGAAAAGTGCCTAAAAGCGCCCGAGAAATATTAAAAAGTCCTTGATTTTTTTATATAAATTTTCTCATCATATAAACTTCAATAATTAAAGTGTTTAAAATGCTTGGGCTTTTATGGACACTGTTGAATTAGTAGATATTAAACATTTAAGGATAAAACTTTTAAAAGTTCAGATTTAAAATTTCTGGAAAAATTAACTGACAAAACGGATTAAAAAAACAATATTTTCCAGTTTGCTGTTGCTTATTTAAAAAAATTGAAACCATATTTTTTATACCTATTTATTTAAATCCAAATTTAAGATGGGCACTCATTACCCTGTACCTTAGATAATTTGAATTTATATTACCTATTTTATTAAACTTATTATTACCAAAAAAGCAATATTTCATTACTTTATGTTAAGTTGACTACAATTTAAATTACAGTTTGGAATCTTAAACTAAAATTGTGTGGTATTTTTTTATCTTCATAAAGCTTATATAAAAAGTGTTAAAAAATACTCACTGCATAATGGGCCCAATGTCCAGAAGTCTGCCACAACTTGGCATTATAAATATTAGGAGAAACAACCTCCTGAAAACCTCTCTTCCTATATTCCTTCTTAATAAACTCAATAAGAGTGTTGTAAATATGCGCACCGCGTGGTTGGAAAAAGCAGGAACCTGGAGACAGCTCGTGGAAAAAGAACAACTCTTGTTCCTTACCGATTTTTCTGTGATCCCTTTTGGCCGCTTCCTCTTGGAACTTCTCCCACTCTTTCAATTGCTTACTGTCGGGAAAACTGATACCATAGACTCTTTGGAGAGTTTCCGCATCAGCCTTGCCTTCCCAGTATGTCGAGGAGCTTTTTGTTACCTTTAAGGCCTTCACTTTACCGGTGTGCCTTACGTGCGGTCCTCTGCACAAATCTACCAACGGTCCGCACCTGTAGACGGTGGTGGTGGGTGTTTGCACTTTTTCCCTCAAAATCCTCAATTTGAAGGGATTGTCCTTGAACATCTTCATCAAGTTCTCCTTGGTCACCTCGAGTCTTTCAAACGGTTGTTTATCTTTCACGATATCCTTCATGACATTCTGAATATCGCCAAATTCGTTCTGTGAAACCCCCTTGTCTGTCAGATACATGTCATAGTAGTATCCGGAATCGATGGGAGGGCCGTAGCATAGGCAACCCCCGTACATTTTTTCGAGGGCTTCGCCCAAAATGTGCGCGGACGAGTGCCAGAACACGGCCTGCGCTTCTGTATCGTTGAACTTAAGCAATTCCAGTTTGCAGTCTTCCTCCAGGGGGCGGTCCAAGTCCCACAGGACGCCATTTACCTTGGAGATTACTGAGTTGTCTGCTAGACCCTGACTGTAATAAAAGAAAAATGTATGTAACAAAAAAAACTTAGGAAGAAATCTTCTAAATCAGTAAGAAAGATTTATTTTGTCCTAAACAGATTTTGTTCTTGTAATAGATACACTCCAATTAAAACTATGTTAAATGTACTAAATTTGTTACCAGTTTGTGATAGAATATTGTTTAATACTTTAATGTTTATATATAAAATGAAAAACAATATTCTACCTCAGTATTTGTGCCAAAATCTGTCATTGGTTTCTGACAGAAACAGTTACACACTTAGAAGTAGTAATAATTTCAATATAGGTATTTGTAGAACAACTCAGATGAAAAACACTGTATTTTATAAAGGATTGGTACAATTTAATTTACTACCAGCTAAAATAAAAGAAAGCTTTAATATTAAACATTTTAAGACAAATTTACTTGAGCACTTCCGTAGAATCTGTGATTAGATATATATAAATTATTTATACTTTTATTGTTATACTGTACATATCTTGTATACATATTATATTTATATTGTTATTTTTTGTATAGGTATGAGATAGCTTCCTTGCTAAATAAAGATTATTATTATTATAAAAAAGGTGGAAATTCTCCACGCATAGAGAAATTTGGCATCCACATCTTGATTTATTTTTAGAAGGTTATAAACATTGTAGATTTTTAGAAAAAAGGAATAGTGTAATAACTAAGGTCCGAATTACACTCACAGGCAAAATAATCGATCCCCACAAATTTTCGATGAATTTCAATCGCAAATAACTTTTTTATTTGATTTCGGATTTAAACAAATATTAAAGAATATTGTAGATACATTAATGGAGAATCGCTCACATTTTAAAAATTACTAAAAAATACACGTACATTTATAATATACAGGTTTAAACAAAAATATGTTTTTACCATAAGTTTAAGACACTCTGTAGAGTGGCAAAACCGTATATTGTTCTAAATTAAGTTTTAATTATCAAGTCACATCTATTTTTAACAGTTTTGTTTTTGCTTCCCCTTGATATATTTATTTTTGTGGAAAATATGGATTTTTAAAAAAAAACATTGCAATTTCCAATATTTTTCCTGTATGATGAACTAAGGTTGCTATGGTCCATCCATAGCCTATGGAGGATGACAGTGACAGTTTTGTTGAATCATCCCATACTTGGACATGTCATATACAGCTTTCAAAAGCTATCAAATTGTATTTTGTAAATTAATGTGTTAATTTTAAGGTGTCTTCTTACTTTTAAAAATATCTCCGACTGATGTTGCCCTTTGTACTTTACTTCTTGTGACGTTTAAAATACTTGCCACGTAATACTGTGACGGTCCATCCTGGATAAAATTAATGGCTCTGGCAACATCAGTCGGAGACATATCCATTGTTTTAAGTAAGAAGACACCTCAAAATTTAAACATTAATTTGCAAAAAACAATTTGATAGCTTTTGTATGAGATGATTCAACAAAACTGTCACTGTCATTCTCCATAGCCTATGGACAGGGCCGGCGACAATAGCGGTGCTCGCGGGCTCAAGCACCACACGTAAAGGAAAATGGTGGTGCTCAGCACCACACGTATTTTCAGCAGAAAAATTGCATTTCTTTTGCGGTCTCTAAATTTTTTATCCTGGTAGCCAGGGATCACATACTTCCACACAAGAGTTTTTTAACTTGAAACTTTAAAGTATCTCGCGTAATAAGAACTCTCGAAAAACTATATAAACTAAATTTAATTATTCCGGGGGGGATATATTAGTGCTAAAATTAGTAGTGTGCTCTCCCTGTATATAAAATGTGACTGAGTTTGATAAAAAAATTGACTAAAAAACTATTATTTTATTTTGTTCTCCTTCCCGCAACCCCCAAGAAAAAGAACACCCACACCCCCCATCAGTGGCGGCTGGTGGATTTTGGGTATACCGATATCTCAATTATTAGATATGGGAGCCACACCAAATAAATATAGGTAATATAAATTTAATTGGTGCAATTTATTATTTACCATATCGACAAATTTCAAATTTTATTTAAAAAATCCAAATAATACAGATTTTATATCATTTTAAATTTTTATTATTTCTTTTCAAAAAATTTAAAATTGTATAAAATCGGTATAATTTGGATTTTTTAAATGAAATTTGAAAATTGTTGATAAATTATGGTAAATAATAAATTGCACCTATTAAATTTATATTATATTTATTGGGGGCGCAAATTTATCTTTTTTTCGCAAACTTCAAATTAAATTCTGCTTAAGCAGAACTTGTTTATTTAATGTAATTATAAACTCATATAAATTTGGTGTGGGTCCTAATCTAATAATTGAGATATCGTTATACCCAAAATCCACCAGCAGCCACTGCCCGCCATCCATTAACCACTGCCACCAACAACTGTAGATGAGCACCACACGTCAAAATGAAAAGCTGCCGGCCCTGCCTATGGATGGACCATAGCAACCTTAGTTCTTCATACAGAAAAATATTGGAAATTGCAATGTTTTTTTTTAAAAATCTATATTTTCCACAAAAATAAATATATCGAGGTGAACCAAAAACAAAACTGTTAAGAATAGATGTGACTTGATAAATAAAATTTAGTTTAGAACATTATACGGTTTTGCCACTCTACAGAGTGTCTTAAACTTATGGTAAAAAACATCTTTTTGTTTAAACCTATATATTATAAACGTACGTCTATTTTTTGGTAATTTTTTAAAATGTGTTCGATTGTCCATTAAATTATCTACAATATTCTTTAATATTCGTTTAAATCCGACATCAAATAAAAAAGTTATTTGCGATTGAAATTAATAGAAAATTTGTGTGGATCGATTATTTTGCCTGTGAGTGTATATGCATTTCTGTACCTCGGATTATTGAATATGGGTCATTCCATATCAAATCACCAAATTTTAAAAATTCTATTTTTTGATTTAGTTAAATTTTTTATATGTTTTTGTGCCCAAAGATATGAATTTTTGAAAATCGCAAAAAAATAACGATACGGTAATTTTCAGAAATTCATACCTACTGCTTAAATTATCGTAACCTCATTTGACCGGTGGCTATTTTCTTCGTTTTGAAATGTAGTTTTTAAAAAAATATATAAAAACCAAATTTTTTTCCACTGTTTTTTCTTAACTTTTAACTTAAATTTTGACTTTTTATGAAGAGCGAAATTTTTTATTTTTTTGAAGAAAATATATGTTATACTAGACTGAAAAAGAAATATTTTAGGGGCATAATGAAAGTGGGATTCAAATATCTTCGATTTTTTATGAGTTTCATTAGAGTCCCTGTATAAACTTTAAATTATAAAGCTCCCTTATTATAAAGCTTACTTTATTAAATTAGGAATGTATTTACTTCTGCAAAGTTTAATGCACATTTAATATATGTAAATGTATGGTTCACCTCGCAAAAACAACTGTCCCTTCTTGGAACATTTAAATACGATGGAAATGTTTTATATTGTCGAGTTGGCGAGAAAAAAACCTTATATGGTAGGTACTTATTAATTGCATGCTGATTTTAAAACTAAAAAATTACTATTAATGTTGCATATTTTAAGCATTTTTTATTAATTAATATTGATAATTAAAAAAAATACAAAAAATGACATGAACATGCATGCATGCAGCACATGTGCTGCAAAACAAATTTTAATTTTATTTGTTTTCCATTAGGCCATATTATTTATATTTGTAGATGGGAGAAAACCAATATGAATTTGATAATTCGTCAAATGAATCTTAGTCACATTCTGTCACAAGGGAGGGGGAGGGCTAATTTTGACCGTTTTAACTTCATGAGATTTATGGATGGCCCCGATACAAATGTATTTTTTTAATCTTAAAATTCTTGTTTTACACATATACAATGTAATAATATTATATATTATTAAATTGACTAAATATTCAAACAAATTATTTTAAAAATGATAAAATATGTATAAATGGATATTTGAACATATTTGAAATGGATATTTGAACATATACGAGCCCTAACCACATAATGTTCGGACACTTCATAATTTTTACAGAAATTTTTTTCGTGAATACTATCTCAAAATTATTAGAAGTTATGAAAAATTCAGCTTATTTTGGCATATACCCCTCGAAGCGATTTTTATTTTTAAAAAGTTTACCTTTTATTTTTAGCTTTTAAAAAAAGGCTAACTTTTTAACTTTTTTTGCATGAGTAAAAAAAGTTATAAATGGGCCCATTAAAAAGAACATAAAATATTATACAAACCCTGAAAATTTGGTAAAAATTGTATAAATAATAAGAAAGTTATAGCGATATATATATCTGCAAAATCTCCCGTTTCCTAAGAAAATTGCAAAAACTCTTTAAAAATAGCATTTTTAAATTACTTATACTTTTTTATAACTTATTTATTTTTTACCAAATTTTCAGGGTTTGTATAATATTTTATGCTCTTTTTAATGGGTCCATTTATAACTTTTTTTACTCATACAAAAAAAAGTTAAAAAGTTAGCCTTTTTTTAAAAGCTAAAAATAAAAGGTAAACTTTTTAAAAATAAAAATCGCTTCGAGGGGTATATGCCAAAATAAGCTGAATTTTTCATAACTTCTAATAATTTTGAGATAGTATTCACGAAAAAAATTTCTGTATAAATTATGAAGTGTCCGAACATTATGTGGTTAGGGCTCGTAATATATAAAAAATACATTTGGATTGCAACAAATCTTTTCTTAAAATAATATTTTTAAATATTTAAATACAGATAGTTAGTCACTCCATCTACAAAATGTTTTGATATTGCTCAAAATTTCATAGTTATTTACTTTGTTAGTTTTTTAGTAAAAATTTTTTATGAAAATGCCAACTAACCAAAAAAACTAATATATTTTGTATTTTATTAACTATAATTTAAAAACTTAATACAATATTTTCTTCAAAATAAAGTGTAGGTAGTAGAAGATTAATATTTAATAATGTGAAGAAATTTCAGTTTATTTACCTAATTCCTTGTGCAACTTCATAAACAGTTGTCTTCCAAGCAACAGCTTCAACTTCTTTGCCATCTGGCAGGGTAACTTTGATGGGCTGTTGAGGTTTTTTTAACCTCTCAGCTTCATCCTCACTTTTAAGTTTCAAAAACAAATTCAACCTCTCCTGTATAAATTCAGGAGCCTCTGCAGGAGGCGCCTTCTTGTCACCGGGCTTTTGAAAGCTCAACTTGGCCTAAAAATATCCTTATGTTAGATTTTTATACATAAAACTGATTATTCAGCAAATTGATAACATATTTTATTATTGACCTAATATATAATATAATAATATTGCTGAACAAAAAAATAAATAAAGGGATTCGGTATTCTAAAAATATATTGCATCATTCTGCTACCGGGAATAGGGTAAATACAGGTAATGAAAGGTAAGGTATTCTACAAACCAACGTCGCAACAGATTGTCTGAACGCCGGCACTTGATATCGAGCAAAACTTAAAACTTTTAACATTGCGAATTATAAATAAATAAACTCATGCCTTTTCCTCGTTCAGCTTTAAAGCTTCGAAATATGCTACCACGTTATCGCCCATGTTAGCAGAAATATGGAAACTGACAGCAGTTATAACCTCACTAACAATTGTGGCTAACTTCAAGGATGACCATTACGTCAAAGTCACAGATTATAAAGCTACGACACATGTATATACGTCATGTTGACCCCTTTTCGGATTTTTTGACCCCACAAATAATTGTTGTTGGCATTGAGTCTTGATGGGTTTCAAAATATTAATATGTATTTATAAAATGTATTGTTTATTTGACCTAGTTAAAACAAAAAATAAAGAAATATCTTTTGTATGCCTAGTTGCATAATTAAACGTCATTACGTTATTGGTGATCTTTGTCTTTTTATGTTTGCCTCTTTGTTGTTTAAAGGTAAATTTTCACTGCAGTATGTGAAATGTCAAAACACAGCAGCATTTACGTCAAAAATGATTGAAGTGGCATTTAGGTTAGGATTTTTAATGTTTACTTGAATCGCAATTTTATACGAAAAATTTAAGTTTCACAATATGTGGTCGTTTTTCTCTCGCGATCCCTCGAAAGACTTTAACTTCGAAATCGGCGAGCCAGTAGGCAGACTACACGAAAAAAGCGTATGGTCGTTGCATAAAGGCAAAAAGAAGGTAAATAAAAAGTGTACAGGTGTTTTCGAAATTACACGGGTTTTTGTAGGGCTCAAATGAAGAAGTGTCGGTGTTTGTGTTTGATATTAAAAATTCTAGTGAGGCACAATTAGAGATTGCAAAGTCTTCAATTAAGAGGTTGAAGACCTTACGACATCCCAGTGTCCTAACTTACATAGATAGCTTGGAATCTGATAAATTTTTGTATTTAGCCACTGAATATGTCGAAACATTGTTCGATCATCTCGAAAAATTGCCCCTGGAGGGCCCCCAGAGGGATTTATACGTAGCCTGGGGCATTTTTCAAATAACTGTAAGTAAAAAGTCAATTTAAATTTATACCTTAAAATGCATACAAAAATGTTAAATATTGTAGTAAACTATAGTTTTTATCACTTTCTTATCAGGCTTAATTTTACAATTTATGGTTTAATTTGTATGGTTTTAAAAAGGTAATAATAAATTATTATTTAATAAATTATAAAATAGTTTTAAGATTCAAAATAATTTTTTTTATGAAGAAATTAAGGAGATTTTTACAAATAAATGAAAAAAAATTTCATGTTATTTTTGAATGTAGGTAATTAAAGAAATATTTTCAAAATTTATATGATAAGAATTTTTTTTATACAAAATTGGTATAGTGTAATACATTTATATTATATATTATTATTCATAATAAAGATAGGAATCTAAGATTTTTTTAAGCTTGTCAAATAAGAAATATTATTATTTCTTTTATTTATGTTTAAGAGAGCTTTATCCTTCCTTAATAACGATGGTAACTTGAGACACAATAATGTCAACATTTGGTCTGTGTTTGTAAACTCCTCTGGCGAATGGAAGTTGGGAGGGGTAGAGTATGTTTCTAGTGTGCAAGACCCCCCTCCCATGTACCGCATATTGCCCGGCTCGGAAGTGTATGACCCCCCTGAGAAAAATGACAACAACAAGCTGAAAATGACCACTAAATGTTCAATTGATATGTGGGGTCTTGGGTGTCTTATTTGGGAGGTTTTCAATGACCCTGCTCAGTCTCAAGCATCATTTAAGGTTCTAAACAAGGTATAAAAGCATTTTTTCAATATTAAATTTTATTAGGTTAATATTAGATTTTCTACACTCACAGGCAAAATAATTGATCCACACAAATTTTCGATAAATTTCAATCGCAAATAACTTTTTTATTTGATTTTGGATTTAAACAAATATTAAAGAATATTGTAGATACATTAATGGAGAATCGCTCACATTTTAAAAATTACTAAAAAATACACGTACGTTTATAATATACAGGTTTAAACAAAAAGATGTTTTTTACCATAAGTTTAAGACATTCTGTAGAGTGGCTAAACCGTATATTCTAAATTAAGTTTTAATTATCAAGTCACATCTATTCTTAACAGTTTTGTTTTTGGTTCACCTCTATATATTTATTTTTGTGAAAAATATGGATTTTAAAAAAAACATTGCAATTTCCAATATTTTTCTGTATGAAGAACTAAGGTTGCTATGGTCCATCCATAGGCTATGGAGAATAACAGTGACAGTTTTGTTGAAACATCCCATACACGGCTTTCAAAAGCTATCAAATTGTTTTTTGCAAATTAAGGTTTAAATTTTGAGGTGTCTTCTTACTTTAAAAAATGGATATGTCTCCGACTGATGTTGCCAGAGCCATTAATTTAATACAGGATGGACGGTCACAGTATTACGTGGCAAGTGTTTTAAACGTCATAAGTAGTAAAGTACAAAGGGCAACATCAGTCGTCAGACATTTTTAAAAGTAAGAAGACACCTCAAAATTAACACATTAATTTACAAAAAACAATTTGATAGCTTTTGAAAGCTGTATATGACATGTCCAAGTATGGGATGATTCAGCAAAACTGTCACTGTCATCCTCCATAGGCTATGGATGGATCATAGCAACCTTAGTACTTCATACAGGAAAAATATTGGAAATTGAAATGTTTTTAAAAAAAAAATCCATATTTTCCACAAAAATAAATATATCAAGGTGAACCAAAAACAAAACTGTTAAAAATAGATGTGACTTGATAATTAAAACTTAATTTAGAACAATATACGGTTTTGCCACTCTACAGAGTGTCTTAAACTTATGGTAAAAAACATCTTTTTGTTTAAACCTGTAGATTATAAACGTACGTCTATTTTTTAGTATTTTTTTAAAATGTGAGCGATTCTCCATGAATGTATCTACAATATTCTTTAATATTTGTTTAAATCCGAAATCAAATAAAAAAGTTATTTGCGATTGAAATTCATCGAAAATTTGTGTGGATCGATTATTTTGCCTGTGAGTGTATTTTTTAATGTTTTTTTCAATTTGTTACGTTTTTTCGAACCGTTAAATCCTAAAAGGGATTTATCAAACAGGTATTGACTTTTTCTTAGGTTCCGAAACAATTGGGCCCCCTTTATTATGAGCTGGTGGGCACCAACCCAGCTTCGAGGCCCAACCCTGCCGATATAATAACGCGCTGTCGCAAACTGGGTGGCTACTTTAAGAACGATCTGGTCGATACACTTTTGTTTCTCGAAGAGATCCAGATCAAGGATAAGAACGAGAAAAATCGCTTTTTCTCGAACCTCACGCCGCACCTGGACAATTTTCCCGATAACGTTTGCAAGCACAAAATATTGCCGCAGCTTATAACCGCTTTCGAGTATGGAGACGCCGGTAGCGCCGTCTTATCACCAATGTTTAAGGTGAAAACAATTTATTTCAATCAACAGGTTTTTAGTTTATTTGACATTGCAGCTGGGTAGACTACTAGATGAAGCTGAGTACCAAAAAAAAATCGTGCCGTGCGTAGTCAAGCTGTTCAGTAGTAACGATAGGGCCACTAGATCTAGACTTTTACAGCAACTCGAATATTTTATTGGTCATTTGCAATCTGGAACTGTAAACGATCAGATCTTTCCGCAAGTGGCTCATGGCTTTATGGACACCAATCCCACAATTAGAGAACAAACTGTTAAAGTAAGTAATTATGTTATTTTTGTATTTCCCAAATACTTTTTTGTTCTGTTTAAATCTACAAGAACTATCTAAAATTTCCTGAAAAACTTTGAATTTCTTATAAATATTTTAAAAACTTTCGTAAAACTCTCTAAATTGTCCCAAACCAGTCTAAAAATGTCACGAAATCGTCTGAAATTACTTTTTTTAAATGGTTTTTTAAATATAATTTTTTTTTTAACTAATGTTAAAATTCTAAATCCTAAAGTTTAATTCATCATCTATATGTTATACGCTAAAGAAGTATCGGGTTTTCGCAACGCGCGTGCCATCTGGTGGACTTCGAATGCATTCCGTGAATTTAAGAATTGTCAACAATACATTTAAAGCACAGATTATACATCATTTTTAAATAAATAGGTAGTTTTTTTTTACAAAAGAGAGGAAGGCAGAAGTCTTACTCGACAAATTTTGTTCAATTGCACAGCTAAATCGCGCACGTTGCAAGGAAAAAATGAAAAACCTTTTTTATCAAAGAGATTATGGTGAATTATTGTGTTTTGTAAATAAAATTCAAGAAATAAATCGTTGCATTTTCATGTTTTGACAAAGGATCCAATTCGGGAAGTATATTTGTTGGTGCAGAATTAACTAATGATAACTTTACCTAATATTTATATTTAAATTTGGAAATTTTTAAGAAATTAGTAAAAAATAATTTTTGCGAAAACATAACCTTAAAATCAACCATTTTTATATTTGAGTTCTCTAAAAAACGCCGACAACTGCATTTTAAACAACAAAATATACCTGCGAATTCATGGCAACATAATATAAATAATACATAATATAATACTATTTTACCGTTGAGTGAATACTTTCTTAATAAACGCTTTTAATAATGCTAAATGGTGTTTAAATTAGACGACTTATTTGTTTGACGATTTTTACTGAATTGAAATATTTACACTTCTCACGTTAATCACTACTAAAATGTGTATTTATTGTATCTAATAGGTACAATTTATATTTACAGAGACTGTATGCAATTAATTTCTTAACTCAGCCCAGGATTTCCTCTTGAAATACACCTAAGCGTTTGACAGCTGATTATTAAAAGGTATACTTTTGTTACGATGATAACAACCGAGTGGTGGCGCTACTAGCGATACTTCTTTAGCGTATACTTTATTTTCTAAAATTTTCTCATTATGTAACGGGTGCGACATATGAACTTTATATCGAGTATTTAAACTCTTCCCTGTTCATTCCTAAAGTTAGCTTCTCAGAATTACAATGCATGAATATTTTAAGGTTATTAATTGCGTCGCAATTAAACTATTTGACTTTAGCTGGCCAAATAGCTTATAAAAAAGCTAAAGGCCATTAACCTCTGAAAACAGAGATACTCTGTATCGGGGGGTATAAGGGGAATTTGACAATAGGCAACAGTAAAATAAATCAAGCAGGCTTGGAAAACCGAGGTGAATGTAAATCATTGGTGGGATTAACTACATGTTATGAGGCACATGATTTCCTTTGTTGTGATTGGTTGTTCACCAATTCGTCCGTTCTCTATCAGCTGTGGTAAATTGCAAATGGCTGAACCGCTTTGTAATTGTGTTGAGTGAAATATTTTAACCAAGATTTTCTTTGTTTTAGGTAAGTAAAATTGTTAATTCCTGCTTTAACATTATATTAGGTGGATATAGGCATGTTTAAGTTAAATGTAGCATCACTACCGCGTTTTTATTAAAAAATACGTAGAATTAACCGTTTCGGTTTTTTTCTCCATGTTTTCCTTAAACAAATGTTATCAAAGTTGTAATAAAACAAATAGAATATTATTTTTCTATAATAAAACTTATAAAGTGTTTAATTAAACCAAGTTTTCATGGAATTGGAATGGTTTTAACGTTTTTTGAATAAAAATAACAACGTAAATAAACCTTAATACATGTAAGTTTTTAACGATGTTTTCTCGGAATTTTCAATGCTCAATCAATTTAAGTAGTACATTTTATTTAAAAATTAACACGATATACCTAGTTGCTTTTATAATATTCTTATTATTACAAAAGGTATACCTATCTTTGTTTTGGTAAATTTGTAGGTTATCTACTTATAATATTTTGTAAATCATTTTAATTATCAAATTTTTATTTTCCAATTTTAATTACAATACCTACCTACTAATTTTTAAATGCTATTTTAATAGACTTGTATTAACACAACTTTTGTCTAATTTAACCAACGTTGTAGCTCTTCAAATAAAAAAAATACCCATGCATAGAAGAATACTTGGTACCTTGCATATACAGCTAAGCGAAAACTGGACCTGGGTCCAGCCCCCTCATCCGTGGATCGGAAGTAAAGGGCCCAACAATTTGGCACTTCATCTATGGTCAACACATTCGACCGCTCTCTCAATGTGCGACTTCTTTCTCTGGGGCTTTATAAAAGATAAAGTTTATGAGCCCCAAGATTTGTGAAAACTAAAGACACGAATTGGAACTGCCATTGATGAAATTACCACTCAGACCCTTCGGTTGGGATAGAAAATGTTCAAGTATTTACTAGATGTTTGCAGCTGGAGGAGGTCATATAAAACACTTGTAAGCATACAGTTCAAAACTTGATTATATTACAAATGTTTTGTGCTTTCCATGTTTTTTTTTACATAAACATAGCATTTTGAGTTTTTTAACTACAGGGTGATAATCTTTTACAGTATGTTCATAATTATTTTATTTGTTCTATATGAAAGTCTGACATTTTTAATGTACATAAATAACTAGACAATTCATAAGCAAACCTTTTAAAGAAATATTTTTAAAGTTTTAAATTCAATCATTTTTTGTTACAATATAATTGATTTTAATTTAATGCATTAATTTTAGGTTTTGCCATAATGGAACAATTAGAGAAGATTTATCCTACATGAAGAAAAATAATGAAAGACAGCTTTACTCGTCAATCCCAAGCAGAAATATTTGACTTCCAAAATTTTTTAATAATAGGTACCTAGATATTTTTTTCATTTAGAATACATTTTTAGTTACAATTAGGGGTGTGTGAATATTTTTACCAAATTTAATTAACTAGTAATATTTAATTCAAACTTAAAATTAAATATTCAAACTACATGAATAGTTTGAATTATTTGAATAGTTAAATAATTACAATCATAATCTATTCAAATAAGATAATTAAGGGTTAATGACAAGTAAATAACATTCAAACTTTTTATTTAAAAATAAATTTTAAATTACAATTCCATTTCTTCAATTACTATTGGAAAATTTTAATTTTCTTATTAAACCATTTAAAAATTTGAAACATTCAAACTATTCAAATAATTCTTGAATTCAATATTCACACATCCATAGTTACAATACAAATATAAAAAAAGTAAAAGCCTTGTCCATTAAAGAAAGTACACTTTTATTTTTTACTCCAAATATAATTAAATTGTTTATTGTTAAAAACAAGCAATCTTACATTTTTATATTACATACACTTCTGCTTTAGATTATTATTTAGCAAGATATTAAAAAAGAATATTTTCATGTTAAAACAGCACAAGGTCACCATTATTAGTTTTTATAAGATTTTTAAATTAAAAAATAAACATAATCATATTTAGTTAGTCACTTCCCTTGTTTTTACAATAAACCATTCAATTATTTGCTTCAGCAGAAATATTGCTAAATTATTTTTATTTAATTTTAAAAATTATTAGGTAATATCAATCTTTTTACAATTTAAATTGATTTTAAAATTGATATTGATTTCAGGTTTGGGTTTGTGTTAATGGAAGAAGTAGACAGGACTTGAATTTATCAAACTTCTTTGCAAAAGTACATAGAAAATATTAATTGCAGTTGAATATTCTTCATTGAATCAAGAAAAAGACGCTGGTTCAATCCATAATCATGAACAAGAAAGAAGACAATCAATTAATACTGTCTGTCCACTCTATTAGAGTGACTCTAAGTTGGCTGAACTAAGGAATTTTGTTGTTTAGATATTAAAGAATTGTCGTACTGTGTGCTTTTAAAACAGATTTTATATTATAAATAATACTAGTATATAATATGTACTAGTATTATTTATAATATAAAATCTGTTTTAAAAGCACACAGTACGACAATTCTTTAATATCTAAACTACAAAATTCCTTAGTTCCGCCAACTTAGAGAGGACAGACAGTACTTAATATTGACCAGACAGTTATATCATACAAAGTATTTTATATAAAAGATAGGTACATAAAGATTTTAATTTTGCCAAATACATAATTACAATATTTTTAACATTTAGATTGAAGTGGTTCTATTGATTATTAATTTAAATTAAACCAATTTTACTAAAAATTAAATATTGCAAAGAATGTAATTTTTGGATAAGTGGGAATTCCTTTTTGCCAAAAATTCTATATTTTACAAAACTATAGTATTGTGCTTCTTATTTAAAACACAAATTATAATCATACTTTTGCTAACAATTCCTAAAAATTATAAGAGTACACACAAAAAGCGTAGTGTTATTTTAAATATACCGTTAGTGCCTATATGCGCGATTAAATTAATTGTTTGTAATAAATATTTCGTATATTCCCCATTCAAAAGAATGATCGTCTTAAAACGAGACTGAAATATTTGAAAGCAAGTAAAGCTAGTTATTTTGTTGAAGAATTTCATATATTTGATGTTATCTATTTAAAATGAATGTTTTCATATGTTTAACATAATTATTGGCAATAGTCTTAGCAAAAGTATAATAGCTTTAAGATAAACTTGTAAAGTAAAATATAAAATCTTTTAAATTAGTCAAAGATTCAGTTAAAATAAATTACTAAATTAATATCAATAGTTTTTCAATAAGTATTGAACTATTGTTTATCAAGAATTTATCACATTTTGATGGTAGGTAATAGGTTAGAGTTAATTTGTTTAATAAACCTTTGCATTTTTATTAAGAAATCTTAAAATACCTATAAAGATTGTTATTATGTGGCACAAAATTAAAATTTTTGAAAATGATCAATTAAATGTCATACTTTTTGATAAATTATACCTAAATAATTATAAATTATTATACATGTTTGATAAACCTTGTTTTAAATTTCACTAAAAGTTATAGAATAATTAACTTTGAATTTCTCTTCATTTAAATATTATTTGTTGGTTATAATTTAATTTAAAATTGAATTAAGTGTATATTTTGTTTAATATATTTATAAAAAAACAAAAATGTGTGTTTTTCCACTTAATTAGTGGAAAATAACCGAAAATTGTTGAAATTTTATATTTTTTGATTTTTAAAGAACAATATTAACTATATGGTTCTTTAAAAACCCAAAAAAATATAAAATTTTAACAATTTTCGGTTATAATTCCATATTTTAAATAAAAATTCAAAATTCGCGCCGCAGAAATCGTGTGGATATTTCCACCAATGGCTTACTGGCACCTCGGATTTCCAAGCCTGCTAGATTTCAAAATCAAACAATGCCTGTTGCCACTTTTCACTACAGCGCTTTTAATTCTCTTATGTTCTGTGCTCTGTATTCAGATTTATTGAATTGAATTGAAATAGTTTTTCTTTTGAAAAATAACACATAGGCCTAGGCACATACAAACTTTTATGAGAGTAGAAATTAGTTCGTTTTCTTATTGCTAGTGGCAGTGGCGTCACAGGCAGCATTTAAATTAGATAAAAACGCATAAAAAGCGGAAATTTAAAAGAAAAAAAAACAAAAAATATTTTTTTCTAAAACCTATTATCAGAAAATAAGACGAAATTAGCTCGACACTGACAGAAAAGTAACCTTAATAATATGTATTAAAGTCGCGTGTTGGGACTTTTGAGTGTGGACCACAAAGACTAGAATCTTATGGCACAAAAATACTCACTTCTTGGCGAAGTGGGTGCATTTAAATCTTATGTTTTAGTCTGTTATCCACTTGGCATCCAAGCTAAACTACAACAATCTAAACATTGAAGTACTTCGACATTTCGCCAGATTGCAGTCGAAAGACGAGCAAGGCGGCATTAGAACCAACACTACAGTGTGTTTGGGCAAAATAGCGCAACATTTGCACCCGCAGATGCGCCAAAAAGTTTTGATTTCCGCCTTTATTAGAGCCATGAGGGACCCCTTTCCGCCTGCCAGAAACGCCGGTAAAAATCTTGTTCTTACTTATTATACATAAGTTCAAGTGTTCATGTTTTTTTTCAAAGGTATTCTGGCGTTAGCTGCGACTCAACAGTATTATTTGCTGAGCGAGGTGTCCACTAGAATTTTGCCAGTACTTTGCCATTTAACAATGGACCCTGAGAAGAGTGTCAGGGACTCAGTTTTCAGGACCCTTAAGGGCTTCATAGGGAAGCTTGAGAAGGTTTCTGAGGACCCTAGTTTGAGAGAGAGTATGGGTAAGTTTATCTTCAACTATTGGCGTTTTATAGTCTTTTGTTCTCTAAAATTTTTCTTTTAAAGAGGCCGACGTAAACACTGCCACTCCGAGCCTAAGTAACGCTGCTGCCACCTGGGCAGGTTGGGCCGTAACGGCGGTGACTGCCAAATTTTACAGAAGTCAATCGGACACCGTGAAATCCATGAATCCAATGGCCAATAAGATGCTTACTAAACCGGGGTCTTTGGGTGAGATATTGAAGACAACTAAATGTTGAAATTTTTTTTTTTTTTGTTTTTTCTCGAACAGAACAACCTTCTAGCAGTAGTATTTCCACTACTACTTCTAGTGTAACCTCCATGACTTCTCTGGAACATGAGGACGGAAGCAAAGGGAATGATTCCGTGTCTGATTATGATTATGATCAATGGGGGGATAATGAGAATTGGGGGGATATGGAGGTAAGTCATATATATTACTTATTACTCTTTAATATATTTTTTTGTCGCTATAATGTTGTCAAATCCGTTAATTTTGTGAAAACCTAAAATGTGGATTGTGTGAATAATTTTGTCAACATTTTAGCATATAAAAATAAATAATTGGTAATTTAATCTGGCTATAGAATTGGTTTTTACCATACCAAAAAGTATAACATAAAATATTTTTTAATTAATCCATTACAGGAGCCTAAAAGAGCATGTAGGGTAAGGCAATGTTGGTTGGTTGTTTTAAATTTGTTGAATTAATCAACTTAATATTTCCCAACATTCCAATTGTATTTACAAAAAATAATCTTTTCGTTAAAAATAACATAATAATCATAACAGTTTACTAATTATTTTAAAATTTACTCGGTTATAATTATTTTAAACTTATTCAGCCCAACCTGGCACATTTTTTGACAATAACTTTCATTATAGATTTTAATAATGTACAGAGTGACTCTAACTAACTAACTATTTAAAAAATTTATTTCAAATATAAATATAAAAATTAACAAAAATACATGTCAATTAATGTCAAAATTTTGTTTTAAGACCTTTTTAAAAAAACTTAAGGACATTTTTTGTGTTTAAAAAAACGGCGTCCCTATTGCATTTTATTTTTAATTTTCTAAAGTTTCTTTAGGGAATAGGATGTAAAATTTCATTTGGTGCAACTTGAGTTAGATAATAATCTCCTAAACCTATTGAAAATGGTTGACAAAATCCAAAATATCCCCCCCTGTCCGTGTCCCCAGTAACTTCAATAATATTTTTTCATATTTTTTCAAAGCTTAATCTTTCTAAATTCACTATTTTGTAAATTCATAAGTAAAAACTTTATAACTTTTTATCTATATAAAAGGGGGACCCCAACATTGTTGTCAAATGTCAAAAGTTTGACAAATTTAAAAACTATTCACTTAATTTTTTATATTTTTTTGTATGTAGTAAAGTTTTACCTTTTTTTATATAGAAAAAAATACATCTCAATGTGCCCTCATGGGCCACTACAGATAATAAATATAAAAATGTACATATAACTATTTGTATAATGTCGCCCCCCTTTAACTTTTTTATTTTAAGTGTCCGAAAAAATTTCAAAGTGTGGTTATGTAGGTACTAAAAAATACTTTTTTTCCACGTACAAAGAAAATTGGAAAATTGATCAGTATACAGGGAAAAACAAAAAGTATGTTTTTTTTCAATGGATCACCCTATGTATGTATTTATTTTTCAATTGCTTGTAAAATTCTAAGCATATTTCATATAACATACCATATACCTAAATTCAACCGTTTCTGAAATATTTAAATTATTTTTAAGACAATACAATTCATTAATATTAGAACCAAAATGCCAGCATTCCATAGTTACACATTTTATCCCAGCGGCAATATTTTTTATCATCTTGTTTACACGGTACTAAGGATTTTGACACTTTTCTTGATTTAACATTTGTTGTCATTTAAATTCTGTGTTTGATATATATCAATAAAATAATGAATTATAAACTCTAAAAGATCGATGGATTGGTGTAAACGATAATGAAATTAAGGTAAGTTTGAATAAATAAGGTTTATTAAAGTCTTTTTATATTTTAAAGCACATTTTAATTTTAAATGTCAATCTGACAATTTTTTAATTCTAAAATTCATTGTATTTTCTCACTAAATATAACTCGTGGTATGATTAATAATCGAAGATATTTACTCATTGAAACCAAAGCAGCACATTTCACTCGTCCTGCGGACTCGTGAAATCTGCAGCTCGGTTTCAATTCGAAAATATCATCGATGATAATCATACCACTAGTTATATTATGGGTGATAATAAGTTGAAATAGTTTGTCTTTCTCTGTCTGAGTAGGCCATTTTTATTTATTTAACAAGACATATTGACATAATGTCACTATAATAATTTATTTTCAATAAAAATTTTGGTATCAAGGCTTCTTGATTTCTAACAGTTTAAAAAAACATTCAATGATAACATTTCAAATGCGAATATTTTAGAAGTTGAATTTAGGATATGGTTTGTTATATGAATTATGCTCAAAATTTTACAAGGAATCGAAACATAAATTCATATATAGGGTGATCCATTGAAAAAAAAATAAACTTTTTGTTTTTCCCTGTATATTGATCAATTTTTCATATTTTTTAATACGTAGTAAAAAAGTATTTTTTAGATAACCACTCTTTTAAATTTTTTGGGACCTATAAAATAAATAGTTAAAGGGGGGCGACATTATAGGGGATCACCCTGTACAATTTAAAAAAAATTTAACGATCGAAACATTTTTGGGCAAGTTATCGCATTTTTAAAAAAAATGTTACTGGGAAAAAGAGAAAAATCGATGTTTCCGTTCATTTTTCAAAAATTTCCTATGGTTGAACAAAACAAATTTAAGCAAAAAGAAAAAATACGGGTCTAATCGTTTTCAAATTGTGTATTGAACGTTTTGTTGCTTTTAAATGGTAAATTTATAGTCAAGGTCCCAGACTTTTTGTTTTTTTAATATAAAATATGGTACAAATAAATTTTAGGAATAATTTTTATATTAGTAAAAAATATAAGTTCAAAATAATTTTTAATAAATAAAATAAAAAATGTCCTTAAGCGCTTTTTTAGGTTGTCAACCCTTTATATAATTATTAATATTAAGGGTTAACAACAAAAATTTAACAATGTAAAAAAACGTACGAAAATAGTAATCTATTTAAAGGTTATCCTATGGTTTGTTGTGTTTATTATTATTAAATAATTTAAAATCATCTTATAATTTTTTTGTGATTTCTTCTAAAACTATAATCTATAAATTAACCTATATCTCTTGAAGACCGGAGGTCACGTGGTGAGCACAAGCGGCAGCAACAGTGGCGGAGGCGCCGGTCATTCCAGCGACCCCACGAGCCCGCCCTCCGGATCCGGCGGCACTGCCAGAGTGACGGACGGCTGGGACAACGAGGAGTGGGGCAGTCTGGAGGAGGAAGCCGAAGCCGACTTAACGTCGCCGTCTGAAGCTTGGAGTCCCACGGATACGACGCCGATAATTCCCATAGAGAAGAACAATAGAGCCGACCAGAACTGGGGTCAAGACCAAAACAATAAGTCTACAAATAATTGGGACGACAATGATTTTGAACCTTTAGAAGAAAATCCAGGAGGTAAGTTGTATTAATGTTTTTTTCTTTTAATGCATTATTTTATCAATTATTCAATTCATATTTTTTTTAAATAAATAGGGGTCATAATACTTTTTAGCCCCATCTACCTCTAAAAAATAAACACATTTTCATATCCATTGTGACTATTATTTAGGCAAACTAAAGGTAATTCTAATGTAACTCTCAGCAGTAAAGTTTCGCTTAAAGAGTCTCTTATTTTTAAGTTTTAATGTCGTAGCGATAGCAGTGCAATGTGGCAAAAAAAACATGTGACGAAGAAGACATTTTTCACAATAAAAAAATCTATTTTACAAGTAACACAATAAATGCACATAAAACATTTTATTAATTTAAAAGAAAGAAATTGGTTTACTTTACATGAAAAAGAAAATTTAATACTGCAAATACTTACCGGGTAAATGCCGTAACTTAAGCTTGTTTGTAACGCGCAAAATAACAATAGTGATACCATCTCCTGCCACAGTTATAAACTACATGGGTTACAGAGTTCTTTAATATGTAATGCTAAACTATAAGGACACGGTTTGGTCACGCTTAAAAAATTATTCACTTACATTTTATAACATTCTTTATTAGTTCTAAGGAGCTACTTATTTGTTATTTTATTTTAGTTTTAGAATTCTGTTTCATAAAAAACCTATGAAATATATCAAAGTTTTCACTATTGCAATATGATGGGGTTATAGAGTGTGAGGCTTAATTTCAACCTTAATTAAGATATTAAACATATTTTTATATTTAATTGAAAAATTTTCTTTTAATTTTTGATGTTATTTATGAATTTATTATTTTTTTTAATAAGAAATGTTAAGGGCAACTGACAAATGGCAGAGCCTTAATAGTATTATGACCCATATAATTATAATGCTTTCTTTTTATTATTCTATAGTTAATAATATATATTTCAAAATCTTAGAATGAGCTGAAAATATTTTCAAATTTTATATTTTCAAAATTTTACAATATCATTTTGCTTTTATAGAATTTGCCATTGTTCCTTTTTTTCTTTTTTTTATTAATTCTTATTAACGGTATTTTGTAATAGGTATTATTTTTAATGTAAACAGTTTTTTATTTCTGGTAATGTTTTTGATTACTTTAAATTTATTTATTTTTTAACTCATTAAATCGATTTAATGAGTTAAAAAATAAATAAATTTAAAGTAATCAAATCCTGTTTTTTTTTTAATATTTTTTAATAATTATAATTATTAAAAATATATCAATATTTTTTCACAAAAATAATTTTTAGGATTACAAAACTCATTTTTACAATAAAACCATAGAAACGTGTTTGTCAAAAATAAATATATTTTGTAAAATAAAACTCATTTTTACTTGGGAAAATTTGTATAAAAATAGTTTTATTTTGTTAAAAGATTTAATATTTTCTTGCAGAAATATCAAAAATATTTCGCGATTTTACGTTACTTTAGTTGGTTAATTTTCTAAATAATAATTACCAAAATATTTAATTGTAACAATAAGTAATATTAAATAATTTTTTCAAAACTTTTGGGCGGATTATTGTTGCATAAGTACCAACTTAATACTCGTATAGCTTTTTAAAATTTTTAAATACATATAATTTTTCTTTTATTATTTTAAAAAGCAGTTGTCAGGGTTTGCATTTAAACTAATTAGTATAATAAACTTAAAAAGACATTAACCTTGTTTAATAACTCATTTCGTATCATTTATAAATGATAAGAAATTAATTAATTAATCTATAGATTGATTGTATGTTTTAATGCTTCGTTTTCAAGATGTGTTATAGTTATTAAAAAAATATATTTATTTTTTCACAAATTTTAAAAACTCCCTGGCCGAATTTCATAAAAACTTGTCAGGTTTTTAGTAATGAGTAAAGGGCTTAATTTAGTGTAATTTAGTTTAATTTAGTTACCCACCTCTGGGCGCTGGCGAATCCCAACTATACAGGGTGTCCCAGAACTCGCGCCACATAGAAAAAAGGAACGTGCAGAAAGTTATGCGAAACACATACTTGAAAATTAAAATTATCCAAAGCAGTTTATGCAAATGCAGCATCTGCAGCCGGAAGATAATTCTCTAGTGGTTGCTAGAGCTCTAAAATCTAGATTTTGGATCTAGGGTACGGAACTAAAGTTAATTTTTTTTATCTGGACTGCGGCAACGTTGAAAATTTAGGTTTTTGGTTGCATTGATTAAAACAAACTAAGCTAGTTATAAATCTAATTTTGGTTATGTATAAATTATTGTAGGTTACATTGTGCAGTTGTCAAGTTGAGTTGTCGAAATTCGTAAAATGCAATTAATTTGGCTTTGGTGGGGCTTGGATGAGTAAAATCATATAATAAAAGTAGTTAAATATAGGCTGCTTTACAGCCCAGAAGAGAAAGTATTCCTGGCGGATAATAATCTTCGCTTTGAAAAGAATTTATATAAAAGAAATTAAAATTTTTCGTAAACTTAAATGTTGTCCAATGGTAAATAATGTGAAAATAATGTGTGATGTAATATTTATAAAACCAAATTCGTTACTTTTTTACTCCAAAAATGTCCATAAGGCATTGTCCATTGTACTATTATTTTTGGCATAATTATCTGTTTATTTATAATTGACAAGTAAATTATCAATAATAAATATTATTGTCAATTTGACAGTGTCAAAGTATTTAATTAAATTCTTTAGCAGAAGTACCATTTTTAAATACTAAAAATACTAAGGCAAACTGGCATAAGCCACCAACCTAACAAAAAAACACGAGTCCAGATAAAAAAAATGTAGTTGTTCATTTTTAACTTAAAAAATTGGCGTCCTGAAGTATGACATTCCTTTTTGAAAGGTTAATAAACACAGTCGGCCAAAAGATTTTTAAAAGATTTAAGACAACAATGTTCTATTGTCTCCTAGCAATGTTTAAAGCTCCTACTTTTAACCTAGGCGAGAGCTCTCGGTATTGGCTGCCGCTTTTTTGCTCTCTTTTGATTACACTATCACCTAGAAATTTTTGGCACGCCCCTTCTTTCTCTGTGGCGTGTTTTGGGCACCCTGTATATAAAAAAAAATTTGGTTGTTTAATTTTCAAAAAAAAAAATAAAAATTTTTTTGCTTGCCCCTTGAAAAATTATGGCCACAAACATAAAAATGCAAGAGACAAAAAAGTTAAATTATAATTTTAAAGCGTGACCATACTTTTTTTATTAACTTCACACTCTGTATCTTGAAAACAAACTTTAAAACATATAAGTTTATATAAACTTTTAATATTGACTATTAAATTTTTCCCATTACAATCCGAGAAACCCTGTATACGAGGGGCGACTATAATGATCTTTAAAATCGGGAGAAAGTGAGGTTAGGATGAAAATTACTTTATTTAAGTAAAAAAGCATAGTATTACACTCAACATAATTCACTTGGATGATATACGTCTCTCGCCGTGAATAATAGCCTGCATTATCTTTTGTATAATAATATACTATTTCTATATTATTTTGTAAACTATTGGTTTACTTAAAGATTTTCATTCGGAATCGCAAGATTTTGCTTGGGACTTTAAATAACATTATTATTAATGCCCATACAAACAAGATTCCGAAGAAAAATATTACCTGGGATTTTTTCTGAAGGGGTAAACAAGATTAATGCATTTTTTGGTTTAATATTAACTAGAGCATAACATATTATATTTTTTCTACTCCCACCTTTAAAACGCCCTTTATCGTACATGTTTTCATGACACTAAGTGACCTTTTAAATACACATTGACAAGTTGTGGCTTTATGGCGCTTTAGTAACGGGCTGAAGTTAGCAACAGGTCACGGGCTGAAGTTAGTTTTAAGTTAGTTGACAGTTGTCAAATGTCATACAATCGTTAAAATAAAGTGCCTTTCTTGTAAAATGTGAAAATTATTTTATTTTATTATCTTAATACAAAAATACAAAAGTGTTAAATAGTTTCTCAACACCAATATTTGAAAAGTTTATATGAACATTGTACTGACCTTTTAATTTCGCCGGCAGTAAACTATAACTTAAATTCGGGCACGGACTCTACTGTAAAGTCCTCATAAAACATTTCCTTTACTTTCACTGTTAAAAACTGTCAATTTTCAAGATACATTTCGATTTATAACCTTTATAATTGTGTTTATAAAATGTAAAAATGTGACATTTGACAGTTTCCCCTGTTGTTTCATAGATGGCGCTCTATACAATTTTTTTATTTTAATCACTTTAAGATAATAATAAGTATTTGTCGTAGAAAAAGTATAGTATGCACCTCGTTTATAAACTTTTCTATACACTCATTAACTTAACTAAATTAAATTCGTGTATAAAATGGCGTTTATCAAACTTGATACATAATATACTATTATATCCTGTTATTTATTTTTATTTTTAAAATTCCAATAATGATTTCTACGATTGCTCGAATTTCTATTTTCTTTAGGAGGCACGAATCCGAAGCTGGAAGAGGCGCGCAAAAAACGCGAGGAGCGCAAGCTGATGCGCCAAAAGGAGCTGGAGGCGCGTCGAGCTAGCCGCGGACCCGCCAGCGGGCCAATGAAACTGGGCGCCAAAAAACTGTAGCCCAGCAATCAACGCTTGCAGGGCAAATCGAAAATCCACTCGAGGCATCATTAAACCAGCCTACTACCGTATCGTAACAATTGTATGACGGAGCGGTAAATGGACACGGTCCGAGATTACTTATGTGTTGCTGTTGGAGTCGAATTAAACGGGATTTTACCCGCGACATTTTCGTTTGTGGCATATAGCGTCAAATATAAGACTAAATAAGTATCCAATTACCAACTTTTTAATCTTGATATTTAAAATCTTTTTTAATATACATATTGGTCCCATAAATAAAAAGGCACCAATGGTTTCATTTAAAACGAATTTTTTTTTTCTTGCTGACACGTGAAAATTTTGTTTTTAGGTTTAAAAAAAAATTCCCTGAAAATTTGAGCCCTTACCTTTTATTCTAAGTACTTCCTTTTTAATTTTGTAGTTTTTCCATATAAAAAGCATGTATTTTTAATCATTTTTACTTTAAATTTCTATATTTTGGCTGGGTTTTGAATTATAATTTTTATCACCATAATTTCCTGCATAGTATTCACGGTTTTTGAAAGGCCCTGCATCAATTTTGTTTTTGATTTATTTACGTTGATTGTAGTAGCTCCAAAAGTCGTTTTTTCAGTTTTCTCACATATTTTTGAGAAAATCGAGCGAATGACTGGTTTTACCGAAAAAGTTCAAATAAAAAAGTTGTAGGAAATTTAATTTTTGACAAAAAAGGTTCTTACGTTCATATCACTAAAGTGCTTTGTTTAAGACATATAAGCAATTCAATAACCAAAAACAAAGAAAAAATAGGTTTTATTGAAATTTATGTAATTTGATTCAACAACTATATATTGCTTATATCTCTTAAACAAAGCACTTTAGTGATATGAACGTGAAAACCTTTTTTTGTCAAAAATTAAATTTTCTACAACTTTATTATATGAACTTTTTCGGTAAAACCAGTCATTCGCTCGATTTTCTCAAAAAATATGTGAAAAGAGTGAAAAAACGACTTTTGGAGCTACTACAATCAACGTAAATAAATCAAAAACAAAATTGATGCAGGGCCTTTCAAAAACCGTGAATACTATGCAGAAAATTATGGTGATAAAAATTATAATTCAAAACCCGGCCAAAATATAGAAATTTAAAGTAAAAATGATTAAAAATACATATGGAAAAACTACAAAATTAAAAAGGAAGTACTAGAATTAAAATTAAGGGCTCAAATTTTCAGGGAATTTTTTTTTTCAACCTAAAAAAGAAAATTTTCATCTGTCAGCAAGAAAAAAAAATTTTCGTTTTAAATTAAACACCCTAGGCACCATGGTGTTTAAGTCTTTGATGGTAAGTAAATTAGGCGAAAAAATAAAATTAATTTCGTTATCTTTTATGGGGCGCCGTTTAATTTTTTTTTTCAAGTATTATTCTTATGTGTTAACTAAAGTGATATTTTCAATTAGATAAAAAATATCATAAGAATTTTTAATCTGCGAATTAAAAATATCATGAGATGTTAAATTTAATTTTTATGCCAAACTGATATTTTTAATTCAGTGAATTTAAAATATCTGTTTCTTATATTTGTATTTTTTAGTTAAACACAATTTTTAATTCGCTAAATTAAAAATATCATAGGAGAAATTTTTAAATGGATTAAAAATATCAAAGGAGATATTTTTAATTCGATCTAATTTTTATTTTATTAAATAAATATATTTAATTTCGGCTGAAGGACTACGGTCAATAGCCTTTGAACTTGGTTTTAGTTCAATAAAACATTATTATTATTATTATTATATTTAATTGAATGTGGTATTTTTCATTCAGATTGACAGGGGTATCCAAACTTTCAATTTAATAGTCGGACTTAAAAATATCACATAATCCATAATAAAAAAAATATCTGCATTTAAACAAAAATAAATTTTTTTAATTTTTATTAAAAATTAAAAAAATTTCCCATGATATTTTTAATTCATTTAAAAATTTCTCCTATGATATTTTTAATTTAGCAAATTAAAAATATGTGTTTAACTATAAAATACAAAAAGCAGATATTTTAAATTTACTAAATTAAAAATATCTTTTTGGCATAAAAATTAGATCTAATTTTTAAAATATATGCATAAATAAAAAATATATGAACATGTTTAATCTGCGAATTAAAAATATAATAGCAGATGTTTAAAAATTGGATTTAATTTGTTTGTCAAACTGATATTTTTAATTTGGTGAACTTAAAATATCTGTTTCTTATATTTGTTTATTTTTGTTAAACACATATTTTTAATTCGCTAAATTAAAAATATCATTGAAGAAATTTTTAAATGTATTAAAAATATCATAGGAGATATTTTTAATTGAATGTGATATTTGGACACCTCTGGTATTCCATACTAATTCTGTCGCTAGATGGCGACACTAAAAATATCTTTTTTCTCCCGTGATTTTTTTAATTTAATTAATTTTTTAATTAATTTAAAATATTTGTTTAGCATAAAAATAAGAAGCAAATATTTTAAATAAACCAAATAAAATATATTAGTTTAGCATCTTATTTGAAATTAAGCGAATTAAAAATGTGTGTTTTACAAAAAAATACAAATATAAGAAACAGATATTTTAAATTCACTAAATGAAAAATATCAGTTTGGCATGAAAATTAAATCTAATTTTAAAATATCTGCTATAATATTACCAATTCGCAGAATAAAAATTATGATGTGATATTTTTTAGCTAATTAAAAATATAACTCTAGGGTTAACTCTTAAAAATTATTCCTGAAAAAAAATTAATTGTTCATGTGATATATTTTATTTACCTATACATATATTTTAAAAATTAGATCTAATTTTTATGCCAAACTGATATTGTTAATATATTTAGTTTAAAATATTTACTTATTTTAATTGTTTTTTTTTGTTGAACACATATTTTTAATTTACTTATTTAAAAATTAAATCTAATTTTTAAATATCTGCTATGATATTATTATTTTGCAGAATAAAAATTATGTGATATTTTTTATCCAATTCAAAATATCACTCTGAGGTTAACACATAAAAATAATTCCTGAATAAAAAATAAATCATTTTTCCATAATTTGTTATTATCATTATATTTTGCCTCTAAATACTAAGAATTACTGAAGCAATTTGCTTCAAGCAAATAGAATGAAGCAAAATATTTATAATTTTATGCCCAAATAACATTGAAATTTTTTAAAAATTTTCTTTCTAACTTAAAACAAGCAAAAGAAATTATATTTGTGGGACTAAAATGGTTTTTTATAAAATGTTCTCAGTAAAATTCGGATCACACTGTATTATACTGTTTTAAATCTCATACAAAATTAATAATATTTATAACATATCCCATAAAAGTGTTTAACAAATAAAAAGTTATTATTCATTTGACAAAATATTGGCAAAGACTGATATTAAAAAGGCAATTTTACTAAAGACTGCGGATTAAAAATGTTTCTTATGGGCTAAATTAAAATTTACACGAGGTATAAACTATTGGACATTTTTGGAAAAAAATAAACCACGGGCTAAAACTCTGTGGTCAAATAACAAAATCTTATAAGTTCTTAGGAATTTCAAACATAGACTTATTACCTTTTGCAATTTAACCATAGAAATACTTATAGTTTTGTAAATAAATATTAGAATTTACCCTTTTAATAGTAAAACCTTATTAAATGGAATGGACCATATTTATTTATTGAATGTAAAATGTTTTGACCCTATTTGTCTTAAAAATGCTCAAAATATTTGCCGTTGAAATCAAAAGTAAAAATTGTATGCAGAATATTTTATTTCAAATCAAATATTTTCATCAATTACTTAAAATTTATATATTGCTTTATATGTTGCTTTTAGGTTTTAATCTAGTCATTTTTTATATACAAATCAATAGAAAATCGAATTATATTCTGCACTAGATTTTTTATTTTTATTTTACTCTATTTACAACAGCATACCAAAGCATAATATAATTCTCTTCCTGTTTCATTGTAAATTATCATTGTTTAGGCTTTAATATAAGCTACTGCATGTGATTTATGGTATCTTTATGTAAATATATAAGTTTTTACCTAATTATGTATATCTAATGAATTATAAAATGTTATTTTATGCCTTAATATTTCAAATAATATATTTTTATATATATATGATTTATTCTTACTTGTTTTTTAACAGTATTATATTTCTATTATGTAAAATAAATTTATATCTCCCGCAACTATCGTTTTATTGAACCCAAATTAAAGAGTGCCTTGAAAATTTGAATTTGCCGCCGCTATAGTATTTACCTTTTTAGTTCGGAATTTTCCCACGCAGCACTGTAGTTTGACATTTTGATGTTTGGTGTACGTCAACAATAAAATAATGTTGAAAATGCGATTCAAATGATTACAGCATGTGAAAATACAAGAAAATGATAATACTTTACATTGAAAAAACCTATAACTATGTATGTCACCTTTTAGAAACATAAACCCAATAAAATATGTTTAGTAAAAGGAACCCAGTTGACGTGAAAAAGTCAACTTCTAAGCTACAAGACCCCAAAAAAGATCTTGCAACGAGAATCAAGCACTTAAAGATTATATTGGGTAAGCTATCCATCCCTATAATTGTCTTAGTTAAAAAAATTCACAGCCCCTTTAAAAATTATGTCAATGTTTAATTCTTGTACTTTTCTGTGTCACAGACAATGTGGATCATGCAGAATCCAAAGGGCTCTTTGAAGCTAACTTTAGCCATGTCTATGGGGTACTCTATGATAGTTTTATTCAAACAGAAACAAATCTTCGACAAAGAGGTATGTTTTTTATTATTTATTCCACCTTGACTTGAATCTGAACTCTATGAATATTAAAACTGCCCACTCTTTGATGGTAGTCACACAAGTCAATAATCAAATAGTTTATTTACACATTAGAAGTCACTAATTAAAAATGTTGCAAATTTATTAACTTTGTCACTATATTTCTTAATACATGAACTAAGCCACAAAAATGTAGATAACACCTTAAAATTATACCCTTTTTATTTGATTTTTGTATTGTTTAGCTTTTCTTTTACTAAGTGCTAATTAAATAATAATCATTTAAAAAATGTACAGAGAATATGAGGAAGGAATTTTTAAATATCTTATAAATTAAAAAATGGTAAAATCTGAGGTGGTAGACAATTTTTGTTGCTTAGTTTACTTAGTCAACTACTGAATTATTAAGCCTGACAAATTTTATGATATTCATGTGGTGCTGGGCAAAGATTCAAGTTATGCCCTTTGTTGCTTTGAATGTTTCTAAACTAATGTTATTTGTTTTTGTCTGTTTGCTGTCCTAAAGAACTGTCTTTTCACCTGGGTAAGTTTATACTGCTTTTTTTAAATGCTTTTGAGTTGTAGGAAAATCAGGAATTAACAATGATGGTTTTTAACATTTAGTGGCAAAACATATTAAGTTTTGGTTTATTTATAAATTTAGTATAAGTGGTTTGGATTACTGATAAGTTATCATTGTTTACTTTATTTAATGTGTTTTAAGTAATTGTTATAATAGTAATAAAACATGAAAATACATATGTGTACTATTTAATAGTATTATGTAGGGCTTGGCTAGTTAATTTCATAGAAAATGAGTTCCAACCCTATTTTAAACAATGTTTAATGATTTTTATCTTATCAAAAAATCTGAAACCAGTCTAATTTTAGAGCAATTATTCTAAATATTTTGTTTTTTATTTTTTAGCAATTATTTTTTTATTACTTTAGGTATCAATTAATTAAAATTAACCAAATAAACCATAATCTTGGAATTTGTTTTATATTAAAATTTATAAACAGCACACTGAGATCCACAGGGTGTACTAAACTGTTGATAAAACATGCCTTTGTTATTAAAAGGTTTAGATTTTTGAATTTTTAATATTTAAATAAACATTTTTTAAATGAAAGAAAAATTGCTTAAATGAAAATGTCTAGTTCTATAAAATTTAGTCAATGATTTTTTTTTAATTTCTTGTGATATTCTATTTTGAGAAATTGTTTAAATGATAGTACCTACCTACATATTAAAAAATAATTTACCAAATAAAAATTACTATGACAACTAATTTTTCATTAATAGTATATTATTAATAGCAGAATATTATTAAAAAATTCGTTATCATACTTATTTTTATAGGGACCTAAAGTAAAACTTTTTGTAGGGTTTGACAGATAAACCTGCAATAAAATACTCTATTTTTTACGTCGAATACATTAAATAATGAGAAACAAAAAAATTTTAATTTTGAGATATTAGTATACAATGGGAGACTATAATGATCTTTGAAGTTAGAAGAAAGTGAGGTTGCCTTGAAAAAAAATAGCGTATTTTATGGCAGTATCCGTCAAACCCTACAGACTTGCCACAAAAGTTTTACTTTACATATGTCAGATTTTTGGTATTATATTTAAGCAGCAGAAAAATTAATTTACTTCCGAAGAAGTAGAACTACCATTTTTTTTCGCAATAATCAGTAAAACCATAATAAAGTTCTATTTTAATTTGCTTTTTAATTTACTTACAGAATTAACATTACTTAATATTACTTTTATTTTCACGGTTTTATTTGTTAATTCCTGATTGACAAACATTCATATGTTTTTTACACATATTTAACACCACATAGAGTCTTTAACGGATCACGCAAAACCAGATCATAATTGACGTGTCTTATTTTTTTAAAAGAATTTTATTTGCTTAGTAGATCCTATTGAGGGCATTAAATCAGAAAAGCGTAAGCGTCCAAATGAAAAAGTACAGGAGAATAAAAAAACGTTTAAAATTTTTATTTTCATTTAGTATTATTTTCAGACATATGTTACTTAGATACGCCTCTCTGATTTGATGCCCACAATATCTCAATTGACATTTTTTCGGATGTATAGAGGGTGCACCAACTACCTATCATTATACGTGGATGGGATTTTTTTATTGAAAGAGCCACAAGGTTGGCTTTATCACAGAAAAGTTGCGTAATAATACGCCTAATAAAATAAAAATTAAAAAAAATTACCAGTTCTCAAAGTTTTTGTAAAAAACTGAAAACCTGTCCCCGTTATTCCTGGGAATTTAAATTTTTTATACATTTATCTGCACTTTATCTACTTATATTACCATCCACCCTCTTTTGTTTTATAATGGAAGCCATAATTACAATATGATGGTCATAAGAAAAACAAAAGATGGTGGTGGTAACTCAAAATCTAGTAGGCTAAAAAAATCCCAAATTGGAAGAAAAAACAATTCCCAGTAGGGTTTTAAAATTTCCGAAAAAACTAAGCCGGCGAAAAATCATTTTATACGAAGGGTAATACGAACAAAATGCAAAAGAAAATTTTTCTCACTATTTCCCTCGTCTTAATTTCCACCAATTACAAACGCGCAATTTTGAATTACAAATGGTTTCTAGGTGGTAAAACTGTATGACAGCAGTTTTTTCGAGTTTAACCGCGGCTAAACTTGACAGCAATTCATATTTTAATTGTTAACTGCTACTCATTTTTCCTGTGAAAAAAAATCGAAAAAACACAATGCTAAGTAATATTTTTTAACAAAATGCATTCGTGCAGGTGCAAAAATCCTCCTCTTCAACTCGGATTTTTGTTGCCACCAGCACTCATGCTTCTTGTTAAAATATTACTTAGCAACGTGTTTTTTCAATTTTTTTTCGGAAAAATTAGATGCCCTTATGATATTAAGAAAATTTACAAATTTTTACGGATGATATCCGTACACTGATATCGAGAAAAAAGTGAATTATCGACGCTGATTATAATTAGAGATGGGAATCGGAAAGTTTCCATTTTAAGGAAACTTTCCGTTTTGGAAAGTTTCCAATAGGGAATTTATTTTCATTTTGAAAGTTTCTTTTAAGCTACCGGAAACATTCCTTGGAAACTTTCCTTGTTTTTTTATTTAAATGTCAATTGTTTAACCGCTGATTTTCGTTAAGGTCATGATACAAGGCCAAGAAACTTTGAATAAGAATTTAATGTAAGTTATGTTACATAACCTCAATGAAGCCGGATTATTCAGCATCATCACAAAAAACCCTGGCATAAAAAAAATATTTTCGCAATAAAAAAAATTTTTTTGAAACTTTCGGAAAATTTCGGGAATTTTCGATGGAAAGTTTCCGGGAATTTTCGTCAAATGGGAATTTTCCCATCTCTAATTATAATCATAATATTATGATTATAATAATTATTCCTTTTATTTTAATTTAGTAAGAATATTCTACCGGGCCGCAAAAAACATCACATAACTTTTGTTTATTTGACACTTTGACTTAAAAAATTATAATTTTGTAATTAAATTAATATTTTTTGATATTTTAAATGGACTCTTTTTTGCAAAAATGACCCAACCGACAGTATATTTAACGATTACGTTTATTTTCTTAAATTAATTTAATTGAATTCAATATTTAGTTTATTTTTTTTTTTGTAATAAAAGGATATTTTTTTAAATTAAAATAATGTTAAGTTATGTTTTTCCCCCAATTTTTAGTTTTTATTTTTTTTCTGTAATAAAGGATTTTTTTTAAATTAAAATAATGTTGTTGATTGGTACTTTTTTTAAATGTGTATATTTTCCAAAAAAGACAATTTTTTGCAAAACCTGAAAAAAACAAGTTTTTCCCCAATTTTTTCGTTTTTTTTTTCAACAGTTTAAAACCCTAATTTCCAGGAAAACGATTTTTAGTTTTGGATAAGTTTTTAGTTTGTTTAAATAAGGTGAGAACTGCAGATTTATTTTCAATTTTTCAAATGCCATTTTAATAGACTTGCAATTACGTAACTTTTCTCTAATTTATCCGACCTTGTAGCTCTTAAAAAAAAATATACCCATACATACAAGAATGATAAATGGTTTATAATAATAAATAATTTATAAAAAAATATATATATATATGTTCTTGATCGAGTTTTGCCAATAACATTACGTGCTATAAAAAAAATGAGACGCAAATCCAAAATGAAATTATGCGGGTGGTCCGTTTGGGAAATGTTTACTCCAATTCACACTTTACCCTTCTAGTTCACAAAGCTCATAAAGAGGAGCTTGACAGCACGTTGTGGATCCTAGAGCAGATTCTCAGCCTACTGCCCGAGCTCATACACAAGCGATGGCAGCTCCACTCGCTCGGCCGCCTGCTCTCGAAGCTGCTGCACCCTGGCAACGCGCTCAAGCTGCGCCGGCAAGCGATCAAGTACTTCCTGATGTGGTACCAGGCGCTCAACGACAACGCGCCCGAGTACGTGCATAACATGTTTGCCACTCTAGTACCCGGTAAGTACGAACGGATTTTTTTAAATTTAAATTTTTTTTATTTCTGTCCATAAAATGGACCTGTTGGATACAAATAAATAAATAAATAAGAAAAAAAAACTATTTGAACTATTAATTTATTACCCAGTTTATATTTGTTTGTTGAGAAAAGTTAAAATGGACAAAATGACAATTTTTTTATTATTTTAAATTTTTTTGTTTTTTCAATATACAATATGCAACAAATCAATTTTAAGTTTAGTTTAAAAAATCAAAAGGTACAAAATAATGTTTAAGAGGTTCTGCAGGACGCGTGTTAACAAAAACAAATTTGGCCTGAAAGGTTGAAATAAAAAAATACTTAAAATAACCCACTTTTAGAAATGTTTAAAAAAAACTATCAAAAAAGTCCTTAAACTATCTAAATTGACCGAAACTACATTAAATTAATATTTCGGAACTTTTAAAACGTTTTATTCTTTATTTTTAAACCCTTTGTTTAAAACATTTTGTTGTGGAAATATGCCAACCCTGCCCAAAATGGACACGTTGAAAAAAATCTCAATATAAAAATTCAAAAGCATTAAATAGTTTCTCAACGCCAATATTTGAAAATTTTATATGAATATTGTACTGACCTTTTAATATTGCCGGCAGTAAACCAAATATGACATTTTCTTTACTTTCACTGTGAAAAACTGTTATTTATCCATTTTCAAGGGATACATTTCGATTTATAACACATACAAATTTGACATTTGGCGGAAACACAGATTCCCCTATTGTTTTATAGATGGCCCTCTATACAAATATTAAATTTAATTCATTTTTAGATAATAATAAGTATTTGTTTTAGAAAAAGTATAGAATGCAACTTGTTTATAAACTTTTCAAGACACTCATTAATATAAGCACTCGCTTGCAAGCTCGCTCGTGCCTAAATTAAAATCGTGTCTAAAATGGCGTTTATCAAACTTGATACATAATATAGTATTATCTACTCCTAAATTGACGGGCTATAGTCAAAGATAATACACCCCATAGATTGGAAACTACACTAGCGCTAGCGGCAAAAGGCTAAAGTAAATTAACGCCATCTAGGTCTACAATACCCTTAGCAATGCCAAAAATTGAAGTAGATTTCTGTAACATATTGGCGCCATATTTGAATATTGATGCTTCGTAGGGTGCCTTTATATATTGTATTTACTGCTGTATTTTAAATAAAACAAGTATGGATATAAGATTTATTTATTGTATTAACAATATAATATAAAATAAAATACATACATCTATATATACATAATCTGTATACATGAATATGTTTTTGTTTGTGGAGTGCAAACCTAAAAAATATTAATCTTAATTCTTCAATAATAAGAGAATATTGCAAAATTTGGTAATTTAGCTCCTTATACGAGTTTCAACTTAACATATAGGAATTTGTACAAGGCTTTTGAGTGTGGACTTTTGGCAAGTTCTAACCAACCGTGAAAAATCTATCTTGCCAACTATTGGTTTTGAAACAACCATAAGTAGCCTGGGCTTGGCCTGGACTAAATTACCATTAAAAAAGCAATCCTAAATAATTCATAATTAACAAAAAGTATTTTTAAGCTAGAGCGATACTGCCGTGCTAAGCCAAAAAGACGCAACTCTACATTTTTACTTTATAAATTATAGCGCTTTATTGTTTTTTCCAAGATATGATAAATTTAATAGGAAATTTTTAGGAGCTATAGTACTTAAAATGTATGTTTAGTTAAAATTTGTCTTTTTTTCTAAGAGAATAATTTAATAATAACGAGATGAGTCTTTTTGGCTTAGGACGGCAGGATAGTCAATACTTACAAATTGGTTACATTTCCGCGCCCAACAACAATACATTTCACAACCATTAACACGTTTTATCACTTTTAAGGCGCAAAAATGTATTTAATAATTCAAAAATTATGATCGACATCAATAATTATGATTGACATTGACATTTGCAAATAGCTTTTGTACAGATGTCTGCAATTTAAAAATAGATATAGTTCAGGTATTGTAGAACTAGAGGGCAGTGGTGGGAGAGTTTCCAATCTATGGGGTGTATTATCTTTGGCTATAGTTAGTAACGGTGGCTTTCATGCATTTTTTTCACGGGCTGAAGTTAGCTTTATTATAAATTAAGGAAAAGTTAGGTTAAATCTGTTAAAAGTTGACAGATGTCAAATGTTTACCAAATAAAAATGGCTTTAAATTCTTCTTTGCGTTCGTCGTAGATAAAATATAGTATGCAACTCGTTTTTATTAAACACTCGCTCTCAAGCTTTGCTCGTGCCTAACAAAACTTGTAACTAAAATGGCGTTTATAAAACTTGATACATACTACACTATTTTCTACGCCCACCTTTAAAACGCCCATTATTGTACAAGTTAAATACACAGATGTGGCTTTATGAGACTTTGGTCACGGGCTAAAGTTAGTTTTAACTTAGTTGTCAAATATCATACAATCGTTAAATAGTAGGTACTACATAAATATGAAAAAGTATTAAATAGTTTCTTGACGCCAATATTTGAAAAAATAAAATCAAATGATAAAATATTTTCTTAACATAATCATATTTTGAAGTAAAATAATAACGGGCAATGTAAATAGTGAAAATTACGTCAAAAGTGTTTATTGGGATGGTTATTTTATTTTCGTATAGATGTCGCTTTATACAAATATTTAATTTAAATATTTTTTTATATAATATTAAGTATTTGTTGTAGAAAAAGTATAGTATGCAACTCATTTATAAACTTTTTTAATTAAGCACTAGCTCGCAAGCTCTCTCGTGCCTAAATTAAATAATATAAATAATATACTATTATAAAAGGGCAAAAACATGTTTAAAAAAATGTGTTTTTTTAAACAGTTTTTGAATATATTTTTTATAGTTAAACGTTTAGTATTTTTAGTAAATGTAGTGGTTTGAACTTGGGAAACGTTTTTTTCTTTGTTTTTAAGCACTTTGTTTAAAACTGTTTTATACATGCCAACCCTGCCCAAAATGGACATGTTTAAAAAAAACCTTTAAATAACCATAACATGTATGTTTTTCAGATAAAATGGTATATTTATTGTAGCACCACTAAATTTGTCACAAAATTCTTTTAAATTTTAGTACCCACATACAATAAGTTATATTAAAATTGCATTCAAATAGAGTTATAAATGTCTTTTTTAAAATATGTTTAAAATATTTTGTTTTAAACATGCCAACCCTGATAAGAACTGTATAAAGTACCCAAACTTTTGGAATTGTTTTAAATAAGCAAATCTATAAAATATTTTTTAAACTACTATACTGTATTTAAAATTCCCAAAATGTATTAGATTTGTCTAAAATGGACAAACACTCTAAAAATGTCCTAAAACAGCCTTAAAAAGTGCATTACCATTTCCAATGACTATTTCCCTCGTCTTAATTTACACCAATCACAAACGCGCAATTTTAAATTACAAATGGTTTCTAGGTGGAAAAACTGTATGACAGCACCTGTCAGCAGTTTTTTAGAGTTTACTCGCGGCAAAACTTGACAGCTGTTGTCACCAAAAATTGCAATTTATATTTTAATTGTTAACTGTTACTCATGAAATAGTCTTGTCAAATACCATTCGGGCATGTAATTTTTCCTGTGAAAAAAATCGAAAAAACACAATGCTAAGTAATATTTTTTAACAAAATGCATTCGTGCACCAGCACTCATGCTTCTTGTTAAAATATTACTTAGCAACGTGTTTTTTCGATTTTTTTCGGAAAAATTAGATGCCCTTATGATATTACTTACGAAAATTTACTTATTTTAAACATTTAAGGTTTTAACAATAACATATCGATCCACCCGCAAACCTTCGGGGGCAGCGTTTTCCACGACACGAGCGTGCAGTATCCCGTAACCGCCGCCGAACTCCTACCCATATTACCGCCGTCCAACGCCGAAAAGGCGCCCGATCACCCGGCCAAATTCTTCCTGGAAACCTTGCTCGAATACATGATCGGCACGGTAGTGAAACTCGAGTGGCACGACAAACCCGCGCACCACCACAGGTGCTTCAACTTCCTCCTGGAACGCTTTAAGATGTACTATTTGCCGAAGATCTGTCCCGGGTTTTGCCACGAGACGTCCCTCTACAGGCCCAACTTGGGTAAGTGAATCACGGTGGGTGAGGGTTTTGCAAAAAGACAGTTTCAACCAGGGTGGAAGAAGAAGGTGATATAGCTCAGGAGCTATAGGACTATCTCTACAGAACAGAAGCAAACGTCCACATAAGTCAGTATTTCGTTCGTTGTTCCTTAGATGGCGAGCCAACTAAGAACCTAAGGTTTTACCAACGAAATCCATATATTCTATAACAACTTAACTTTTAACAATAAATTATAAGATAACGAAAACCCAACAAGAGTCTTCTACCCCCCTTAACGAAAATTACATCTTTTCTAACAGCATTATTATAATAATTTGCAAAACGATTGGCAATACTGTAGTATTGCCAACTGCTCTGCCAAAATGCACAGTTGTCACAAACGCACAAAAGTGACGTTGAAATGGTTTTAATTGAATTTTAATTAAGCTTAGTAGTCTATTCTTTGAAGTTAATCAATGCAATTTTACTAAAAATTAGAAAAGTTTGTTGTGGACCGGGATTTAAAAAAATAAATTGGTTCTTATTTTTGGCGCCATCTATTTTGATTTTGAACAAATACTGACTTATCTGGCCGCCTTCAACGACGGAGTTGAATCACCTCCTTCTTCCACCCTGGTTTCAACCTTAAATTGTCTACTTATGACAGTAGTCACAGTACAAATGAGGCCTGTCAGAGCAAAGTCAACAATCTCCCGTCAGACTAATATTGAGTAAATTGAGATAATTGATTTTGGTATTTTAAATTCTAGATTTGTAATTTTTTTATACAGGGTGTTATGTAATTAATGTTATATATTAAAATACTGAATACCTTTTGACATAAGGAGTAAAGAACAAATATTTAAAAAAATATTTTTCCAAAGATAAAGAAAAAATATGCATTAGAAGTTTTTTATATTTTTTGTGATACGCCACTGGTTACACACTTGGTTTATCTCTGCACACTTGTGTTCTGTGAGTACATAGATACCAACCAACAAAGTAGCTGCGGGTTGCCAAATGTAAAAAATTGTTACTAAAAATTTTTCTTGCAAAAAATAAATAAAAACTTAATAAATACAAAAGTGTTATGCCCTTAAAGCTCTAATACCCTTCTGTATTTATTTACTCATCCAGCTATTAGCTTAAGCAATGATTAGAAAATTTAGAACCTATTTTAAAAAAATCCATAAACACAATATTAATTTTTTCATCGGTTTTTTCTTTCTGTTTACTCAGATGAAATTGGGACCAGTTCACAGGTTAAACTTTAAAAATTTAATTTGTGCAAATAAATCCAAAAGCACTTCCCTTAGTTAAGATATTTACAATTTGAGCAAATAACCTAAAATTTGAAAGAAATGCACAATATTCTGTCATAAAAGTTGGCAGAACTGCAGTTTTAGTGATTTTTTACACTTTTCAAAGCTTTCAAACATACGAATTTTTGAATTAAAAAAAATAATCCTGGTATAGATTCTTTGGGAAATTTTATGCTCTACAAGAATCCGCGACGTAAAAAATTTTATCTCAAACGGTTCAAAAGTTATAGTCTTTTTAATGAAAAAAGATTTTTTTACGTGTTATTTCAATGGAAAACTTAGAATGCTCACCGACACCTTTTAAAATTAAGCTAAAAATTTTGCCTTGCAGGGAAATTTTTTGCTCGGTCTGTAGGTTCATTTCAACCCATAAATCCGATAGGTTAGTTTTTTGGCTCACCCTATTCTTTATGGACCCTAAGGAACAACCCATTTTAATATATAACATTAATTACATAACACCCTGTATATTATATTGAAATATTGTTGTTGTTAGTCTAGTAGCCAACTACAACTCCAGGATGCATAGTATAGGTGAAATCTATAATTATAAATTGGAGATTGCCGACTTTGATATGAATTGCTGGAGATTGCTCATTTTGTTGTAAACGTTTAAGGAGATTGTATTTTTCTCCCTTTAATGGTTATAAAATGTAACTATACAATCAATGTGGGAAAATTCTGAACTGGACCGTATAAATCTGGAGTTTCTTCTAAATCTAGGACTAGGTTGACTCGTGCAAAAAATTTTTTATAGTACAACAACTCATCATCTCTTTCCCACTTTGCCCCGTAATGTTTTACTTGCAATGTTTTGACATTATCAGCCGTTTCTTACTTTACCTTTTCGTCTTATTATGGTATAATAGCACAAAATAAACAAGATAACTTTTTTATAATTCTTAAAACAATAAAACGTATATATACCTATTTTAAATATATTTTTAAGTGCAATTTACTGCAATAGAACTTAACAGTATGTACCAGTAAAAAAACACAAAATTAAATCTCTAAAATACGTTATAACATCAAATGATAGGATATCAAGTGACACAAATTACTAATTTCTAATGGTGGAATTGTATACTTTGCTGCAAATCTATCAGTGGAGATTGTCGACTTTGCACTAAATGTCATTTTTAAAATAGGATTTTAGGCAGGATTTAGCTGCTTTTGCAGCACATAAACTTTATCATCGTATAGATAATTAGTTGAAGTACAGTCTCCGCCAAAAATCTAATTTTTGACCAAAAGTGGAGATTGTCGGTTTTGCTATGACAGGCCTCAAATATCAATGTCTACTCTCTTGCAGAGTTGCCGATGATGCGGAGGATGGAAGCCGAGACGGAGTTCATCTACTGTCGGGTCACTTTGATAATGTGGGTGGCGAATTACGTTCATCAGACGAAACGGAATTCGGATCATCTGATTGCACCGCCCCCTGTCGCGCATTCTTCGTCGCATCACGAAGACGATTCGCACGACAGTAGTCATCCCAGTTTGGATTCAAGTAAGTGAATAAATATTTTATAGTTTTTTTCCAGGTTTATGCATTTATATACTTTGAAAACCTTACAAATTTGGGGTTTTCACTTTATTTAAAAATTGTTTTGTTTACCAATTACTGGGCGAGTACAAGGATGATCCTTGATCTTGCTCACCTCCCAGTTCTTAGTTAACAATGATGAGTTACCAAATTAAACCAAATGGAATTCGTTTTGGAACTGATTTTTATTAAAAACTTATTGAGTTATAAAAATATAAAATACAAATTTACAATATAAACAAAACAGTAGTTCTAAATGGTCACTTTATTAAAAAATAGTACACATGTATTTTTGGCAATATTTGAAGCCCCAGAATAATATTTATTAATGTTTCAAATATAATTTTCATTTTAATAAAACGGTTTTAGCACCCCTTACAAATGAATATAAAACACCATTTAAGCATATTTCGGTGCAAAATATGTTTATAGTGTTAAATCTAACACCTTTTAAAACTGTCATGGTGTTTATTAACAAAACTGAAGTTTACAATGTTGTCTTATTTCAAATTAATATAAATTTTGTTATATTAAAATGTATAACTATAAAATTTAGAAATTCTCGTTGAATTAATAATTGGTAGCATATAAAGTAATATTATATATTACATCAGCAAAAAAAGTAGCAACTGTGTTAGCAAAACAATTGTCAAATTAAATTAAAATAAATTGATGAAACTTTAAAAACAGTGTTTGTTTTTCTATCTATACATTTGTGACATGGAGTTTCATTGAGTAAAAGTCGAAGCAATAAAATATTGCTCTAAATCTTATTTTATTAATGGCCTTTTGACACCTTTTTTGCAAAGAAAACAAATTTAATTTAGAAATAAAATATAATTTAATATTTTAGCAAAAACTTGTAAACTGTTGACTTTAAGAGAAAAAAAAGTAAATACGTTTTTGTGGAAATTTTAGTGTTTCACAAAAAAGATCATTCATGAGTAAAATATTTTAGCAAAATGTCAAGATTAATTTAATAACATTTATATTAAAACTGTTTTTTCCACTCACTTTATTTGATAGGTACCAAAAAAACAATTAAAATTCGTAAAATATTTAAAGATTAAATAGAATGCATATATCTAAAAATTTTAATTTTAAACTTTTTTGGTGAAGACTAAATTTCCTACTAAAAAATCTTGTAAAGCTATTTTCACCTATAATTTTTTTAAATTTCGTAGCGAGAAAAGGCCAAATTAGCATTATTTTATTAAGAAAGTAGCAAAAAAATAATAGCACGTTTTTGAATATTTTATTGTTAATCGCATTTACTTTTTACCATTCTCACAAATTTTCATTAATTTTTTATAAATAGTTTACTAGAAAATTATTTTTAAATCAAATGTTATACCTAGATTTTTTTTAATAATACATTATGAATAAACTATTAAAGTTTTTTCAAAAAATTGTATGTGGTAACTTTCTAGTACTGAGTGGATTATAAATTAATATTTATTTTTCACATTATAAATTAATATTTATTTTTTACAACGTCGAAAATCATGGGCTCACTTGGCAAATTTCTACTCAGAATATACTTTATTGTGAATTATTGTAGCGGTTATAAAAAAAACAAAATAAAACGTTTTTTTTTAACATTTTTGTTACATCTTTAGTTATAAGTGCTTTACCTCAAATTTTTATTACTGGGTGATTTTGGGCGGAGCTTACAGCCTCAAGACGCAGGTAGCGCGTCGAGCGGCGAAATTTTGCACTTTTTATCAAACTGACGTTTATGTGTGTCTCAACCAACTTTCTCGTTTCCGTTCGCAGGATGTTTCCAGTTCTCCTTACCGCAAATTTGTTGTGCATGTGTACATTGACTTATGTGTAATTCAATTTTTTTCTCGTTACCGTTCTCATTTTCGTTCCCGTTCCCGAGTAATTGTGCAGCCGCCTATAGATAAATAAAACGTGAAAAGTATCAAACATTGTTGCAATTTAGTGCAACTTTTTCCATGGTTTACTGTACACCAAAAGTAACAACAATGCATTTAAAAAATTATTTGTTTTTTTTTACCAAAATGTTTTGTTTTAGTAGGAAAATGGCGTCGTTTATTCAGTTTTCACAGGACATGTCCTGCTTTTTGGGGTGTCCTGGATAGTTTTTAGTTTTTATTTTCTAATTTAATAATTTATTCCTTTATTTAAACTAAGATGTCCTGGTTTTTAAAATTTGGCGATGGTAATCCTAGTGTAGAATAGTTAAATATATTTATCTCCACGCGGTCTATAATTTAAACTTTTTTGTTGTCAACATTCGATAAAGAAATACCTTGTTATGGCCTAGGCCGATAAAAAATTTTATGAGGCAAGTAATTAGTTCGATTTTTTCTCGCTAGGGGTATTGTTTTGACAAATTAATCCTTTTCTAAGAAATTAACGTACTAAACTGGTTTAATTTATTTATAATAAGCTAATTTGTTTGTTTTACTGTTAATGTTTAATATTTTTCATTAAATTATTGTAAAATTAAATAGGAATAATAAAACAAAAAGTGAGGTTAGGCAACCAAGAAAACGCACGATTCTTTTTCTACGATTTAAATTATCTTTAAGTTTTAATTTGCTTTAAGTTTTCAGTGAAATTAAATGTTAAACACAGCTTAAACATTCCAAACTACCTATTTTTTTAATAAAAATCCAAACAAATTGAAATTAGATACCTACCTATTTATTAAACAATTAATTGAATTCAATGTAATAGCAAAAATCCATTTTTACTTAAATCATGTTGATAGGTATTGTCAAACTATTACTGCTTCTAAAAGCAATAATAATTATTGTACATTTAATGTAATGTTTAGCTAATAAATAAATGAGATTCTAAAAAAGTGAGGTTAGGCCGCTTTGATGTTGAATTAAATTGACCTATATAAAGTGCTTTGAAGATAAAATGTTGTATGCCATTCGGCCAAGAAGTGCCTTTTTGTGCCTCGCTCAATTGTAGGCCTCCGCTACGCGTCGGCCTTCAATCCTTGAGCTTAGCACAAAAAGCCTTCTTAACCTAATAACATAAATAACTATTTTTTGTGTTGCGGTTTTCAGCTAAACTTTTTGCATATTTGAGTTTGTTTTATAGTCTAAATCTATGGCAAGCCGTTTTAGTTTTTATTACACATGGCTATCAAGTCTCATTTTAATTCGACTTGATTTCTATGAGACATTAGATAATTGAAATTATATGTATTTTCCTTAAGGGAAATTACATTTTTATTATAATTTTAAAATTGAATGCATATTTTCTTTACAAATAGTAAAAATAATGCATTTGTTGTATTTATTTCCATTGTTTTTTTAAATATTGTCCTTAACGTGAAAGCAATTTTCATTAACAGAAATTTTATTAAATTTACTAATTATAATTTAAATGCAAATTATTATTACTGTTTTAGTTTTTTGGAGCAATTTTATGACACATTAAAATGATTTTATTTTAATTCAATTTTATTAAAGTAGCTTCTGACTTGGATACAATGTTACATTTTATTTATGTTAGACCAGGCTAAGTATTAAAATAAAACGAATTAAAATTACTATTACGAATATAAATGCATTTGTCCTTAAATATATAGTTTTATACTTTCCTAAATGACATAAAAATTAAAAACATTTTAATTTGAAATACTCATTGAAATGTTGTCCCGAATAAAATTTAGAACCACAATATATAGAGTATAACAATATTTAAAGAACCAGAAAATAACATCGAATTAAAATGAGACTTGAGATCATATGTACAAAAAATAGCCCGAATACTTTTATTTTTAACTAAACAAAAATTAAATTCTATTTCCGTTAAGGGAAATTACAATTCCCTTAACGAAAATGTTATTTCCCTTAACGGAAATGCTATTTCCCTTAACAGAAATTACATTTTCCTTAAGAGAAATTAGTGGCGTTATCTGTGGTGAAGGTGCCGAACCTTCCACCTCTTACAGAGTTCTGCCAAATTTGGTTGGGATGCCAGAATCTTTCATTTTGTTTGAATGCAACAAATATGACACAATTAACAATAATGAATAATATTAATACTACAGTTTGCTATTTACTACTTCTTTTCGTTTTAATAACCTTTATTAGAAACGTCAAAACACACCTTACACATGCGGCGTTGCCACACAAAATTCGATTCGAATGATGCGATTCCAAAGTCGATCGGTGTCATCGCGATTCGATTCGGAGTGTTTCGTTTTCTCGAGTAGTACCCATAATTATTGATATTACTATTATTTTAACATTAAAATAATAATTTTCTGAAAATTCAATAATTTTGTCAATATTGTTCGATAATTTCACTTTTTACATCTGGCAACACTGGTGGGTGATATTTTGTGGGTGGATGTGAACAGGTGTAACGGTTGGTTTTTAAATGAAAAAGGTAACATTCAAAAAAATTCTTTTTACTAATAAATCTTTTGTAAAATCACAATGCAATAATTTCATATTATAGAATTTTTATAAAATTAACTATTTGAACTTCAGCCGTCCTCTCATAGATGGCGCCAATTTCCCTTAACGGAAATGCTATTTCCGTTAAGGGAAATACAATTTCTCTTAACAGAAATTATATTTTCCTTAAGGGAAATTGTATTTCCGTTAACGGAAATGCATTTAAATTCTTAATTATAATAAAAACTATTTTCCTTAACGAAAATTGCATTAAAATTACTATTTGTCATAAAAATAATTTTTATTATTATTTCAAATGAAAATGAACTGTTTTAGTATTTTTATTACAATTTCGAATGTAAATCATCCTCTACATCTAATCTTTTCAATTTAATGTGCCCAGAATTTCAATGCTTATTAAAAAAGGAATTTCATTTATAATTTGTAATTAAAATGTTTTTTCCCTTAAGGAAAATACATATAATTTCAATTATCTAATGTCTCATGGAAATCAAGTCGAATTAAAATGAGACTTGATAGCCATGTGTAATAAAAACTAAAACGGCTTGCCATATAAATCACTAACGCTTGTTGGTTGCAAGAATAAAAAAACGTTGCCAAAATTACTGATTGCCCTAGTTTCGATGTTTTCCTCTATTGTTTCCCCAATTCTTTTTATAATTTTCTACGCGTTAAATTTATATTAACACAAAATTGTGAATGAAGCGGTTTCAGTGCAAACAAACAAAAACGCGACGGACGAGCAGCTGGCCGCACAGATCGTGCGCGACGTGCTGTGCAGCACGCGCGACAACGTCAACTTCGTGCACGAGATGTACCGGCAAGCGTTCCTGCTCAACTTCAGCTACGTCGTGGCCATCCGCAAGATCATCGGCGTCTACAAGGACCTCATACAGGTAGGGTTGGGACAGTTGAAATTTTCAAATGAAAATTTCAACTTTGAAAGTTTCAAACTTGAAATACCTATTTCATTTAGTTGGAAAAGTGAAATTTTTAAAAATTTCAAATGAAATTTTCAATCCGAAAATTTCCACATTGCCTGTGAAAGTTTCAGAAATTTTATTGAAAGTTACTGAAAATTTCGCATAAATTTCACATGCGGCCTCCCCCGGGACCTTTAATAATAATTTACAACAGATTCCGAATCGACCAATAAGAACGAGTTATCAAGTGTCTGGGCGTTTTTGTTTAGTTCGGCTTGGATTTGAATACACTATAAGTAATTATTGTTACTTATATGCCTAAATTAATTTAAATACTTTAATTCAGTTACCAATTTAATTTGTAAATTAAATCAGACTTTTTAAAAGTCATGATTAATTTAAACTTTTACTTTTGCTATAATTGCATCGGAAAACGGATAAAAAATGCCTTTGTCTCATAAAATTTTGATGAGGTTTCTTCAATTTTCGTAAAATTTCAGTAAAATATTTAAAAATAATAAATATATATAAATATAAAACAATGAAAGTGGCACAATCTCATTAGCTTAACAAAAAGTGCTATATCTCTTTTAGTCTTAGTAATTTTAAAAATATTTTAAAAGGAAATCTCAAGAAATTTGTGGTAAACATAGGTATTTACTATTTATATTATTGGTGCAGGGGCCCACAGAGGGGTAGGAGGTAAGAGAGGCAATTTGCCATGGTCCCCGAGTGGGCTTATTTCAATATTAATATATTACACTTAAAGTGATTGAAATTTATTGAAAGTTTCAATAAATTTCATGAAATTCAGAAATTTACAGGGCTCCCACACCTCCTAAAACTCATAAAATTCATAAAATTTTACTTAAATCTTGAAAACTCCTAAAATTCTCCTAAAATGGCAATCAATCTCCTAAAACTCCTAAAATACTAAAAATTAAATTTAAATATTCCAACCTGACTTGCGTTTAATTAAGATAGTGCTAAAAAAATTCTTTTTTAAAAAGTAATTTAAAAATATATATTTTTAGGTTCTATTTCATTAAACTCTTTTTAAAATGATATAATATCACAACCAAAATTTTTCTTAAAAAACAACAACGATATTTCGTTTTTTAGTCAAAAATATACCGTGTTATACAAACGTGTATATCAAACAAAAGGATTTTTAAATTTCTTTTAAATGACAGCTAAAATAGTAAACAATCTAAAAAATTTTTTGCTGTATTTTGCAAACTTCATATTTTGTTATGAGATTTTTAAGTATTAAGATACACATTACAATTGAATCGGTGAGAATAAGAACAGTACAAGTCCAAAAATTTAATTTTGACAATTTATTTTCTAAAATCAATTTTAAAGTTTAAAATACATTTTTGTGAGAAGATAAAAATTATTTTACAGAATATGAATATTATATTTCATAAAATGCATTTAGAACTATAAAACTGATTTTTTGAAATATTTTATCAAACATTTTACTTTTGGACTTGTACTATTCTTAATCTTACCGATTTAATTACTGTTAGTTATTAACTAAACGGTTAACATATTTTTTCTTAAAATATATAACATCATATGATTTTGGATAGTTTTTAAACCAAATCTATCGACGCTTTTTTTTTAATAAAATTAAAAGTGTGGTGAAATTTATACTTGTATATATATGTACCTCAGATATATACAAAAGTAGTAATTTTACCTCACTTTTAATTTTATTAAAAAAAAATTCGTCGAGCGATTGGGCTAAAAAACTAGTCAATATAACTTATTTTTACAAAATAAGTATTAATTTTTTTCTTATTTTTGAAGTAGTAGGTATAGAGTTGTTTTTATTTAATTAAAGAAATTCATTTCCATACTTTATTTCTCCTAAAATTTTACAAAAAAACCTCCTAAATTCCTAAATAAAATTTGTAATTTTGCCGTGGGAGCCCTGAATTTAGGAAATTTTAATAAATTTTCCCAACCCTACTTACAGGGCAACGTGATCGAGATGCCGGCGTACGCGCTCGAGCCGCCCGAGGACGCGCCGCGCGTTTCGGAAGACGACAACGGCCGGCAGGGTCGGTTGAGGAACGACTCGTACCTGGGCGCCATCCACAAGGAGAACCTGCTGGTCAGGGCGGGCATGCAGAACGTCTACCAGCTGTTCATGACGCACGCGGCGAACGTTTTTCTCTTGGAGGTCAACGCGCACATTCCCAAGATGCTGGAGGAGCAAACCGACGCCTGCAAGCGGGTTCTGAACATCTACAGGTACATGGTTATGAACACCAGGATGGACAGTAACACGTGGTAAGTGTCTGCTTTTTAATGAATTCTTAACTTTTCCTTTATAGCAATAGTCAATTCCTATGTAAAATTGTGCGCTGAATTGTCAGTTAACAGTTAACAATACTAAAAACTAAAAATGTGAAGCTACTTTTTTCCGGTTTATCACAGGTTTTAGAAAAATGGCTTTTTTGGGAATTTTTTTTTTTTTTAATTACACATTTTAAGAAAAGTTGCAAACAACATCTTAGCATTATTTTAATAAAAAAAAATATCCTTTATTATAGAAAAAAAACTAAATTGAATTAAATTGAATAAATGTAAATGTTAAATATACTGTCGGTTGGGCCTTTTGTTGCAACAAGAAGTCCATTGAAAATATCCAATTACAAAATAATGAATTAAAGTTAAATTACAAAGTTATGTTAATACAGCATATGTTCTTTTTGCGGCCCGGTAGAAAAAAAATAGAATCTTACAGAATTAAAATAAAAGGAATAATTATTATATCATCATAATACACTCACAGGCAAAATAATCGATCCACACAAATTTTCGATGAGTTTCAATCGCAAATAACTTTTTTATTTGATGTCGGATTTAAACGAATATTAAAGAATATTGTAGATAAATTAATGGACAATCGCTCACATTTTAAAAAATTAGTAATAAATAGACGTACGTTTATAATATACAGGTTTAAACAAAAAGATGTTTTTTACCATAAGTTTAAGACAGTCTGTAGAGTGGCAAAACCTTATATTGTTCTAAATTAAGTTTTATTTATCAAGTCACATCTATTCTTAACAGTTTTGTTTTTGGTTCACCTTGATATATTTATTTTTGTGGAAAATATGGATTTTTTAATAAAACATTGCAATTTCCAATATTTTCCTGTATGAAGAACTAAGGTTGCTATGGTCCATCCATAGCCTATGGAGGATGACAGTGACAGTTTTGTTGAATCATCCCATACTTGGACATGTAATACACGACTTTCAAAAGCTATCAAATTGTTTTTTGCAAATTAATGTTTAAATTTTGAGGTGTCTTCTTACTTTAAAAAATGGATATGTCTCCGACTGATGTTACCAGAGCCATTAATTTAATCCAGGATGGACCGTCACAGTATTATGTGGCAAGTGTTTTAAACGTCCCAGGAATAAAGTATAAAGGGCAATTTTTTCTGAAAATTTCCCAATTTTTAATTATTGAGGTTTTTTTATAATTTAAAAAAAACCATGCTGTTTTTTTAGAAAAAAATCATTTATTAAAACGTTTTTTATCAAATATAAAAAAACAACTAATTTGAAATATCTTTAATACTAGTTGGCCAATTGCAATTTTTTTAATTTAAATTAAAGGTAAATAAAATCTCTATGCATCCTCATATATTTAACATTTTTCATCTAATTATTACCTTACTATATCATAATTTTAGGTGCAATGGAATAAAAAATTTGAGCCTAATTTCATTTTAATGGACCTAATTTTTAAATTTTTCCAACTAAAATATTGTGATTTTAACTAAATTCCTATTTTAAACAGAAATTTATTGGTTGGTACTGGGTATCGCGAACAACGAACGCGAACGTGACATTTCAGTGCATGAAATCTCAAGTTTTTTAATCAATCTTATGTTTTTATGTTTTATTTAAAAATTTGAATTTTCACAAATTCTAGCAAAGTTGTGCTTTTACATAGGAGTGTATTTTTTTAAATATTTCTCCTATCATAATGAATGTGAATTTTATATTGTATAATATTGTAAGTGCATTTATTTTTTACCATTATCACAAATCTTCATTAATTTTTTATAAATAATTTACAAAAAAATTATTTTTAAATCAGATGCTACAGATTTTTTTAATCATACATTGTGAAAAAACTGATGAATTTTTTTCAAAAAATTTTATGTGGTACCTAGATTATAAATTAATATTTATTTTTAATTTTTACGACAACGTCGAAAATCATGGACTCTGTTGGCAAAGTTTTACTCAGAATATACTTTATTGTGAATCAATCGGTCATAAAAAACAAAAAAACGTTATTTTTAACATTTTTGTTAAATCTTTAGTTATAACTGCATAACTGGTTGTGGTAATGATTTTCAAATTTTTATTACTGAGTGATTTTGGGGCGGTTTTTTCAACAGTATGGTTTTTAGTGACTCATCTCTATAATAGAAGTAGTTTTACACTGATATTCAACATCATGTATGCTTATTATTAAAAACATTTTAAAAAATTATTAAATTTGTGATGGTATTATAATATTTCCACTTAATATATTCTTCAGTTTTTTTTAATCAAAAGTTGCGTTCCAGTACTTACCTAATTTAATAATTTTCTCACCTAAAACAAGAAAAAACTACATATTTATTAGGTACCAATTTCTAATAAAATGCAAATTTGTCAACAATTTTCATTTAATTAATTTTGTGTACTTTCGTAGGGAACAACTCCTGGTGGTTCTCCTTCAAATAACCTCTCTGGTGTTGGGAGACACGCCGCCGCGCAAGAAAGTGTTAACCCTCGGTGGAAAATTGGCTCCAGCCATTTTTCAAACCTTAATAGTGACCTGGATCAAGGCCAACTTGAACGTGGTTATATCCAGGGAGCTCTGGGATCAATTTTTGATGGTACTCACCAGTTTGACCACGTGGGACGAGCTTATCAAAGAATGGGCTGTAAGTTATAAATCAATATTTTTTCCTAGTTTTTAGGTTTCTAACGATTTTTTAATTTCTTAATTTAAAACCTGAAATTCCCAATTTATGTACACATGTAGAATTTAGAGATGGGAAAAGTCCCATTTAACGAAAATTCCCGGAAACTTTCCATCGAAAATTCCCGAAACTTTCCGAAAGTTCAAAAAAAAATATTGCGAAAATGAGATTTTTGTGCTAGGAGGATTGCAAAAAGATTTAATACATTACCTTTTTGCCAAATTTTATTTAGAAAAAAAAATAGTTTATATGAATGTATACATAATGTATGCTGAATCTTAAAAAATAAACTGTCAGAAATTCACTACTAGTGAATCACTACTAGTGAATCACTAGATTACATAAAAAAATTTAAAGGATCAAAGTTAGTATATGGGAATTTTGGAAAGTAAAATATACTAAAAATAGTATTGCAGTTCTGACCATAAAATATGAAAAAAACTACAGGCAAAATAAAATCAACATTTTTGACTACCATTACCCATAAAAAATAATTGCAAAGCAAAAAACACAAATTAGGAATGTTCTTCAAACAAAACAAAAAAAAAATGTTATTCCCGTAATTTAAACTTGTAAAAATTGTAACTTAGGAACTGAATCTACAACAATGGCATTAGTATCAAATTTTGATGTACTGCATTGAGCATGTTTTTTTGCACTATTTTGTAATAATTCCAAATATAAGATTTTTCTATTGGCATTGCATTGTACCTATAAATAAACAACACAAACGTTAGAATGATTTTAACTTTGTTTAGTGTTTTTATTTTGTTTACCTTTTAAAAGGCTTTTATGCAAAAGGTTTTTTGCAAACGAATTATGAATTGTGATGATGAAATCTTCAACAAAGTAATCATAGAACATAAGTTATGTTACATAACTAATACTTCTTATTCAGTTTCTTGGCCTTAACTTCGCAAATCAGCTGTTAAATAATTGACATTTACATAAGGGGACATCCATTAATTACGAGAGACAAAAATAGGGGGGAGGGGTCCAGCAAAATCTCACCAAATCTCATTTTAAGGGGGGTCATTTAAAATCTCACGTCAACTTTTAAGTTTAAAAAATATGTAATATAATTCAAATTTGTTAAAAAAAATTAATATTTTTTATACATGTTGTCCGCAAAGAAAGTTTAATGGCTAAAATCTCACGTGAGGGATAGGGGGGGGTCTACCACATCTCACAAAATCTCGCCAAGGGGGAAAGGGGGGTCCAAATTATCAGAAAAATGCCTCACATAATTATCAAAGGTATTATCTTTGGATGTCCCCTAAAAAACGGAAAGTTTCCAAGGAAATTTTTCGGGAATGTTTCCGGTAACTTTAAAAGAAACTTTCAAAATGAAAATAAATTCCCGACTGGAAACTTTCCTTAAAAATTTTCCGATTCCCATCTCTAGTAAAATTCATAAACTGTTAGTTATGTTTCTATAATATAAGTATACTTCTAATTGAGTCGTATAGATTCAAAACCCGCCAAATCCATTTATTGAAAGTAAAGGACAGTAGATATGTTTGCAATACATATTAATTATGTTGTTATGGAAACATGTCTTCTGCCCTTTACTTTCAATAAATGGATTTGGCGGGTTTTGAATCTATACGACTCAATTGCAATAATTTAATTTTAAAAATAATAATTAGGTATAATTAATTAATGAACAAAAATATTCTACCTACATTTTATTAAAATGATTTTAATAAAATGTTTAGTTAGGTACATTTTCCTTATTTTTTCTGAATTAATGGTTTTTATAAGTTTTTGAATTTTTTTTTTAAAAACAAATAAAATTCAAAATCATATCTTAATTTGGGCTTATCAATAATTTTAAGTCGATTCTCCTTATATTACTTAAATTATTTTGATGATTTTTATATTTTCCTGATTTATGACAATATTATTATTAAGTTAAGTTAATAATATTAACAAATACTGGGTTTAAAAGTTTATTTTATTTTTATTAAATACTTAATTTTTTTTCTTTATTTTAATATAAATGTACATAGAAACACACATAAATAAATACAGAAAAAGTCATCAAGTTTCACAATACATGAGAATTACAAAAGTACTTACATAATAAAAAGATATTGAGGAAAAAAAATTGTACACGTATAAATATCACATTTCTATCTATATCACATGTATAAATATCACATTTCTAAGTATTCCTTAAGTTTCACAATACGAGTACATGAGAATTTAAGAATTTAAGCTAATCGCTATTTAACATCATGAACTCTCTCTGTGATATATATGTCAAATAATTAGATTTTAAGTAATAGACCAAACAGTTTTCACTGTGTTAATTATCTGTGATATATGTTAATAATAAGATTTTAAGCTAACATTTTTTTTTTCTCATGTTAATAATTATTATAATTATTATTTTATAATCAACTGTAAAAAACTGTAAGGGGATGAACCTCCATAGATTTTCTTTGTAATATCTCATTGGTTCAATAAATCTATTCATTCATTCATTCATTCAATTTCAAAAGATTTTGGAATTTAAAAAATATTGAAAAATTCCCATATGCCTTTTTATTGATACAGAAAACACTGGAAACTTTGACAAGAGTGTTGGCTCGCCAAGTTTACAACCTCGATTTGACGGACCTGCCGTTGGACAGGCACAAGTCGAAACGGGGCGGTAGGCGCACGAACCAGCAGGCGGAAAGCAACGCTGGACCGTGCAGCGCCACCGACGGCTCCAACAACCGAACCGCGTGCCGACAGGACTCGATTTTGCCCGAGGGCAACGGCCACTCGAAGAGGATGAGGCCGGGCTTGAGGAGGAGCCTCAGCGAAACCAGTTTGGCCGTGAAACGGAGGAGTCATCATGGAGAAAGAAACGTAAGTGACACTCATTTTTTCCTTATTATTCTATACCACATCATCCAAGCGATTTTATTGTTTATATTTACATTAATCATGCGGTTTTCACGTTTTCTATAAATAAAAGTGCGGTTTTAAGATAGTATATTATGTATCAAGTTTGATAAGCGCCATTTTAGTCACGAATTTAATCAGGGCTCCCACACCTTCTAAAACTCATAAAATTCATAAAATTTTGCTTAAATCTTCAAAACTCCTAAAATTCTCCTAAAATGGCAATCAATCTCCTAAAACTCCTAAAATCCTAAACATTAAATTTAAATACTGACTGCGTTTAATTAAGGTAGTGCTAAAAAAATTCTTTTTTAAAAAGTAATTTAAAAATATATATATTTAGGTTCCATTTTATTAAATTCTTTTTAAAATGATGATATCACAACTAAAATTTTTCTTAAAAAAACATAAAAACTTCTACAAAATTGTCATTTTTAGCGATATTTCGTTTTTTAGTCAAAAATATACCATGTTATATAGTAAATCCTTTTGTTTGGTATATAATATATACCAAACAAAAGGATTTTTAATTTTCTTTTAAATGACAGCTGAAATAGTAAACAATCTAAAGAATGTTTTGCTGTATTTTGCAAACTTCATATTTTGTTATGAGATTTTTAAGTATTAAGATCCACATTACAATTGAATCGATGGGAATAAAAACAGTCCAAAAATTTAATTTTGACAATTTATTTTCTAAAATCAATTTTAAAGTTTAAAATACATTTTTGTTAGAAGATATAAATTATTTTACAGAATATAAATATTATATTTCATAAAATAGTTAAAATATTCTAACAAAAATGCATTTAGAACTATAAAACTGATTTTTTGAAATATTTTATCAAAAATTTTACTTTTGGACTTGTACTATTCTTAACCTTATCGATTTAATTACTGTTAGTAAACGGTTAACATGTTTTTTCTTAAAATATAAAGATAACATCATTTGATTTTGGCATTAACCAAATCTATCGACGCATTTTTTTAGATAAAATTAAAAGTGTGGTGAAATTAATACTTGTATATATATGTACCTCAGATATATACAAAAATAGTAATTTTACCTCACTTTTAATTTTATTAAAAAAAAAAACTCGTCGAGCGATTTGGCTAAAAAACTAGTCAATATAACTTATTTTTACAAAAGAAGTATTAATTTTTTTTTATTTTTTAAGTAGTAAAGAGATGTTTTTATTTAATTAAAGAAATTTATTTCCATACTTTATTTCTCCTAAAATTTTACAAAAAACCTCCTAAATTCCTAAATAAAATTTGTAATTTAGCCATGGGAGCCCTGTAAATATTAAAATAACTTCAAAATATGATTATGTTAAGAAAATATTTTATCCCTTGATTTTTTTATTACTATAATTGCAAAATATTATTACAAAGCATTAACACGGGAAATGTCAAAGGTAAAAAAGTGACAGTTGTATTTATTGGAATTCCCGTTAGAATTTCTACCGGCATTAAATTCTCTAATGTTTCTGTGTAAATTATAATTTATCCCTTGAAAATAGACCAACAATCGATATAGAAGCAGTTTTTCAGAATAAGATAGAAGACGCTTTATTAGTTAAATTTGCAAGAAAGGCACTTTATTTTAAAGATTGTATGACATTTGAAAACTGTCAACTAACTTAAAACTAACTTCAGTCTGTGACAAAAAACCTGTTGCTAACTTCAGCCCCTGACTAAAGCGCCATAAAGCCACAACTTGTCAATGTGTATTTAAAAGGTCACTTAGTGTAAGAATTGTGGTTAATTTTAATTTTGGCATTGATATTTTATACTATATAAATAATTAAAACTATTGTAGTATTTAAATCAATACAAATAAAATCTTGTGACCGGTCACAAACATAATGAAGGTGGTCATTTGCCAACTCTATTTTTAAATAATACGCATTTGTTAATACAGTATATCGAAAATAAACGTATTCTTGGTTTTTAGCAATACAAAATGTGGATTTCATTAATTAAATAAATAACCCAATTAGGTTTTTTGTAAAATAATACAAATTGTGTGTAGTTTGTGTTTGGAAACCGCAAGTACGTATTAGTTACTGAAAGAATGGTTTTTGTTATTTTTTTTCCCACTAAATTGCCAAAGCGTTACTGAATTTTGCGCGTGTTTAAAAAAACTTTAAATGTTGTAACATCATTTGTTGTGTTGTTGGTTGTTTTTTGGAAGGAAATCGTGGGTTGAGTTTTTACCGCTTTCCCAATCAACTGGAAATCCGAATGAAGAAATAAATTGCATACAGTCCCTGTAAGTGTAAATTGTAAACATTTCAATTCAGTAAAAATCATAAAACAAATAAGTCATCTAAATTCAAACGGCATTTAGCACTATTAAAAGCGTTGATTAAGAAAGTCTCCGCTCAACAGCAAAATACCAAGAACCGGTATTATATTATAATATTATGTTGCCATGAATTCGTAGGTATATTTTGTCGTTTTTTAGACTTAAATATAAAAAAATTGATTTTAAGGTTGTGTTGTACAACTATTATTTTTTGTTACATTTCTTAAAAATGTCCAAACTTAAATGTAAATTATATTAGGTAAAGTTATCATTCATATTCTGCACAAATAAATGTACATACCAATTTGGATCTTTTGGCAAAACATGAAAATGCAACGATTTAGTTCTTGAATTACATTTACAATTAAAAACACAATAATTCACCATGATCCCTTTGATAGAATACACACACTAACGTAACTATATAAGCATTTGAGCGTTAAGTATCTTAATCAATGATATAAGGAATAATAAATCAAAACCAAAGTTTTTCAGGTTTTACTTGCAACGCGAAACACAGACGTGCGCAATTTAGCTGTGCTAAAATAAATATATTTCGTCCGATAAATATTGATATCGATATATGATTTATGATTTATCAAATAAATAATTTCAATCTTCCATCCCTAGTGACAATATAGCTCAGTCATTCGTGTTGTATTTCCAAGCCGCAGGAGCGCTGGCATGCTTCAATTTAGCGATACGTATGTCAAAAAAATCGGTTTTTGACATTTTACGTTGAGGGCCAAGTTAAAAAAACAAATTATAGGACAGGCTTAATTATCGGAATTTTGAAATAAAACTAAATAATAATAATAAAAATGGTGCTTTAAATGAAAGTGTTATTATTTAAAATTTTATTTGACAAAAAGGTTTTTTTAAGGTATTAATTTGTTTTTTGTTATAGCCTGTGTATAAATCGCAAATCTTTTAAAATTTAGTTTTAAAAACTATAAATCAAGGTTTTTGTGAAGAAAAAAAATATTTTTTATAATAATCGTAAATTTGGTATTCGCATGTGCAATACAGAAATATTTTACTACTACGCATGTCTCTGACGTCCATTTGACAGTCCAAATGATCGGTTGGAACCACCCTTATATTTATATATTATTTATTAATTTATTTAATACATTAATATATTTTCCAATAAGCTAACCAAATAGCTTGCCTGGGCATTAATATATTCAATATTTTTTTTATTTATACCATTTCAAATTTTCATATCCATATCTCCTTTTAAAAATCTTCTTTAATTTGCTAAATTTTAACACACTCTTCCAAATAATCCACTTATTTATTTTTGTCAAAATAGATTTTTTTAACCTTAAAATACAAAATTAGGTGATATTTTTTGTTCTAATACATTAACCTACCTTTGATACAGATATTCTTATTTCATAATAGAGAAGTTAGATTTTTTTTAATAAATGCTGTTTAGTTAAAACTATTTTATGGAGAAATGTAGACCCAATGCACAAAAATATCACTTATATTGCACCTTACACTTTGAAATTTCATTAAATGCAGTATTTATATTCCTAAATTCTTAAACCAACCATTGTTATTGTGATACTATAAAGATTTATTAACTTTTAACGCTTAAACATAAGCGGTAACACTATAAATATTATTTCTTTCATTGACTATACTTTGACAGATAGGTGTGGAGCATAGTACATAATTACAGCTTGGCACTGCTACCAAGCCCATAACTGAGACATACAAGGCTAGCGCTTTTCCCTTACCGATACGTCGTAGACACAGACTCGTGGGTCGAGCTGTAATATTTTATTATATTTTTAGTCCAAAAACCGTCGTTCCCGCTCGCTGGACAACTTCCCGGTGCAGGACACCGAGTCCACCGACAGGACGCGATCGCCGAGTCCGGCGCCCTCCAGCGGCATGGAGAGCAACTCGATCAAGGACTCGCCGATCCAGCTGGACATGATCTCCAACGACACGCACGTGACGGAGACGCCCGGCGACAACCGAGGCGTCGTGTGCGGCGGCAACCTGCGCGGCTGGCTGCCCGACGTTGCCGTCATCCTCTGGAGGCGAATGTTGGGTGAGTGCGCTTCGGTTTTTAAATTTTTACCCAAAAAGTTGAATAATTGAATCCCTGAAATTAAGAACAGTGCATGTTCAAAAGATAATATTTTGACAAATTATTTAATAAAATCAGTTTTATAGTTCAAAATGCATTTTTGTATTTTATAAAATATAATAACAATATTTTGTAAAATGATTTATCTTCTCACAAAAATGCATTTTAAAGTTTTAAATTGGTTTTAGAAATTGATTTGTCAAAATTAAAATTTTGGGCTTTGTTCTTAATCTCCCCGATAAAATTATTGATCCAATTAATATTTAATTAATTAATTAATATTAATTTTTATATAATTTACATTTAATGCGTTTTTGTGGTTTAAATTAGGGTTTTACAATTTCCAGAAAAATTGACCATGCGGAAAAAAACGTTTTTTCCTGAAAAAAACGAAAAAATTGGGAAATTTTCAGTAAAATTGACTTTTTAAATTTTATTTAAACGGTAATACGAAAAAATGCAAAAGTCAATTTTTCTGAAAATTTCCCAATTTTTACACTGGTACACTGATATCGACGCTAATTATAAATATGATTATAATAATTATTCCTGTAATAACATAACTTTATTTGAAACTTCGATTTATAATATTGTAATTTAACTTTATAAATCATGCATTATTTGGTAGTTGGATATTTTTAATGGACTCCTTTAAAAAAAACAACCGACACTATATTTAACGTTTACGTTTATTTTCTTAAATCAATTTAGTTTAATTTAATGTTTTTTTTTTTAATAAAGTATATTGTTTTTAAAATTAAAATTATGTGATGTTGTTCTATGCTCCTTTTTTTCAAATGAGTTTATTTAAAAAAATCATTTTTTCTCAAAAAAGACAATTTTTCCAAGGCCTGGGAAAAAAACGAAAAAAAAACAGGTTTTTTCCCCAATTTTTCCGTTTTTTTTTCGACACTTTAAAAACTTAGTTCTATGCTCCTTTTTTTCAAATGAGTTTATTTAAAAAAATCATTTTTTCTCAAAAAAGACAATTTTTCCAAGGCCTGGGAAAAAAACGAAAAAAAAACAGGTTTTTTCCCAATTTTTCCGTGTTTTTTTTCGACACTTTAAAAACTTAGTTTAAATACTGTATAATTTAATAATTTAAATATTTTTGCACCTTTACCACAATGTTTACAAAAAACCGCAATGTTTACAAAAAATGCAGCAGTTTTGGAGGATTGTAAGGACAAAACTTTTATTTTGGCCATTGTTTTTCTTATTAATTATACAGTGTAACTCATTTGTTCGCGACTCACCCCTGTAAAATCTTTATTTAGTGTGTAATTTTAACCGGATTTGTTTTAAAGTGAAGATCTTGATAAACTGTTTTTTTGAAGCAGAAATCCATATTTTTACAAAATACAATGTCTGTTTTTGAGAGTAAATTTTTAAGAATTCATATTAGCGATTTAAAAAAAATCTATGCACGGCACTGGATTCACCACCCCTCAAAACGACTATACTAATACTAATACTAAATTTTATTGAAAATTTTTAAGTAAGAACGATTTTGTAGCTAATTAAAAATTCACAATAATGGGGTAGTTAAATTTTTTCTGACCCATACTTTTTATGGTTTTATTCAAGGCGTTTTGTAATATTAAACATTTCTGTGAAATCAGAATTTCAATTGAGTTTACCGTTTTCGAGATATTTACAAAAAATATAAATTTTTATGACGTCACAAACCTCGCCATGTGACCAACATTCTAAGATTTCTATTGGTTGAAAATTACCCTGTTGTCAAGTTGTCTTGTTAATGATTTCATTCAGTTATGTCAGAAAATACCTGAAGAGGTTATGTACAAATACTGTCACTGTCAGTTGAGAGGAGGTTGAAGAAAATTCTGAAATTAAAAGTTTTATTGATAGGTTTACACATTAAAACACCGTGTGAAACCTATTAAAATGTAATAAATAGGTACCTAATAACTGTCTAAAGCAGAGTTTAATATATTTCATAGAAAAAAGTGGCAAAATAAAGCTGAAAATGAATGAAATAAATTTACAAAAAATAACAGTAAATGTAAGGTAACAATGGTATTTATGATATTTGTGTATAGTTTTTATAAAACTTGCATCCCTGATGATGAGCATCAAAACCTTTTGTAAGATTAAAAAAATGTATGATAAACTTTTGGACTGTTAGAAGATGCTTCGCTCTAGAGTACATTTTAAGATATATCTAAAATAATATAAAGAACTAGGCATTATACTAATGAAATGCATTTACGACAAAATATGATTATAATTATAGGTACTTACTTTATTTGTTTAAAAGCTCCAATGTTCAATGTAACCAACCATTCCACAAGATTCCTCTGCTTTGAAGTCCGTTATTAATAAATCACTTATCAAATATCAATTACAAATAGCATAACAATAACATTGATTTTCAATACTCTAAATTTAAAAAAAACATAACCCGAAAAAAAGAAACGTCAAAAAATCAATTCTTCTTCTTCTTCTTAACTAAAATATTATAACGTGGCGCCATCTATCGTAAGAATCTTAAACTAAACACACTGGCAACCATAGAAAAAGCTGGCAACGTTGTCAATAGGCTAGTGACGTAATTAGAAGATTTTTTTTTGTAAATATCTCGAAAACGGTAAACTCAATTGAAATTCCGATTTCACAGAAATGTTTAAAATTACAAAACGCCTTAAATAAAACCATAAAAAGTATAGGTCAGAAAAAATTTAACTACCCCATTATTATTTACAAAAATGTATTCTGTCAAGTTATCCATGAAAAAAACATGAAATAAAATTAAACTTATAATAACATGGTATAAATATTATTATGCTTTGTTTTACAACAAATAAAAAACGCAATAGAAATTTAAAACAATGAAACAAAAAATTCTCTACAATAAGATTTTCGTCACCTCTACTGCACAAGAGAATTTTTGTTCTTCATTATTTTTTTGTTTCATTGTTGTTTTAAGTTTCTATTGCGTTTTTTATTTGTTAAAAGTAAACATAAGAATATTTTTCTACTCCCACCTTTAAAACGCCCTTTATCGTACATGTTTCCATGACATTAAGTGACCTTTTAAATACACATTGACAAGTTGTGGCTTTATGGCGCTTTAGTCACGGGCTGAAGTTAGCAACAGGTTTTTAGTTTTAAGTTAGTGGACAGTTGTCAAATGTCATAAAATCGTTAAAATAAAGTGCCTTTCTTGTAAAATAATACTAAATGTGACAATTATTTTATTATCTCGATAAAAAAATACAAAAGTATTAAATAGTTTCTCAACGCCAATATTTGAAAAGTTTATATGAACATTGTACTGACCTTTTAATTTCGCCGGCAGTAAACTATAACTTAAATTCGGGCACGGATTCCATAATATACTATTATACCATGTTACAATTAGTTTAATTTTAATTCAATGTTTATTTCATGGATAACTTGAACTTAAAAAATCGTCTTAATTTTTTTTAATAATATTTAGTATAGGGTTGTGCCGGACAAAGATTTTTTTTAAATCTCTAATACGAATTGTTAATAATTTACTCTCAAAAACTGCATTTTGTAAGAATATGGTGTATTTTGCTTCAAATACAGTTTATCAAGATTTACACTTTAAAACAAATCCGGTTAAAATCGCAAACAAATGGTATATATTTTGTTAATCAAATACTTTTTATAAATAATAAATAATACCTTTTAAGAATAATGTTTTTAACGAAATAAAATCGAACAAATTTTGTCCGATTTACCACATTTTTCTAACGGGACAAACAAAAACAAGGCAAATTTTTTTATGAACATTTTAAATATGTGTTCATGTAATAATAATTTTATAATAGTTATTATTTCTTAATTTCATTGCTGATAACTGCCATAAAATTATTATTATAGGAACAACACATCTTCAAAACTTTTCATAAATCATTTTGTTTTTTTTACTTGACCAGTTAGTAATCATGGAATCGCCCTTATCTATTTACGTTATTGTGTTAAAATTTCAACGCACTGAAAACAACCGCGCGTGTAAAAATTTATATTTACGGTCATTTTCGCTTCCATTAATTTTTATTATCCCTTTTAAAAAGCAATTTTCTAATTTCAACAGAAATTACACTTTTCTTTCATTTTATTAAAATTATTATTATATTTTGATAGATTTGTTATATCATTTATAATAAAATCCCTAAAAAGGTTAAAATACTATCAAGAGTTAAATTTGTTAGAACCATAAGACACATACTTACTACTGGTGCCTTTTACACTGTTGATGAGTTCCTGGAATGTGATAACTCGACGCTATTATAAGAACAGTGCTTGTTGCGATTTTAAGCAAAACAATAAACAAAGTGTTTTTTTATACTACCTTAAATATTTTAAATGTGTTGTATTTATTGTTTTTATATTGTATATGTTACGGCTAATGTGCAAACTTGGATAGTTTATAAACTAGCTGGATAGTTTATAAACTAGCTGGATAGTTTATAAACTAGCCAAACTGTCAGCTATTTTAATTGAAAATGTATTTTCAACTAAATTAGCGGCTAGTTTACAAAATAACCAAGGATCTTGGCTAATTTACTTAAAATTATTAGGGAAACTAAAATAGCTGGATAGTTTGTATACTATCCAATTCAATTTGGCTAATATGAAAACCAAAATTTCTAGTAACACAAAATAGCCAAGCTTTAGCTAGTTTGTAAACTAACCAACTAATTCTCTGGCTATTTCATTTTAGTTGGGTTTTTTGCTCAATGGGGTGGGGGGGGGCAATGGGGCGGGGTCGGTTGGGTTGTGTTGTTGAGTTTGGGTTGGTTTGGGTTTTTTCTCTTATTTTTGACCATTTGACCAATGGGGCGGGGGGGGGGTGCAATGGGGCGGGGTCGGTAGGGTTGTGTTGTTGAGTTTTCTAACAAGGAAGCGTTAAAATTTTGCCTATGATTCATTTTAAAAACGTTAAAATGCACAAAATAAATCCGGTTAAGCCGGCAAAACGAAAAACAATGCCGTAACCTCACTTTTTTAATAAATTAGCCAGAGAATTGGTTGGTTAGTTTACAAACTAGCTAAAGCTTGGCTGTTTTGTGTTACTAGAAATATTGGTTTTCATATTAGCCAAACTGATTTGGATAGTATACAAACTATCCAGCTATTTTAGTTTCCCTAATAATTTCAAGTAAATTAGCCAAGATCCTTGGTTATTTTGTAAACTTGCAGCTAATTTAGTTGAAAATACATTTTCAATTAAAATAGCTGACAGTTTGGCTAGTTTATAAACTATCCAGCTAGTTTATAAACTATCCAAGTTTGCACATTAGCCATAACATATACAGTGCTTGCAAATCCAAGTCCGACCGCGTTGGGAAGGATGGTTGTTCAATACCCGCGTGAAAAGAATAAGGATAGAATGCCAAACAGAATTTGATTGGTCAGAGCGTCAGGCGTGCGTATTGTAAGCGCCTTCTGTTTGGCGTTCTATCCTTGTTATTTTTACGCGTCCTTTCTAAAGCGGTCGGACTTGGATTTGCAAGCACTGTATAGTATACACTCTGTATAGTATACACTCTGTTGCCATTTTGTGATATTTTATTTTTATTTTATTGTTACTCTAAATTTTTTATTCACATGTAATTTGACTAGTCATGTAATTTTATTTTTGATGTCAATAAACTATTTCTATTTCTTCTTTTCTATTCGTATATTTCTCTCGGATTGCATTTTCTATTATGTGCAGGCGCCCTGGGCGACGTGAACCAAATCAGCGAGCCGAAGCTGCACAGCCAAGTGTTCGAGTACCTGATCAAGCTCACCGACACGCTGATCAAGATCAAGCGCAACCAGGGCGTGTCGACGGACAACATGTCGACGCCGCAAGCGCCCGAGTTGATTCCGCCGCTGACGCTCATCCTGCCGTGGTGCTTCGGCGCGCTCATGCAGCCCGACGCCTTCCAGGGCGGCAAGCTGAACGCCTTGAGGTTGCTGTGCACGATCACGTTGAATTGCGACGCCAAGCACAGGACGTATCTGCCGCAGTTTTACAGGTTTTTGCATTCGGGTAAGAGGATTTTCGTCTTTTAGTAATCAATCTTTTTGAGTCGTTCTTATTTTTTTATTTTTGTAAATTTTGTAATTAAAAAAAAAAATAAATTTGAACAAAATCAATGCATGAAAAAATAAAATGCATTTATAAAGATTGCAAAACTTAAAAATTTATGAAATTTTAAGTTTTGAATTTCTGGAAAGTGGATTTTTTTTTAAATTTTGAAAATGTAATTTTTTGAATATATATTAATTGCAGTCAATTAAGATTTCAATTAAGATTTGACTTTGGAATTTGAAAAGTATAAAATTTTGGCCAAACCAGAAAATTTTGAAAGTGTAATTTTTTAAATTTTATAAATTTATATATTTTTGGAAATGTTTAAATTTAATTTTAACAAAACCAGTGAAGGAAGAAATTAAATCCAGTTAATAAAGATTTAATCAAAATTATCATAATTATTGAAAACTTTTTTATTTGTAATTTTGAAAATATTAAAATTTTTGGAAATTTTCTTTGATGAAAGTTTCAAGAAACCAGTTGAAGAAATATATTAATTGCAGTTAATAAAATTTCATTAAAAAACACAATTTTAAACTAAAAACTAAAAACTTTGGAAATATATAGGTACATATTTTTTTAAATATTTTAGGAATTTTGAAAACTTTAAATATTTGAAAATTATATTTTTTAAATTTTGTAAATTTGTTTAAAATTTTGTTTAAACCAGTTAATAAAGATTTCATCAAAATTATTACAATAATTGTTATTGCAATTATATTATAACAACTTTTTGAAAATTTGAAATTTTCTTTAATTTTTTCAACAAAACCGGTTTAAGGAATTTATTAATTGCAGATTTTATTAAAAAAACAATTTTAATGATTTTGTAAATTGAAAACTATAAATATTTTGCAAAACTTGAAAATTTTGGATTTTTAAATTATAAAATTTTTGAAAATTTTCTTTAATTTGTTTCAACAAAACCGGTTGAAGGAATTTATTAATTGCAGTTAATAGAGATTTCATTAAAAAAACAATTTTAATGATTTTGTAAATTAAAAACTATAAATATTTTGCAAAATTTTGGAAACATAATTTTTTGAAATATTTAAATATTTAAAGAATTTCGAAAATTTTAAAAATTCCAAATTCTGAAATTTTTGTATGATTGGAAGTTTATGAAAATTTTGAAATTTTTTTATTTGATTGGGCTTTTAAATTTAATTTCAACAAAATCAGTGAATGCGGTTAATAAAAATGTTATCAAAATTATAATTTTATAAATATTTTGCAAAAATTTGAGAAATATAATTTTTTTTAATTTGATTTGGTTTTTAAATTTGATTTCAACAAAACCAGTGCAGTTAATAAAAATTTTATCAAAATTATAGTTTTATTAAAATTTTGCAAAACTGGACATTTTTTGAACATTTTGGATTTTTTAATAGTAAATTTTTAAAAATCATACAATTTTTGAAAATTATAAAAAACCGTTTAAAGGAATTAATTGCTGTATAAAGGTTTCATTAAAAAAAAAATTTAATATTTAAATATTTTGAAAATTTCGAACAAAATTTTACTTGAAATTTTTAAAAATTTGAAAATTTTGAAATTTTTAAAATTTAAAATTTGATTTCAACAAAACCAAATGCAGTTAATATTGATTTCATTAAAATTATAATTTTATAAAAATTTTGAAAAACATGGGAAATTTTAAATTTTTCTTTGATTTCAACAAAACTGGTTGAAGGAATTGCATTTATTAAAGATTTCATTAAAAAACATATTTTTAATGATTTGGTAAAATTTTGCAAAACTTAAAATTTGGACTTTTGGAAAATTTGATTGAAATAAAACCAGTAAAGGAAGGATATTAAATGCAGTTAATAAAGATTTTATTAAAATTATCATTGTTTTATATAATATTGCAAAATTCGAAAACTTTGGAAATATAATGTTTTAAATATTTTGCATATGTTGCAAATGTTGGAATTTGTAAATAATTTTGGAAATTTTCAAACTCTCCAAACTTATGCAAAAAATGAAATTTCTTCCTTTCAGCTCTCACAGGGACATCAGAAGCGGCCCTAAACACGACTCTAAAGGCACTCGGGCCAAGATTCCTCTCTCTTCAACTACCCGGTTCGTCCCTCTTGCTTCTCGATTTGGTTCACGGTTGCAATTCGGTTTTGAACGCGACGGAAAATCTGGACAAGAGTCCCAGAACCGAAGCCGTATCGATTCTGGCCAACTTGCTGTCTCTTCCGGACGATTTAAGTTCCATCAGCGTACTGCGCCCCGATGCCACCGTCGAAGTTATCAGCTGCCCCGATATAAAGGTAATACAAGTCATAAAATTTGGTGTTTTTTTAAATTTTATTATGTAAATAAAAAATTATGGAATTTGAAATTTTTTAGAAAATTTATAAATTTCTTGATTTAAATTTTAACAAAACCGGTAGAAGGAATATAATATATAATTAATAATTGAAGGGGTCAATGCAAGAAGTGCCTTAGTCACAAATAGGTGATTCTGAGATATTGCGGTTTGACGGTTTATTTTTGATTATGAAATATTACACTAAATATTAGGATCGAAATGTGTGTTGTATTGTATTCTTTGTGAAAAGTGAATTTGGCTTCCATGATTAAAAAAGAAAAAACGTTTTGTTTTATCCAAAAAAAAATATATAATAATTTGGGACTTTTTCTGTTGAAATGTTTATATTTTGTCAAAAATTAATGCATATTTTGAGGAAATATTTCTTTAAAAATATATAAAATATGAACAAAACTTAAAACTAAGACATAACTAAAGCAAAACTAAGAACACATAATAAGAAGGCTGGCTATTCATAAACAGCGTCGGCCTCTTGTAACTGATCAATCTCTTTATCAATGACAATGCTGGATTATTCTTCTATTTTGAGACAACGTTCGAGCAAAAAAACGGTAACTAGTATGTAGGAAACACAATCTATTTTATTCTACTTTACTTACCTGCCAAAGTTATATTTTTAATCACAGACAAAAATTATTAGGATTTACACAGCATAATTGGTAATTTGCTCAGATATAACCTAATTTAAATAACGTGGACTAAGGCACATGTTGCATTGCATCCGTCAAAATGATGACTTAGGTACTTCTTGCATTGAAAACCAGGTAAACTCCCCTTGAAGTAAATGCAAACTAAGGCACTTAGACACATATTTCTGCCACTCTGCAAATACCACCTGAAAGCTTACGTGAAACACTTTTAGATAGCGCCACAATGTCAATTTTATTAGGCACAATGTCAATTTTATTAGGCACTTCTTGCATTGACCCCTTCAATTGCAGTTGATGAAAACTTCATTAAAGAAACATAATTTTAATGATTTTGTAAATTGAAAACTAAAAATTTTGCAAAACTAGTATATTTTGAAAGTTATAAAATTTTAAAAAATTTGAATTTTTTTGCGACGAATTTTTTAAAAATTTTTTAAAAATTTTAAATTTGATTTCAACAAAATCAGTAAAGGAAGAAATTAAATGCAGTTAATAAAGATTTCATAAAAATTTTATAAAAAATTTGCAAAATTTGGAAATTTTGAACTTTTGGAAACTAATTTTTGAAAATTTTCTGGTTAAAGTTTCAAGAAAACCGGTTAAAGGAATATATTAATTGCAGTTAATAAATAATAATAAAATACATTTATTAACCCAAAAAACACAATGCGGTTTACAGAGGGAACTCTAATTAAATATACATCAGTTTACATATAAATACAATAAAAATATTGTCACCTATTAATTATTAAAACACAAATACATTCTGTACATATACACAATACATAAATTAGCTTGGCCTAAAGTGTTTTTTTATTTCATTTATATTCAATAAATCATACTTTTTTACAAGTTCGTTATATTTATCGGCTCCTTTATACAAGATAGACGATTTTCCAAAATTGGAGGTAAAAGGATACAAATCTAATAAATTGTTGTTACGAGTATCATGAGCGTGTATGTTATTTCGTATTGTAAGAGTTAGATTGGAATGTTTTTTTTTGTTAAGATTATTAAAAATAAAGGCGGTTGCCTGAAAGTAATAAATATTTCCGACTGGCATTATATTAAAATTTGTATACAAATCTGAGGTACTGTATCTCGTGGGCAATGAGTATAGGTTTTTTATGGCCTTGTTTTGAAGGGTTTTAAGAGGGGTTATTACATTATTAGAAGTTATTAAATATTTTTCAAAATTTGAAAATTTGATTTTTTTTTAATATTTTGAGTTTCGAAAATTAAAAAAATTTCAAATTCTGAAAATATTGTATATTTGGAAATTTTTGAACATTTTAAAATTTTTTGATTTCATTTGGTTTTTAAATTTGATTTCAACAAAACCAGTGAATGCAGTTAAAATTATGATTTTATAAAAATTTTGTAAAATTGGACATTTTTGAACATTTGTAAAATTTTGGATTTTTTAAAAATTTGAAAATTTTCAAAAATCATACAAAATTGGAAATTGTTTCAACAAAACCGGTTAAAGGAATTTAATAATTGCAGTTAATAAAGATTTTATGAAAAAAACAACAATTGTAAATTGAAAACTATAAATATTATGCAAAACTTAAAAATTTTGAAAATATAATTTTTTTAAAGATTTCTATATTTTAAAAAGTTTGAAAATTTTAAAAATTCCAAATTTTAAAAAAATTTAATTTTTTTTAAATTTAAAAAGTTTGAAATTTAAAATTTGATTTTAACAAAACCAAATGCAGTTAATAAAGATTTCATTAAAATTATAATTTTATAAAAATTTTGCAAAATCATAAAATTTTTGTTAATTTAAAAAAAAATTCAACAAAACTGGTTAAAGGAATTGCAGTTATTGAAGATTTCATTAAAAGTTTTCTGCATTACAATTTTTGAAAATTTTTTGCCACTAATATAAACGTAATACAAGTCGTATAAAATTTGGTGTTTTTTTCATTTTATTTTAGGAACATGTGGTAAGCATATTACTAAGAGCTGGAAGGCGCGAACCAAGTGGCAGAGCTAGATGTATAGCTCTAAACGCGCTGGGAATGTTTGTTTATAAGGAATTAGCCAACCAAACCTTCCACCCAAAACTATCAGACGCGTTAAACGTCCTTCTTCTTGCTTTAAAAGTAAGACATTTATTTTTTTTAACGCCATAAATTATAATACATTTTCCGTAGTTCAACGTGAAAGTCATAGCACAACTTACCAGCAACATCTTGTTCCTCCTCTGCGACCACGCGCCTTTATTGTGGACTCAGTACCCGAGATTAGGCAACAGTGTAATCAGGACGTTGTGCACTGCGTTATTTAGGCACGCGCCTTTGGGTATGCGAACAAAATAGTTTCTAATGTATTTAATTTTAATGTTAACTAACAGTTTCCACAGCCGGCGAAAGCGATAAAGCCTTGGGTACAGCTCTGTTACTTTGTTTGGGAGAGTGGTGCATGAAATTGGGACCGGTTAGGTTGTTGGAGGTTTCCGAGTATGGAGAGACCAGAGGAACGTGTTTGCTGCTTCAAGTTTTTACCGTAAGTATTTATTACACAGTTCAACACGATTTTTCTCCTATAAAAAATTTTAACAGATTTTAAAAATAATTGTTAAACAATGACCTGTGTCTCACCGTTTCACGAAATCACATCATTTAAATTTTTTATACAGCCATTCTTATTATTTTAAACCCATCCAGATTTTTAACGCAACGCAAGGTCAAAGCAGATGTGAAAATGTTGTGTCCGAAATGTAATAAAAACATTGGAAAAAGTGGATACAAAATTAAATGTGCAGGTGCATGTCAAGCATGGTTCCATGATACATGTACTGGACAAACCGAAGATGAAATAAATAAATCAATTAAAAAGAAAATCAGCTGGAAATGTGCCTCCTGCATAAGTGAGGTTATGTCGAGCAGTGAAGAAGAAGAGGAGGAGAAAGATTACCAAATAACATTAAAAGATATTATGGTAAAACTTACCTCTATGGAAAAAGACTATAAGAAAATATTTAAAAGATTGGAGGAGCAAGAATCTAAAACCTTAAAGTTAAATAAAGAAGTCGAAGAAATTAAAAAAGAAAATACCACCATAAAAAATCAACTTCAACAAATTTTACTCCAAAAGGATAAACAAGACCAAGAAAAACTAAAAAACAATGCTGTTCTCTATGGAATACAAGTTAAAAAAGATGAAAACCTTAAAAAAGTAATCAGTAAGGTCTTAAATAAGGTAATCAAAACCAATGATACAGACTTTGAGTGTCATAGAATTGGAAAAGCTGATGTTGGAATGGAAGCCCCAATAAAAATAATATTTAAGGAAGCAAACGTAAAAAATGAAGTTATGAGTAAAAGAAGGGATGTATCAAAAATAAACATAGAAGAATTGGGCTACGAAGGTGGAAACAAAACTTTTATAAACCATGAAATGACTAAGAAAAATATGCAAATGTTTAAAAAGGTAAAAGAATTTGCAAAGGATAATGAATACAAATTTGTTTGGTTTAATGGTGAAAAAATCCTAATCAGAAAAAATGATGATAGCAAAATAATTGCCATTTTATCTGAAAATGATATTGAGAAACTACAAAAAAACTAATAAAGCAACAAATAAAGTTTATGTATGTAAATGTACGCAGTTTAAGAAATAAAAAAGATGAACTAGAGTTACTTATTATGAAAAACAATCCAGATATCATAATGTTGACAGAAACATGGTTATACGATAATGAAATAGAACACTATGAATATAAATTGTATAGCAGTTTTCATTTATGCAGAAAAACAAGGGGAGGTGGTGTTGCACTTTATATAAAAAGAAAATTTAATGCTTATTTAGAAAAAATACAACAAGATGAAAATGACTACATAGAAATACACATAAATAACCTTAACCTTAATCTCGGAGTGTTCTACAGAAAACCAAGTTCATCAATCCAACAGTTTCTTGAAAAAATTGATTGTTTAACAAATAAAAAGACTAAACTTGTAATTTTAGGGGATATGAACATAAATATACTTGATAATAATAAAATAACTAGTGAGTATGAATTAATTCTAGCCATGAATGGGTTTAAGATTATTAATAATCTAAATAAAGCAGGAGCTACTAGGATAGATAGTAGAAGTGGTCATGTTAGCATACTGGATCATGTCATAACAAATTGCAAGTTTGAATCTAAAATTTCACTAGAAAATCATCAAATTAGTGATCATAAAATTATTCACTTAGAACTAAATATGGAATTAAAACCTATTTTAAAGCAAACTTACTTACACACAATCTTGGATCACAAAAAACTAGAAGAAAGGTTTAAAACCTTACTACAGCCTGCAAATTACAAGTCAAAAGATTTTCGATGGTTCATAAAAACCTTTCAAGAGGAAGTTACAAAAGCAACAACGTACACCGCAAAAAAACTAACAAACAATATTTCTGAGGGCTGGTTTAATAAAGAACTAAGACAAAAAATGAATAAAAGAGACGAAGCATATGTAAATTATAAAAAAAATATGGGTAACACAGAACTGGAAAAAAAATTTAAGAACCTACAAAAGGAAACAAAAAAAATCGTTACTAAAAACAAGAAAAAAAATATGGAACATCAATTTATAAACACTGATGGATGTCTAAAAAAACAGTGGAAAATTATAAACAATACATTAAAACCTGTAAAACAATCACTACAAATTAAACATATAGATTATGATGATCCCCACCCAAAGTCCAATAATGCTGAAAAACTAAATACTTTTTTTGTTAAAGTTGGAGAAACTGTAAAAGATAATATAACTAATAGAAATAATGACATCACACTGAAGTATACCACACATACTTCACTTTACTTTCAACCTACAACATCAAATGAAATAAGTAAAATAATAAGAAGTTTAAAATCAAATGCTTCGCCAGGATGGGATAAGATTAAACCAAATATTGTGAAAAAGTATCAAGAAATGTTGTCCCCAGTTTTAAGTTTTTTTATCAACAATGAATTGAGATTGGGAACATTTCCAGATGACCTTAAAATTGCAAAAGTCACACCCATATATAAGAAAGGAAGGAGAACTGACCCAGGAAACTACCGACCTGTCTCAGTTTTGCCTATTTTCTCCAAAATTTTTGAAATTGTAATAAAAAATAGACTGGTTGAATATTTAAATAGTATTAATTTTTTTAAAATAAACCAACATGGTTTTCTCAGTGGAAAGAGCTCAGAAACTGCAATGACAAATGTCTTGGAAGAAATTTATGATAATATAAATAAAAAAAACACAATATTGGCAGTTTTTCTCGATTTCTGTAAAGCATTTGATACAGTGGACCACCAAATTCTCCTTGACAAAATGAAATTGCTTGGCATTATTGGAAATCCTTATATCTTGATAAAAAATTACCTGGAAAACAGAAAACAATTTGTCATAGTGGATGGTGATGTAAGTGAACAGCTGGAAATAAGTGATGGTGTGCCTCAAGGATCGGTTTTGGGACCTATCTTGTTTCTTGTATATATAAATGACATATGTGACTGTGAACTGGATGGATACATCACACTGTATGCAGATGACACCGCTCTATTTTATGCAGGAAATACTGATCAAATATACAACACTGCACAAAGAGATCTGGATAAAATATGCTCGTGGACAAATGATAATTTTATAAAGTTGAATGAAAATAAATGCAAGTATATGGTGTTTAATAATAAACTATCAACAAACTGTGTTTTACAAATTTATAATGAACTTTTGGAAGAAGTTAGTGAAATTGAATACCTTGGACTAATTCTAGATAACAAACTAAGTTTTGAGAAACATGTGAATAAGATAGCTGCCAAAATTAAAACCATGAACTATATTTTATATCAACATTCTTTTAAATTTAACACAAAAACAAAATATCTTATTTACAATGCACATGTTAACTCACAATTAACCTATCTCACTGCTTTTTGGGGACAAACAACACAAACAACATTAAACCAATTACAAACCCTTCAAAACAAAATTATCAAAACTATATTTAATAAACCCATTTTAACCAACACCAAAGAACTCTATGAAAACTTAAAAATACATAACATAAAATCTCTAATAAAGATTAACAGCGTAAAACTAATTTATGGAATTAAACATAATCTTATTTGTGGTAATATTAACCTAGTCAGGAATTGTGATATTCATAAATATAATACAAGAAAAAAACAGCTATACTACCTTACTGCTTGTACCACAAATGTTACTCAAAAAAGAATAACATATAAAGCACTACAATGGTTTAATGAATTACCTGGTGAAATTAAGGAACTGACCAACTTAGATAAATTTACAAAGGCTGTGAAGCAATATTATATAGACTCTGAAATGTGATATTTAAATGTGATATAGATTAAAATATACCTACCATATTTATCTACTTTATATATATTATAGTTAATCTTGTATTTATGTTTATATTTATAGTTATTTGTTATATCTGCTTATGTAATGCATTCCTGTGATGGATTTGTTGTAATCTTTTTGGGAAATAAATAAATTAAAAAAAAAAAAAAAAAAAAAAAAAAAAATAGAAAACCCCATATATTTATTCGTTTAAAAGATTTTATGTCAATTCTTTTAACAAATTACCCGAGAAAATTGTAATCTCTCATTTTTTTAAATTTAATGGTGTCAATTTTTCAGGTTGTTATAAACAATTTGTTGACTAATTAAGTGTTTTGTAAACAAAATTACTGATAAAACAGTCAGTGAATTTTAAAAAACATTGACAAGCCAAACGTTTTTAAAATTTAAAAGTAATACAAACAGTACTAATTTTGAAAAAAAAATTGAGACAATAAAATATAAAATTTATTTTTCGAAATATTTTAATAACAAAAAGAATGCGTAACTGTAACAATTTAATTAACCAACAATATTTTCATTAACAATTTTTATTACTATTTATTATTCTGCCGTGCTTAATGAAAACGCCGTAACCAACAATTTTGCGATTTTTGTTTTACAGCATTTTCTACTAGAACAATTCATCCTGCGTCTATCCCCGGTACTCAAAAAACCGTAACTATATATATACGGTTTTTTGAGTACCGGGGATAGACGCAGGATGAATTGTTCTAGTAGAAAATGCCGTAAAACAAAAATCGCAAAATTGTTGGTTACGGCGTTTTCATTAAGCACGGCAGTATTATAAGTGTCATCGATTTACATTAGACGTTGCTCTTGACTATACTGGGTCTAATATTAGAAATTGTTAAATATCTCTAAAATTATTAAATTTAATTACATCAATGTTTTTTAAGTTTAGCTGTTATTGAAGCTGATATATTTGTGCCAAATACCGTGGATAACATTTCATTGGATCCCACTTAAAAAAATGGAGTGATCAGAAAAACCCCGAAACACGGGTATTATTTTTTTAAGTCTATTTTCAAAATCTAAAGGAATTTTTCATGGGAGGGAAAAAAATTAAATTTTGTAGTACTGTGTTATATTATAAAAGTATAAAAATATGTAAAAAAATTTAGTTGGATCCATATTCTTCAGCCCATTCCTTGTATCTCTGACACTCCTTCTCAGATATGCAGGTTTTAATGTTATTAAACGACTTTCTCAAGCATTCGAATGAAATTTTGTCGTTAACATTGGCGTTGTTTTTCTTATTTTTAATTTTTTCCCTGATGAGACTCATCCTTGCGTCTTTACAGACAATTTTTATATCGTTTGCCGACAATCTTACCGCAGTTTTGGCGATCATCTCCATCTCGTTGCCGCTCAAACAATGCCCAGTTTTGTTCAGGTAGTATTGCAGCAATTTTCTTCGGTTATCATTATCGGGCATGCCGACCAATATTTTCTTCTCGAACCTCCTCAGCGTGGCTTTATCCAACGACCAAGGGTGATTGGTAGTGGCCAGCACGAAAATAGGGTCGGCGGTTTTACCAATGCCGTCCATTTGCACCAAGAGTTCGCTCTTGAACCTCCTGGAAGCCTCGTGGTTGCCCTCCGAGGTAACGGCGTCGATTTCGTCGATAAAAACAATTGATGGCGCACAAAATTTCGCCATATCGAACAGTACTTTGAGCATTTTCTCCGATTCGCCCCTCCATTTGCTTATGAAAGTGCTGCTTGTTAGGTTTATGAACGTGCATCTGCTCTCTGTGGCCAATGCTTTTGCCAGTAAGGTTTTACCATTGCCTGGCGGGCCGTACAGGAGTATACCGCTCCACGACTGGTCCAAAGTCCGAAACAACTCCGGGTATTCCATGGGGTATATGGTGGCTTCCTTGAGGCACTCTATAGCTTCATCCAAACCGATGCAATCGTTGAAGTTGCAGGATGTTTCTTGGATTATTTCCTTTGATATTACCTCAGCGAATTCCTTATATTCTCCTGTATAGTTTTCGGCGAAATAATAAGGTAATTCGGGGGAACGTCTTTGCTTCATTACTGATGTTTTTTCTTCAGGAGATAATGACAGGATTTCAAACTGGAAATTCGAGTCGCCACTTTTTTCCACTTTCGTTTCACTTTTCGGTATGGTCATTACACTTCTTCTCCTCGCTGGAGTTTTATTTTGTTTTTTGTTTTCGTCTTCCTGAAACTTTCTTATGAATTTGGGCGGTTTTTGAAACTTTTGCACGTAGTAACTTTGATACTCTTGCAATATTATGTCCAAGTCGACGTTTTCACACGCTTCATACATATAACCCACTTGGGCTTCTTCCTGTAAGGTTTCCAACGTTTTTTCCAGCCCTTGTTCCTTCAAATAACTCAAAATCAAGTGTAAAATGTTTCTTCTACGTTCTTGGCCGTCCTTTTTGGCTTTTTCGATTATGTTGAATTTTCTTGCCGCACTTAATTCGGCCATTATAAGTAAACAATGTTTTATTAGTTTGTATAAAAAATAAACTGTTTTGTGTGTAACCTGCGATTAAATTTATGTTACGCCATTTATTTGATAGTTTTTGTATCCAGGCAACTTGATAATCAATAATTAAATAGGAGGTATTAAATAAATTTTATTGGTTGTTTGAATGCCACTTAAATGCAACAGGTGATTTTTATACCCAAAATTATTCTGTCAAGTTATCAATAAGAAAATATATTTAATATTATTGAACGACTTTCTCAAGCATTCAAATAAAATTTTGTCGTTTACATTACCGTTATTTTTCTTATACTTTATTTTTTCCCTGATGAGACTCATCCTGGCGTCTTTATAAACAATATTTATATCATTTTCCGATAATCTTACTGCTGTTTTGGTGATAATTTCCATCAGGTTGCCGCTCAAACAATGTCCAATTTTGTACAAGTAATATTGCAGCAATTTTCTTCGGTTATCATTATCGGGCATGCCGACCAATATTTTCTTCTCGAACCTCCTCAGCGTGGCTTTGTCCAACGACCAAGGGTGATTGGTAGTGGCCAGCACGAAAATAGGGTCGGCGGTTTTACCAATGCCGTCCATTTGCACCAAGAGTTCGCTCTTGAACCTCCTGGAAGCCTCGTGGTTGCCCTCCGAGGTAACGGCGTCGATTTCGTCGATAAAAACAATTGATGGCGCATAAAATTTCGCCATATCGAACAGTACTTTGAGCATCTTCTCCGACTCGCCCCTCCATTTGCTTATGAAAGTGCTGCTTGTTAGGTTTATGAACGTGCATCTGCTCTCTGTGGCCAATGCTTTTGCCAGTAATGTTTTACCATTGCCTGGCGGGCCGTACAGGAGTATACCGCTCCACGACTGGTCCAAAGTCTGAAACAACTCTGGGTATTCCATGGGGTATATGGTGGCTTCCTTGAGGCACTCTACAGCTCCATCCAAACCGATGCAATCGTTGAAGTTGCAGGATGTTTCTTGTATTATTTCTTTTGATATTACGTCGGCGAATTCCTTATATTCTCCTGTATAGTTTTCGGCGAAATAATAAGGTAATTCGGGGGAACGTCTTTGCTTCATTACTGATGTTTTTTCTTCAGGAGATAATGACAGGATTTCAAACTGAAAATTCGAGTCGCCACTTTTTTCCGGTTTCGTTTCACTTTTCGGTATGGTCATTACACTTCTTCTCCTTACTGGAGTTTTATTTTGTTTTTTGTTTTCGTCTTCCTGAAACTTTCTTATGAATTTTGGCGGCTTTTGAAACTTTTGCACGTAGTAACTTTGATACTCTTGCAATATTATATCCAAGTCGACGTTTTCACATGCTTCGTACATATTACCCACTTGGGCTTCTTCCTGTAAGGTTTCCAACGTTTTTTCCAGCCCTTGTTCCTTCAAATAACTCAAAATCAAATGTAAAATGTTTCTTCTACGCTCTTGGCCGTCCTTTTTGGCTTTTTCGATTATGTTGAATTTTCTTGCCGCACTCAATTCGGCCATTATAAGAAAACAATGTTTTATTAGTTTGTATAAAAAAATAAACTGTTTTGTGTGTAACCTGCTATTAAATTTATGTTACGCCATTTATTTGATAGTTTTTGTATCCAGGCAACTTGATAATCAATAATTAAATAGGAGTGGTATTAAATAATTTTTATTGGTTGTTTGAATGCCACTTAAATGCAACAGGTGATTTTTATACAAAAATTTATTCTGTCAAGTTATTCATAAGATAACATTGAAATAAAATAAAAATAATAGTAATTTGGTATAAATATTCTTATGCTTAGTTTTAACAAAGAAAAAACGCAATAGAAACAAAAAATAGAGAATTAGAAAAATGATCTAAAATTAGATTTTCGTCACCTCTACTAATCCACCATTTATTTCCATACACTTTCATATTTGTTCTGGAGTAATGGCTGCGCAAACTTGTATTACCCTAGCACGTAGATCTTGTGCAGTAGAGGTGACAAAAATCTACTTGTAGAGAATTTTTTGAATTCTCCATTTTTTGTTTTAGTCTTGTTTTAAGTTTCTATTGCGTTTTTTATTTGTCAAAACTAAGAATAGGAATATTCATACCATGTTACTGTTAGTTTAATTTTATTTCTATGTTTTTTTTCATGGATATTTTGACAGAATAATTTTTTGTAAATAGTTATTGTTGGCTACAAAATTGTTCCTAATTAATTTTTTTTAATAGTATAGGGTCGTTTTGAGGGTTGGTAAATACAGTGCCGTGCATACATTTTTTTAAATCCCTAATATGAATTCTTAAAAATTTACTCAACAACTGACATAGTAGGCCTTGTTTTTTGTAAAAATATGGCGTTTTTTCTCGGTTAAAATCTCACAATAAACAAAGATTTTACATGGGTGAGTCGCAAACAAATGGGTCACACCACAGTCTGTGGGTCACACTGAACTTATATGGGTCATTCCACGTCAAATCGAACACAATATTGGAAAAACGTCTTTGATTTTTTCAAATTTTGTGGAGATTATTTATTAGCTAGGATAACCAAAAATCTCAATTTTGAAGGTTCTACGATTATTAATTACCGAGAAATTAATTATTGTAATATACTAATTTCTCGCAAGATGCGTCTTATTATTCCTAATTTCTTAAATAAGTCCTTAACCTGTACAAATTATTTGTGTATCTTCTATTTTTTTTACATGAGCATTGCATTTGATAAAAAAATCTTTTTGGCATGTTTGATCAAGATCACATCAATAAATGTTGTAAAGATGGTATACCAGTTCTACTAAAAAAATCATCTTGGCTTTCCGTCTAGGAGCTGAGAAAAAAATTCTTGAACTTTTATGTTTCAAACCGGTTGTTTATCTGGTGACATAGCTTATTTTTGACACCTGTCACCTGAATCATTATTTTGACATGTGACAGATGCAAAAATGAGCCATATAAAACGAAAATGCAAAACAAAATAAGCTGATATCTGTTATCTGTCATTATTGGCAATTTACGTAGCATTCGTAGATAAAATAAAGTTTCATTTTATTTGGTGAGAAGGAAAATTAAAAAACCCTTCAAAGAAAATAAAAACAATTTTTTTATCACCTACACATAAATAACTATTATCTACGAATGCTATCTAAATTGTCAATAATGACAGATGTCAGCTATTTTGTTTTGTATGGCTCATTTTTGACATCTTCCTTGATTAATTTTTCTGCCATAGATTATTTTTGGCACCTGTCACCTGTCATTTTTGACATCTGTCACCTATTATATTTTGGCAATTTGCTGTTAATAAACATTATTATTATTATCATTTTTGACATGTGTCACCTGATGTTTTAAAAAACGACCAGTATTTAGTCACATAAAAGTTAAAGAATGTTTTTCTTAGTTCCTAAGCGAAAAGCAAGATTTTTTTGGAAGTAGTGATATACCCTATTTGCAACATATGAAAATTAAAAACATGTCTTGATTAAACTTTGCAAAAAAACAATTTGAATTTGTTATGCAAAAATAAAGAAGACACAAATTGTGATGAGATTTTTAAAATCGGCTTAAAAAGTTACCTCTGGAAACAAAAGCTATTGAAGGAATTAAGAAAAAATGGCAAATCCTGCGGAAAAATTTAAAAATTACAACACTGAATTTCGTAAAAATTAATAACTTTTATGTAAGGTTCTGCATAAAATCATAATGGGCGTGGCCTCGTCGGAAAACCCAGGCGGCTTATCCCAGCCGTCGCTCAGCGACGACTTCGATCCGAACATAATATCCGACGACCTGGGCATGTCGGATTTGTCTTCGTCTCCGAAATCGAACGGGCAATGCGAGCAGGCCATCGTGCTGTGCGCCAAAACCGTGTTGGCGCATCTAGTGACCCACCTGGGACACTTCCCGATGGCGATCGGGGCCGCTCGGCTGAGCTCGCTGGTGGTGGAGCACGACGACGTCCCGAACCTGAGCGCGGACGATCTGAGCTCGAGTATTTTCACCGCGCCGAACATACAAGTAATACAACTACCCACGGTGCTGTTCTGAGAGGCGATTTTTGGACTTTCTGTGAAACCAAATTTTTTTTATATTCTTGTTAATTAGGTCATAACTAAAATTTTAAGAGCAAAATAAAAAAAAAATTACGGTTAATTTTGTTTTAATTGGATGTTTATTAAAAATATGTATGCACACTTTCAATTCTCCAATTAAAACTTGAGATTTTATTTAAATATTATCATAACTAAATCAGATTAAAGATTAGTTAATTTCCTAAAAAAAGGTCTATACATTTTTTATATCTTTTACTGTTTTGTTGTAATACACGTTTAAAGTTTTAATTTAAGGTTAAATGTATAGTATACATTTATTAAACAATAATTCTAAGGGTGCCACATTTTATTTAGGGCCGATTTATTCATTTTTGATTTATTTGACGAATAATTTCTTTGAATTGCCGATAAACTTTACTAAAGATGAATAAACCGGTCCTTAGTTAAATTTCATGAATTTCTTCGTAACTTTTACTACAATTTTTCATTTTTGTTTATAAAAAACACTTTAAAAAACTAAACAAAAATTATAGAATACGTATACTGAAAATGACAGTTCAAACGTCAAATAAATTTTTAGTAGATCTAAGTTTCATGGCAACCTTTAAGGATATATTAATTAAGGGAACATAAATGTATACGTCAAAGGTTAGATTAAAAGTTTGAACGTTTATTGCAACAAAACAGTAAAATATATAAAAAAAATTGTAAAAACCTTTTTTTTAGTTATGCAAATATTAAATATTTAAATTAAATCGCTAGTTTTAATTGGATAATTGAAAGAGTGCATAAAATTTTTAATAAACAGCCAATTAAAACAATTCAAACCGTCAATTTTTTTTTATTTTGCTCTTAAAATTTTAGTTATGACCTAATTAATAAGAATATAAAAAAAAATTAGGTTTCACAGAAAGTTCAAAAATCACCTCTCAGAACAGCACCGTGCTACCAGTTTTTCTTAAGCTAGAGTGTAAAATCGGTGCTTTTTTAGCTGTTTATTTTGACGAAGAACGTGATCTCGAGTCTGGTGGAGTTGCCGGCGTTGGAGTTACCCGGAGGAGGAGTTACCGCGGGTCTGTCGACGGCCGATAAGCAAGTCAGGGTTATTTTGAGGGATCTGTCTGGCAAATCCAGTTGGGATGCTTCTATACTGTACAAAACGCCCGGTGTAGAAGAAGGGGATCAAAACACAAATCAAACAGGTAAGTTTAGTTAGTCAAAAACGTCAACAGAGTTTTGACAGTTTTACATCAAGTTTATAAATAGTATATTATAATACGAGCGATAATATTATTCACGATGATGAAGTTTGCGTCGCGAAAAATCATCTGAGTGAATAATGCGCGGTATTTAAATGATTTTTAAAAATAAATTAAATAAAATCTGAGATCTGTCAAATGGTGTACCTTACTTTTACCAATTTCCCACATACCACAAAAATATATTTAAAATATTGAATGAATTTTTGCTAAATGAACTAAATTTAGTAAATATTTTTAGAAATATTAGTCATTATCATTTAAATGCTTCTAAAATGTTGTCCCACTTTTTATATTTATACAATATTTTTCACAACATTTTTAAAACATTTTTGTAAATGTTTTAGATAGGTACATTATACAGACTGTATAGAATCAAGTAAGTAAGGCTGGAGATAAGGATGACAAATTATATTCTCAGAGAAAAAGAAACAAACTTTAATTGGGCGTGGTTTAAACCAAGCCATTCGTAATTACAAACCATAGTTGCCAGGTTGTTTTAAATCAGAAGAGAACGATTATAATTATTTAATAAATAGTTCAATTTTATTTGTTTGAAACTTTAAAAATAACAAAAAAATTAATAATATGTCAAAAATAATTTGATTTAGTTAATTTTCTTACTTTTAATATTAATAAATAAGAAAAACAACCCTTTTATGAAACAATAATAGCATATGGCAACAACGCGGCATGCAGCCAGATACAAGGGCATGCAGTTTGATCTACTGTGTAACACACAGTCTGTGTTTGTTCAGTAGCTCCGACGCTGTCGTAGGGAAATGTGTATAGTTTTTAAGAAATACATTTTCGCCATTAACTGGAATTTAATGGATTTTAAACAATACTTAGTTTTTATTTTCAGAAATGCATTAAAACAAAACCAACGAATTCGATAAAAATAAAACCTATAAATTCTGAAACAAAAATAATTCTAAAATAACGAAAATAACTTCAATAATAATTCAATAATTCAATCCCTACCACAGTGGGCGGGGTTTGGCACTTGTTTTATACTATTCGTTTTAATACATACTGTATTTTATTAATGTTACCTCAACATATCAAAAATATCTGGAAATATTTTCATTGCATATTTATTTTAACAATGTTGATAAAATGTATATATTTATAAAAGCCGTGTGACACCCGATACTTTTTGTATAGGTACTGAATTTTTTTGTTTGTAGATGTGGTATGGTATTCGCATGTCAAATATACTAAAACAGTGAAATACCATAGCTGGAGATCTACTGTCCGTTCAGGCTAAGTTGAGCGGTCTAAGGAATGTCACCCCGTCCATCATCTCTATGTTCCAGCACAATTAAATACATGTATTTCGGTAGCCGCTCTGTACGAACAAACGGCAAGCCGCGGCACTGATAAATCATCTTCTTGTTACCGAAATCTCGCGACGATTCGATGTTTAATTTAATTAACGGCCACATGATCCCCCACCAAAGCGCTCAACTTAGCCTGAACGGACTGTATTTTTTGCACGCTAAAAATACAAGAAAATTTAGTACACATCTTAATAACAAATATTTAAAAAAAAGTTTATTTTAGAAATAATCGATATAGGTAAATAAAAGAAAAATTTGTAAAACAAACATTTTTTGGAAAAAATCACAGAAATTAGTGAATATTTTTCTTTCCACTGTCTTGGTTTTTTTTTTGAAGTTTCTTTTTCACTTCTTTTTTCTAAATTTGGCTTGAGCCAGCCATTGTCTTAACTCATTTTCCCTTGCAGTTTCGGTTTTCGAATTTTTCCGGATGGAGACTAAAAAGAATTTAATTTAAATTAAAGTATTCGGTTCACTCCCGTGAATTTTTTTATATTTTATATCTTTCTCTGATTAAGCAGCTATAAATGCAACTTTTTTGTGTCATGAATTTTGTTTGCGAGAAAAATAATAAAATCCCTTGACCACCCGAGATTTTTTTTTTCTAAGACCAAGCAAAATACGAACAAATTCAAAGGCAAAACAGTTGTAATTTTAGTTGCTTAATACGAGAAAATTACAAAAAATTCAGTGGCGTACATTTTTTTTCAAAAATATTTGTTAAGGGTTATAAAAGTGTATCTTGAAAACAAAGCATTTGCGGACCCATATTTATATGAACATTTCGCGACCTGAGAATTAGATTGTTCTATCTCCCAAAATTTAAAGAGGAACAAATAGCAGTTTAAAGTTTAATTTATATGCAAATGAAATTTTAAAAAGCTGTTTTTCCGTGTTTAGGTTTTGGGAGATTCTATCTTTCTAAAATCTGACACGGAAAAACAGCTTTTTAAAATTTCATTTGCATATAAATTAAACTTTAAACTGCTATTTGTTCCTCTTTAAATTTTGGGAGATAGAACAATCTAATTCTCAGGTCGCGATTTGTCTTAAAATTACCCAAAGAATCTTCTGTTAAATTTATTGTACACTAGGGTGGGTCATTTATATAGGGAGAAAAAAAATAATTCAATATTTTATCGGGCACAGTCAAAAATTGCTGTCAAATGACGACCTTAAATAGCATATAAAATTTTATTATAATTGAAATTCATCTTCTGCCTCCGGATCCTTCTTAAAATTACCAAAAAAGTCGCTATTTAAGGAATAAACTTATCATATAAGAAATCACTTTAAATAACTGTATAATTTGTAGCGTGTACATAAATAAAAATACTAAGATCGTTTCTTGCCATTTATTAAAAATAAATTATAAATATTGTTAGTTACTTAAGTTGGTATGGTTGGCTAAAAAGTCCTTTTTGCTGTCGAATTTCGGCATTGTTTTTCGTGACTCTATTTGTGCTCTTCAAGTATGCTTTTCTTCCATCAAAGTACAATGCAGGTATCTGTAAAACTGTTTGTTGTAAAACTATAGCTTCTCTAGTTTTTTTTCGTTCTCGACGCAGTTTACTTTTGTCTATAACTTGTGAAGTAGATGCGTGAAGCGATGGCTGCCCCTGCCCTATCTGGCACTCCATATCTATCGCAAGTTTTTGATAATAAAGCATAATCAACTGTAATTGTGGACTTACTTTCTGCTTCAGTGTTTGCAGCTTGCAACTGTTGCATAGTTTGGTCTTCGCAATCAGACTTGTTACATTCGGATGTACTACTAAGCTCTTCTTTCGTACATGTTTCATCTATTTTCTGGCGTTTACTTAGAGATTCTTCTCTTCTTTTTATTGTTTTCCTGATTTGCGTGGTTGTGGGAACATTTATGCCCCCTATCACCATTTTTCAACAATTACGTTGGTCTATTAAGAAGCTTTGTTCTCTTATATGTACTTTTTTCTGTTTAGGGCAAGTACATTTAGTAATATCTGGGCACTTGCAGGCCGAAATATCAAACAAAGCTTTCCCTCGTAGTCGGAATTCTTCCAATTTATTGTCTGGTATTTTTGGGTGAGACTTTAAGATGTTTTTGCATTTTAAATGATATGCTTGTAACATAGTTTTCACTCGTTTTTCTTCTACTGTAGGAATAGAGGCTTTATCCCATATTTTTATAAGTTTTGAAACCACAATAATTTCTATTTCTTTGTAAGTGGGTTCTTTTTTAGTTTCTCTTAGATGTTTTATATTACGTCGGGTCCACTCATAAAACTTCATGACTTCTGCATAAGTGGGTAATATATTGTCTTTTAAATCACACACATCACCAAATAAGGGACAGTTCCAATTCATACGAGTACTCGTCATACTTGTAGGTTTGTAGGAATATATTAATTAAGCACACTTGATAACGAATCTAAAACGAAATAATTTAATCCATGTTATTAAACATTAGCTTATATATATTGTGTCCTATTTTGTAGGTATAGATTTAACTGTAAATTTTATTACCTTCTTTATAATGTTTTATACCTCTTTAATAATTAATAATTAAGGTATAATATTTGAATTTTTAGTTTTTAATCCAAGATCCAGATTTTTTTACCTCTTTTAATCAGACCACATATAATTTATTTATATACTTAATTCATTATAAAACCTAAATACATCATTTCTCATATAGGGGGTTTTTAAATTGGAATCGTAAAACTAAAAATGACAAAATTTGGCAAAAACAGGTCAAAACATTCCTTTAATAGTATATTTTGTCATTCAATCGAATATAAACTATATTTAATGTATGAAATACCTTATCTTTTAATTGAGAAATAAATTCAAAAACATGTATTTATTTTTAAAATTCAATCAAAATCCGGAGGCAGTTAAACTTAACCAAACCCCAAAATAAAAATATGTGTGGAATAACAATACCATTTTGCACCTTTTTTTTACTGTGCCCCCTAAAAAAATTTAAAAATTTAAAAATGACCCACCCTATTGTACACCCTGTATATTTTGTAATCTGGGACGAGTTACTCTATATTTTTAGAATCATCCTTAAATGAAATATGTATCACTATTTTTGTTTTTAAATTTAGCTTATTTTTGCATAAGAATGTAATTTTGTCATGAAAATTGTTTCACAAAAAAATAATCGAGTTTGTGGTTATGCATATACTGATTTTAATAAGAATTTTAATAAAACATTTTGATGATTTTTTTTTTAAATTGAATTGGTAAAAAACTCATTTTCATACAAACTTTTTATGCAAACTAATTTAAAAATTCAATTTAACTAAACTGCGCACCACTCAATGTGTCGCGACCAAAAAGTTCGTTCTTTTTCAAAACGACATAACTTTTTTGTTTCTTGAACGATTTTATTTTGGTCTGTGATGTCTCCTAGCCCCATCCTCTGGCAATTCATGATATAGATATGAAGCTCAAGGTTCTTCAATTAAATTTCCTACAGCGTGATATGTTAAACGGTGATAATTTTCAATAACTTCATCCAAGCCCCGTTTGTAAAAAAATATTTTTTTTTTCGTTTTTACTTTGAAATAATGAAGTATTATGTCTTACCTTGAAACGTTTTTCAAATTTTACGAATTGGAATTGTAGCAAAGAAAATATGATTTTTTTTCTAAAAGAGTACATTTAAGGCTTTTTTGTAGGCAATTTAACAGCCGGGAATTGTTTTCGAATTTTAATTCTTGGTGATTTTGGTTTTATCTGAAACTTAAATTTTGACAACTGAATCACAAGCAGGAGGTTAAAATTCTAAAGAAAACATGTTACGAACGTAAATATCGGTTCAGGATTGGTTTTCGCAAATTTTCACCAAAATATCATTTTAAAAAAGTTGTCTTTGCTTAGGCCCCTCTGAAAATAATGGAAGTTTGTTGCTTGTCGCTTGTTCAGAATTATTCAAGGAACAATCTTTCACCATCTTATCTCCTTGTTCTTAAAAAGACTGAGTGTATTACCTACCAAAAAGCCTTAAATGTACTCTTTAAAAAAAAATCATATTTTCTTTGCTAAGATTCCAATACAAAAAAATTTAAATCCTTTTCAAGGTAAGACATAATACTTCATTATTTCAAAGTAAAAACGAGAAAAAGATTATTTTTTTTACAAACGGGGCTTGGATGAACTTATTGAAATTTTTGACCGTTTTACATATCACCCTGTGCGAAATTTACTTATCATGAATAGCCAAAGGATGGGGCTAGCAGAAATCACAGACCAAAATAAAATCGTTCAAAAAACAAAAAAGTTATGTCGTTTTGAAAAAGGACGAACTTTTTGGTCGCGACACATTGAGTGGTGCGCAGTTTAGTTGAAATACAGTTTGTATATTTGCATTCTTTAGACGACAACCCGAAATGGGGTCAAATAAGTTGCATCCAGCCTGAAAGCCTGATGGTTGCAAACTTGCACACCCTACCGCAACACGCCATGAGGCACAGGCCACCGAACGTACTGCCGGAAATATCGAACTCCGCGCCGGATTTGGACCAACTGGACGATGTAAATATGCAGCCTGGCACCGCAACCGTTTCTCAAGCACTAATTTTTTCCACAGCTGCTTCAGTACCTGGGCCACGCGAGTCCCGAGTGCCTCGAGGACGTCGGGCGCAAGCTGAACGAGCCCGCTTCGCCTCCCGTGTCGACCGATCTCGAGTCCGAGGCGATCCAGTCGGTGATCAGCCAGCGCAACGTCGAGGTGGAGGAGAGCCGGTGCGCGCAGAACGCCGACGGGATGCTCGCGCAGGCGATCAGCAGGCCGAAGAGCCGCGCTGAGAGCGAGCGCAGGGATTCGTCGCTGGAAACTGTCTCTAGTCAACAAGGTAACAATCAATATTTTTTTATCCCTGTCATCTAAAAAAGTAGATGTACAATAGACTGTGCCAAATAAAACGAATATTTTTTTTCCAAGGTCCCATACGAAAATTAGGTTGTATGTAATAAAAAAAAATTGTGTCAAAAATTTAGCCCCCTATCTCCATTATTCAGTTAGCGCTCGCTTAAATATCAATTTTTCATTTCGTTTCGAAACTTTTTGTTTTATAAATCATTAAATATAAATACCGTGATATGGTTTTGTAGGGAATTAAATTCCCTACAAAGATGACCTTTAACCGAATTTAAAAAATCCCCACGTTTTTTTTAAAGCTAAAAAGAGCTCATTTTTTTTTTAATTTAAAGTTTCCTTAAAAATTAAAATCAATTAGTTTTTTTTATAAAATTATGGCACGCCGTTTTACTTTTTAATGACATCAAAAAATTAACTCAAAACAAAAATTATCAAAATTAAAAATTGCCTAGAAAATATAAACGTTCATAAAAATTACTAAATTAAATTTAATTATAAATTAAAATCTACCAATTTATTTTTTGGTGTATTGGATTATCCATAAGGCAAACTAGGCACGTGCCTAGGGGCGCGAGGTTACAAAAGGGCGCGCGCACGTAAGTTTTTAAGCAAAGACAATAATTAACATAAAATTAAAATAAACACATAAAGATTAGTTAATTCTATAAGAATGTAAAGCTTCCGAAGTGTGTTCCGCCTTCTTGATTATTCCTACATCGCCACACGGGTGTGTGTGTGTTCTTTGTGCAAAAAACTACTGAACCGATTGTGATGAAACCTGGTATGTAGACAGCTTTAGACCGAGATTTACACATTTATTCCGAAATTTCCACGAGATGTGGCATCACGCGGGTGAAACCGTGGGGCGCAGCTAATTATTGTATAAGTAATAGAAAATATATGGCCGCTAGAGGGGCGCCGATGAGGTGCTTGCCTAGGGCGCTCTCGACATTTAATCCGCCTCTGATCACACCAGACAGATGTAAATATATATGGAAACTTATCCAATTTGGATAAGTTTCCATATATATTTACATCTGTCTGGTGTGATCTATATTTTTAAGCCTCAGTTTTTATTGTATGAATATTTTTTTTCTATTTAAAAAAGGTGCTTAGGTATATGTAAAATAATATTTCATTTATTAATTTAAAATTAAGTTAAAGTAGAATATTTATTTTGGAATAAAAATTAGACAAGATTTAAATCTGTAAGCGCAAGGCGAATTTTCTCGATGAAAAATTCGATGAATTAAAATGTTGGTTAACACTCGTAAACAGAATTTTAATTTGGCGCTACTGCCACGAAACCACATAACGTCGAAGGTACCTAAGCTAGAAAATAAATTAGGCAACAGTGCAGTCCAAAATTTTCAGTGCTATCAATAATGTAATACATTAAATGTATATCGACATGATAATGATTATTAAATTATGTAAGGGGTGCATTTTAACAAGACTGCCTTGCTGCCTAACCTCACTTTATACGAAATAATTTAGATATGGATTTCAGACTCTCCTAATAGACAATTTAATTGTGGTTTATTATTTGCTTAGTTTTCTATGCAATAGGATTTCTCGCAGAAGAAGATATTTATATAATTACCAGAATTGTCCTACTCGTTACGTGTCCGAGCCGACTACCTGTACAGTAATAAGCATAGAAAAGGAATATAAGACGTAATTAAAAATAATCCACAAACTTAACATGAATGTAATTAATGGTGGATTGAAAATATTGTATTGTTTTTTATCTTTTAGTCATTAAAAACCAATATTTTGGTAAAAAGGATTTTCTTTATTTTTATTTGAATGCACCGTTGCCTAATTTATTTACGACCTCATGGTGGCAGTAGTACGTAACACAACCGCAATATGCACTAGCGCCAAATTAAAATTCTGTTTACGAGTGCTAACCAACATTTTAATTCATCGAATTTTTCAGTCAGAAAATTCGAGGTACATAATATTTATTCCAAAAAATAAAAATAAGGAATTATTATTCTGTCACATAAAAATAGCATTGAATTTATTATCTAAAAAAATAATCGGATTAAAAGAAATATGGCAGAAAGATTCTTAAATGAAAATTCGTATTGCTAGATTTAAATAACATAATAATTAATAACAACTATACCACAACTTTATTCCCATATAAAAATTGTTTCAAAGTGTTTTAAACAACAAAATAATTCGTATTAAAAGTAAATATTAAAATTTTTAAAAATAACAATAAAAATAAAATTGTATTCAATTCTTATTAGTCAAATAAAATTTTAAGTAATATTAAAAACATTTAAATATTAAAACAAATATTTCGTGCAAAATATTTGTGTGTCGAATAAGAAACTTTATCACTTTAATTTCTAAAAGGTAAATTGATTTTTATGTCGACGAGTAATAATAGAAATTAATTGCGACATAATGATAATTTCAGTATTACTTTTTCTTAAATAAATGTCGCGCACCTTGAATTAACTGGCTAAGAAATTCGATGAATTAAAATTTTGGTTTACATAATTTCAATTTGACTGCGTGTTTCTCAAGTAGCGCCTTATTAAAATTATCTCAATCCAAATTTTAATTCATCGAATTTTTTAGTCAGAAAATACTCCATTCAGTTCCAGAATTAAAATTACTTTAATTCTCATTCTGTGCTTAAAATTGTGTACTTAATATACCAAGACATCATAACATTTTTACTTTAAAATGTTCAGTCAATTTTTAAAAACGCAACTTGAATTAATATTTAGCTTTAATAAACATGACATTAAAAAGTAAAACGGCGTGCCATATAAAATAGTTGTTTTATATTTGTTTAACAATAAATATAAATATAAATTTTTAAAAAAATTAGCTCTTTTTAGCTTTAAAAAAAAACGTGGGGGATTTTTTAAATTCGGTTAAAGGTCATCTTTGTAGGGAATTTAATTCCCTACAAAACCATATCACGGTATTTTTTGTATCTGTTATATTTAATGATTTATAAAAGAAAAAGTTGCGAAAAAATTTTTTTTTCATGAAAAATTCCTATTTAAGCGAGCGCTAACTGAATAATGGAGATAGGGGGCTAAATTTTTGAAACAATTTTTTTTATTATATACAACCTAATTTTCGTATGGGACCTTGGAAAAAAAATATTCGTTTTATTGGGCACAGTCTAATGTACAAGTTTTAATTTAAATCAAATGTTATTTATATTAACTTTTTAATAGTGATGCAACGCTTTCGATATACGATAACGGTTACGATTACATCTAATAATTATAATCGTACGATTACAATTACAGTTTTTGTTTATTTAAGGAAACTATTTAAAACCGGGCAATAGAAAACATCAATATATCGGGTAATTTATAAACGGCAAAAATTCAAATAAAATTGGATTATCAAGGGAAGTTTTCATTTAATTTATTTAAAACCGTTTTCTTCAAATTGGATAATTAAAAACTGCTTTCTAACCTTGAATTTATTTAAAACTGCCCAGATTCGATCAAAATTTGATAATGAAAAATGCACATAAAGATAAATGTAACTGTCCAAAAATTTGAATAATTGAAAACTCCACATAAAATGATGTTTGAAAACTACCCAATTCGAATAAAATTAAATAATGAAAAAGTGCTCTCTAACCTTAAATTGATTTAAAACATGATAATTAAAAATTACAAATTTAATTTAAATTGGATAATTGAGAGCAGTATTTATTTAATTTATATAAAACCAAGTTATTAAAAACTGCACATGTACACAAATTAATCCTCCTTTACAATATATTACATTACATATTTTATACTAGTTAATTAAAAACTGCCCATACATTAAACTTCAAAACTGCACAATTCAAACAATATTGGATAATTGAAAACTGATTTAATTTACTTAAAGCCGGGTAATTAAAAACTGTAAATTAAATTTAATGTTTCAGGTACTGAAAATGCTTAAATTCAATAAAAATTTGATAATTAAGGGCAGTTTTCATGTAATTTATTTAAAACTGGGTTTTTAAAAACTGCACAAAAATTTAATGTAATTGTCAAAATTTGAACAAAATTGAATAATTGAAAACTGCTCTCTAACCTTTAATTTATTTAAAACCTGGTAATTAAAAACTCAAACTAAACTAAATTTAGTGTTGTATTAAAAACTGCCCAAATTATAATAAAATTGGATAATTGAGGGCAGTTTACATTTAATGTATTTATAAACTGCACATAAAAATTAAACAAAATTAAATAATTAAAAACTGCACTTAAATTTATGTTTAAAAACTGCCAAATTTGAACAAAATTAAATAATTGAAAAACTGCAAATTAAATTTAATGTTTTGGGTATTGAAAACTGACCAAATTCGATCAAAATTGGATAGGGCAGTTTTCATTTAATTTATTTAAAACCGGGTTATTAAAATCACATAAAAATTAGTGTAATTTGAACAACACTAAATAATTGAAAACTTATTACATTTAATTTATTTAAAACTGGGCAATTGAAAACTACACAATTAATGTTTGAAAACTGACCAATTCGAACAAACTTGGATAATTGAAAACTGCTCTCTAATCTTTAATTTATTTTAAATTGGGTAAAAACTACAAATTAAATTTAAGGTTTAGAGTATTAAAAACTGCAGTTTTTATTTTATTTTATTTTTTAAAACCGGGTAATTTAAAACTTTTTCTTAAATTTTATGTAACAACCTTTGCTTAAAGTGGTCAACTTTTAAAACTTGAGTTTACAATGTTGTCAAATTTAAAATTATATCATTAATATAAATCAATCTATATTAATATCTATAACTATAAAATTATAAATTGTCGTTAAAACTAAACAAATTAATAAAATAAATTTCTAATATGAAATATGAATATACTATGTTTAGTGTTTAAATTAATTATTTTTAATATATAATTGGTTGCATATTAAATTTTTCTAATGAGAGTAAATATTTTTATCTGGCAACATAACTCTAAAGCTAAAAGTTGCTTGACAGGACAAGCAGATATGTTCAAATTTATATTACGAAGTGTACGCGACAACAGTTTTTTTTATTAAAATGAACCTATTTTAATTTTACTCAATACATGTAAATTTGACAATACATACATATTAATAAAAATTGTCATAATTTTTTATAGCGCCGAACGGCGTAGTGGAGCAAAAAGCTTTTCAACAATGCCGTTTGCTGTTCTCGCAACTCGGCTTGTCCGGTTGGGAACGCAGACAGCAGCTTCATCTGCTAAACAAAACCGAACGGCTGCTCAGAGAACTAAGAAATCTCGATCAGCAGGGTTGCAGAGAAACACACAAGGTAAGAAAGAAAGCTTTAAGAGGAGTACTGGGAGTATCTTTAAAAAAAAGATACTTAAAAGTAACTTAAAGTATCTAAATTACTTTATCTTAGGTACTTTTTATATTGGACAGAAAGTATCTTTAACTTTGTTATTTTGGAAAATTATCTTGTGACTTGTATCTAAAAAAGTATCTAAGTTACTTAGTAAAGTAACAAAGATAAATTAACTTAGATACTTTTCAGTGTAACTTAGATACTTTCTTAGAGAAATTTTGGGGGAATTCCAGAATAATTTAAAGTTATTACCTAACCTACAACTACATACTTTTATAGTATATAATATACAGGGTGTCCCAATTGTTGACTTTTAAAAGTCAACAATATCCTTTGGAGGACTGATAGACCAACTCATGACTAAGCAGAAAATCAAAATATGACCTTAGTAAAAAATCGTTAGTTTTTGAGATATAGTCATTTTTATGAATTTTGTAAAACTTGACACCTTAGATCAGTTTTTCGAGTGCCACAGCTAGAAAATCTACTATTAATTTAATTTTGAATTATAATTAATAGCAGTCCTATTCAGGGTTACGCAAAATAAAGCAATAATAAGAATATAGAATGTTGAAGTTGTGGCACTCGAAAAACTGATTTTATGTGTCGTTTCACAAAATTCATGAAAATGACAATATCTTAAAAACTAATGATTTTTTACTAAGGTCATGTTTTGATATTCTGATTAGTCATGAGCTGATCTATTAGTCCTTCAAAGGATATCGTTGACTTTTGGGATACCCTGTATAGTATAGATACTTTCTAAAGTATTTTGTAACTAATGGGGGGTTTATACAACTTCATATCATTATTTTATTTCATAATTCACAATTTAGTGCATAAGCATACAAGTTAAATCTTAATATCTGCTATAAAACAGTTTATGCAACGATTTAATCCGTAACTAGATACTTTTCAGAAGTAACTTTCCCAGCTCTGATTACAAACCAGCGTTTTCTACTTAAAAACACATATTTAGGTTAATATTAACGAACCTAAACTGAAGCCAAAACTGACTGTCTTGTTTTGTATCTAAGGTGGCCGTGATCTACGTGGCACCCGGGCAAGAAGACAAGAGCTCGATTTTGGCGAACGAGGGCGGCAGCGCCGCCTACGAGCAGTTTTTGGCGGCGCTGGCTTGGGAAATCGAGCTGGAGGGTCATACCGGTTTCATGGGCGGCCTGAATCGGCAAGGCTCCAACGGTTTGACCGCTCCCTACGTCGCTACCAGCTTTTTAGAGGCGATTTTCCACGTGGCCACGAGGATGCCCGGGGAAACACCGGAAGCTGTGCTCGGCAAGGTAACTACAGAGCTTCACAAAATTTTAGTTTAGTATTAATAAAAATACCTTTTCTCAATACTATAAATATGAACAATGAGGTGTCCTTTAGGGTGATTAAAAAAAATCTTTTTTTTTACATCCGAAAAAAAATTGGTTCTCAGGCAACTCTTAACACGTTAACGGCCACGGCGGTCCCAGGGGACCGCTAATAGTTTTTCCATCCAGGCCACGGCGGTCCCTGGGGACCGCCTGTCAATTTTTTGTTTAACAGTTTAACATGATTTTCTGGCCAGCGGACCGCTCGTATAAGGTATTTTAAAGCATGCATAGGACCGCTTGGCCCTGACGGCTGACGAAGATACAAGAGTTTTTTAATTATTTATTTTTTAATCTGTATTTTGACGATTTTATTTTTTAAAATGATACAAGTAAAATATCAACTTGGCCCAGTAAACAAAATCACCAATAACGCCGTGGCCGTTAACGTGTTAAAAGTGCTCTTAATAATAATAGTTTTCCATTTTTTCTTTAGTCCCTTATATAAAAGACCATATTTCATTATTAATCAATCGTTTAATCAAATCTATATACATATTTTGAAGGGAATTGAATGCTCTACAAGAAAGGTTTAATGTGTTTAAGCGATTATTCTAACCATTTAAAAGATATTTAAGATCAAAGTTTGAAACATTTATTAATTTTTTTTTTTATATTTTGTAACTCATTGAAAAATAATTATTGTCAAATGAGTATGACATATTTTTGTAGGAAATTTAACGCTCTACAAATCAGGTGTTAAATTGATTACTCCAACTGCTGAGAAGATATTTGTATCCGAATCCCGATGCTACTAATAAGAATACCTTCTCAACGGTTAGAGTAATTAATTAAACACATCAGAACTTTTTTGTAGAGCGTTAAATTTCCTAAAAAAATATGTCCAACTCATTTGACAATAATTAATTTTCAATGAGTTACAAAATTATAAAAAAAAATTGATCTTGAATATCTTTTAAATGGTTAGAGTAATCGCTTAAACAAATCAGTCCTTTTTTGTACAGCATTCAATTTCCTACAAAAATATGTATAAAGATTTGATTAAATGATTCATTAATAATAAAATATGGTCTTTTTTATAAGGGACTAAGGAAATAATTAAAAACTGTGATGAGGAGGATCTTCCTATAAATAATAAGGGCTCAAATTTCGTGAGCACTTTCTGGAAGTGCCTAAAAACCAATTTTTCAGTGTCGGAAGTAAAAAAATATTCGATTTTTCACCCTAGTGTCCTTTATTTTCCAAATTGTATTTTTCATGGTGTTAATCAATTGTTTAAAATATATTAATAATTTTGAAATAAAAAAAAAGTATTTCTAATGACGCAAATAGACATAGGTATACCAATACATATTTTTGCAGACAATTGATTAAAATCGTCGTTTTTTTCTTAAAATTGTCTTCTGAATTTAAAATCACTGAAAAATAGATCCCAATGCATATTCTTATATAAAATTTACCGCTCTACAAAAAGGTCTATACAAAATAATACCACATATTCCTAAAACCAAAATAATGCGATATAATTAAATTTACCTCTATACATAAGTTGATAATAACCAAGATACAGGGTTCGTTCGTTTCGTTTTATTAAATAATTATGGAAAAAACAATGCTGTATGTATGTACTTTGACAATTAATTCCCACGCGTCCTGGAAAACCTGAAATTTGTAAAAAAAATATTTAGTACTGGAATTAACCTGGAATTTTATAAAAAAAGATATTTTTTATTGATTTTTTAAGGAACCTGGAATTACAAGCATAATAATTCTAATATAGGAACTGTATAAAAGACCCCCAGTGTTTATTATATAAATATATAATATGTATATAGGTATACATAGTAAGTAAGTACCCTGCTTAAAATATCCCATAGAGAACCATAAAAATAATCTATCGGGCGCTAACGGACTCTATATGTGCATTTGTCCATGCTTTTTCCGGATACAGCCCGATAGAAAATGTATAGGAAATTACCTATAGGCACACCATAACTTCTACATTTCCCCTATTGAGACCGATAGCAAATAACTCAAGGAAGGATATATAGGGATATCCAGAGCAACCATAAAACATTTTACAAAATTTTGTTAAAACCAATGGGGTCCTATGGGGAAAAAACTACATTTATGTGTATTTTGCACATTAAGACCGATAGCAAATAAATCAAGGATATCCCTATAGAAACACCATACATTCCTATACAAAAATCTATCGGTTTGAACAGGGTTTCTATGTGACATTTTAACCAGGGTAAGTAAGTATTAGTTATGGTGGATTTAAGCCTGATTTATAGATTTCCTTCCTTCCTTCCTTCCTTCCTTTCTTCCTTTCTTCCTCCCGTAAAATATGAACAATACATAAATCGTAGTGCCATTTATAGGTTCCCGGACGGGAATAAAAATTAACATTATAATTAAGAAGTTAAAATTTGGTAATTTTTACAGATTGCGATTTTTTCCTATTAATATAGCGAGTTTCCACAAAAGTGCAAAAAATTAGCATAGACGTTTAGTAGTATTAATTCCCCAAAATCGCAAAATTTGAACCATATACTGGCAAAAAATACTGGATACTTGTAGTTAAGGGTTAAATAAACTCAAATTTTTGGTGAGAAAGTTTGTTTTTAATAAAATTATATTTTTAAAAGTAAGTAGTGGAATTGTCCTGGAAAAAATTATTGGAAAGTTCGTGGGAACCCTGTAATTGTATCATTTAAACGGTTGAATTTATGAAAAAATCGTAATAGCGAGAAATGTTCTACAAGAATATGTATTGAGAATTGTCATATAACTTATTATTAGTGAATTATAACATTCAGGGATAAAATCAATTTTTTTATTTATTTTAAACTTTCACCTTGGCCAGTTCGGTTCCGGCGCTCGAGTAGACGGGTCGCGTGCGGGCGAGCTCTTGAAACGTAAAGGTTTAAAGATGAAACCAACAATAATTAAAAAAATAAAGTGAAACAAACATTTTCATGGAGTGCAAGCTGGAGTGGTGTAGTGGTGTAGCGGTCATTGAGGAGTGGAGTGTTGGTGATATGAGTGACTTGGGTGCCACCTGTCATTGGAGGCTTTTCACTGGACGGACGGGGGAGGTCGGAGAAGAGGGGAGGTGGTCATCCGCAAGGGGAAAAATCTGATAAGTTTTACTTTAAGAGTATGCATGACCTGATACAAATCTGCAATATAAATACGGCAGATCCCGGCAAACATTTTCCGTTACTTGTCTCCATTAACATTGCCCGTATTCATTTCATTAAACATAACATTTATTTTACTTGGAAATGTTAAAATAACTTTAAAATATGATTATGTTAAGAACATATTTTACTCTTTAAACAATTGTTTTGTTTTTAATTACTATCATTGCAAAATTGTATTAAAAAGTGTTAAAAATTCTTACACGGGCAATGCTAATGGTGTTAGGCATCGTTAAAGTGTTTATTGGGATATCTTTAAAATCTATGAAGGGCGCGCGGCGTGGGGCAATAAGTCTGTCAACGGCAAGTGCGTAAAGCGGTCCCAATCGAGACCGAAATAAACACTGGACTGACAGAGTAAACTAACATTGATCACATAATTCTAACACATTAAAAAAAAGGGCCTAATAGCCAAACTCGAGATTTGTAAACATTAGACGACAGAATGATCGCGCTTGTGATTTGTTGGACTAGTGAATAAATGCAATGCCTTGGAATTTGATAAACAAAGACGGAACTCTACCACAAAACGTGCTTGGGACAAAAATTATTAAAAACAACTGACACACTTTACCAAGGGCAGGAGCTATCTGACCAGGACACGGACAACGACAATAACGAACAAGACAAAGACCTCGACTACACCCCTGCAGCGAAATAACAACTCCCCAACTCCAAATAGTAATCCCAAATGTTTGGAGTAAAACTAATCGACTGGTCTAGGGGGATTCCGCGTCGTACTTAGTTTTAAGTCGGCGTAATTGTCCCCCAAAAACCAACTCCCTCCCGTCCCTCATCCACACCCCACCGAGCGTATAGCATAGGCTCGGCGAACCCGGGAATGGCTATTATAACTATTCGCCTCTCGCTCTCGAGCCCCAAATAGGGGACAGTACGAAACGCAATGGACATTCGCACCCAGCAAACACGGGTGAAGCCGTGCAGTTGCTGGGGAAGAACAAAAATCGGCGCAAGTAAACATAGGCCTGTACGGGGTTCGCGAGTCAAGAGGAAATGGGGCTGGTTATACGTCTCTTATACTCATACTCATACTCATATTTTAAACTTTCACCTTGGATATTATTTACATAGGTTGTTTTAAAAAAAACTATAAATATCTGTGCGATTTTTTCATTTTATAAAAATTTTATCTCATTTTTCAAAAATTTTTTCCTGTAAATTGTTTTTTTTAACATTTGTTTTTTATTGTTAGACGAGACATTTGGGCAACGATGAGGTTCACATTGTCTGGTCAGACCATTGGCGCGACTACCGTCGCGACATAATTCCAACCGAATTCTGTGATATTTTGATTGTAATTTATCCGCTGGGCAACAATCTCAACCGCGTTACCATCAACTGTAAAGCTGACGTAAGAAACGCCACCCGCCCCACTCCAAAGTGCCGCCGTTTTCACGCGAAATTTTCATTGCAGGTTCCACATTTCGGCGTCCTATTCGACGAGGCCATCGTGGAGAGCAGCATTTTGGCCGGGTTGATGAGAGCGACTGCAATTTGCGCCAGCAGATCCAAGAGGATCACTTACGAGCATTATCAACAATAGTAAGTTAACTTATTTTTGTACGTATACATAACGTATACATAAACAACCCAAAACTAGGGTTTTAAAGTGTCGAAAAAAAGGAAAAATTTGAGAAAAAACTGTTCTAGTTTCTAGACTATCATTTTCTTTATTAAAAAAATTATTGAAACTTGATAATTCCTCAAATTAGTCAATTTTGCGTAAAGTATAATAAGTAAAATTAATAAAGAGTTAATTTAAACGTATAAAAAATGCGTTTAGCAGTTTTTTGTCGGTTTCTTTCACAATTTAAACCAAGTTAGTCTTGTTCTATTATTTTGATCCCTTTAGTAAGCCACTAAATAGTTAAAAGTTATATGTATGTATTTTAAATGTTAAACTTCTTTAAATTTTAGTTTTTAGGAAACTGGTTAAAATAAAAGGGTTTATTTAGAATATTTTTTGGTTTTTGCTTATTTTAAACAATTTAAAACTTCTCAGAACTTGAAAATTTTCTATGAGAAAGAGGTACAAAATTATGATATGTTCTTGCATTTTTAATTGCAATTAATTTCATGAATCTCGAACACTCCGTTATTTATTACACTTGCAAACTTGCATACTTTTTGAAATCACAATTTAAATACGCACAAATAATATCTATTTATCTATTTTGGTTTCATAATGACTTCATTATAACACCGCTTTTGGTTCTTTAATGAGGTACTTTATTCCACCCAAAATTTTGATTTTATAGGTTGGCTACTGGTAAAATACAATTTTGAATACCTATAGGTTATAATATTTTTATGATTTGCTTTCTAGTACTTACGAGACTTTTCGTGCAATAAATTTTGTTTAACACCAAAGAAAATCCTTTTTTCTTCTTTAACAGCCGCTTATTGTAAATACTTATTGTAAATTAACGACGCCATAGCGAAAGAATGTGATAATGTTTGAAAGGTTAATGACCTTTCAAACTTCAAACTGTGATACCAACTATGTAAAGTAAAATTCCACCAAATTAAATATAAGGTATAAAATTAATTTGTTTTATGAAATGTTTGCAAAATAGATAAAATAGCATAAAGAACTCATGTCATAAGACCTTTTGTCGCACTTGTCCATTATAAAACTCGCTCCTTCGTCGCTCGTTTTATAAATTGTCCGCGTGCGACAAAATGACGTCTTATGACATTAGTTCTTTAATATACTATTATGAAATATTTTTGACAGTTCTGACATTTATCTACCAAACATGAATTGACTAAGTCAAAGCCATCTAAATTTTAACTTATAAATAAAACTAACAATATCGCTTCTTAACTGCATTAAAAAAATTATTATATCTTTTACATGGATACAAATAACAAAACAAGACTAACTAGACTGAAAAGATGAAGGTGGGGACTACATTTCCTGAAAGTTTCAGATTTTTATTTTTTCCTCAACATAATGATTTCTGAGGGCAAAATTGACTAATTTGAAGAATTATCAAGTTTCAATAATTTTTTTAATAAAGAAAATGATAGTCTAGAAACTTAAAATAATAGTTACGTTTTCTATTGTATAAGTACTTGATACCTAAAAAAAAACAACTTTCTAGATTTAGCAGAATAGGCACAGGAGCCAGACAAAAACCACAAAAATTGTCAAATTATTACAAATCTTTAGTGGTTTACCATTCTTTTATGAGATGAACTAATTAGATAATAATAATTAATATTTAAAACATACTTACAATGCAGTAAAATAAAATTACAATCATTTCAATAATTGCCACAGAAAAAAGTTTTAGCCTCTTGTAAGAGAGTAAGAAAATGTCACGATTTCAGGTTTCTAAAGGGTGCCTATTAAAAATAAAGCAACTAAAAATTAAAACGGCAACGGTTTTTCATAAATGATACCTAAAAGATCATCCTCAAATTTTTTCATTAAAATAAAAAATCATGCAGCGCACTTTTAAATTCATTTTTGGTGTTTTCATTTGGATTGACTCTTTATAAAATCATACGTTATTTTGTAATTGGATATTTTTAATGCATTTTTTGCAAAAAGACCCAACCAACAGTATATTTTCTTAAATCAATTTATATTGATATTTTTTTTAATTAAAAATTCAATTTTTCCCAAAAAACGGAAAAAACTGTTTTTATTAAAAAAATTATTGAAACTTGATAATTCTTCAAATTAGTCAATTTTGCCCTCAGAAATTATTATGTTGAGGAAAAAATAAAAATCTGAAACTTTCAGGAAATGTAGTCCCCACCTTCATCTTTTCAGTCTAGTTAGTCTTGTTTTGTTATTTGTATCCATGTAAAAGATATAATAATTTTTTTAATGCAGTTAAGAAGCGATATTGTTAGTTTTACTTATAAGTTAAAATTTAGATGGCTTTGACTTAGTCAATTCATGTTTGGTAGAGAAATTTCAGAACTGTCAAAAATATTTCATAAATAGATATTATTTGTGCGTATTTAAATTGTGATTTCAAAAAGTATGCAAGTTTGCAAGTGTAATAAATAACGGAGTGTTCGAGATTCATGAAATTAATTGCAATTAAAAATGCAAGAACATATCATAATTTTGTACCTCTTTCTCATAGAAAATATTCAAGTTCTGAGAAGTTTTAAATTGTTTAAAATAAGCAAAAACCAAAAAATATTCTAAATAAACCCTTTTATTTTAACCAGTTACCTAAAAACTAAAATTTAAAGAAGTTTAACATTTAAAATACATACATATAACTTTTAACTATTCAGTGGCTTACTAAAGGGATCAAAATAATAGAACAAGACTAACTTGGTTTAAATTGTGAAAGAAACCGACAAAAAACTGCTTAACGCATTTTTTATACGTTTAAATTAACTCTTTATTAATTTTACTTATTATACTTTACGCAAAATTGACTAATTTGAGGAATTATCAAGTTTCAATAATTTTTTTAATAAAGAAAATGATAGTCTAGAAACTAGATTTAGTAGAATAGGCACAGGAGCCAGACAAAAATCACAAAAATTGGCAAATTATCATGAATCTTTAGTGGTTTACCATTCTTTTATGAGATTAACTAATTGGATAATAATAATTTATATCGAAAACACACTTACTGAACAGTAAAACAAAATTAAAATCATTTCAATATTTGTCACAGAAAAAAAGTTCTGACACGATTTCAGATTTCTAAAGGGTGCCGATTAAAAGTAAAGAATCCAAAAATTAGATTTGATACCTAAAAGATCATCCTCAATTTTTTTTATCAAAATAAAAAATCAAGCAGCGCACCCCATTTGGTGTTTTTATTTGGAATGACTCTAAAGTTAAATTACAAAATTATAATTTTATAAATGGAATTGTTTAATAAAACGAAAGTTTTGTTAATACAGCACTGAATATGTTTTTTTACGACCCGGTAGAATATTCTACTAAATTAAAATAAAAGATATAATTTATTACCTCCAATAGGCTGAAATTCTATTTCTGTGCACTTGTATGTGCTTGTTTATTAAATAAATAAATAAATTATTATAATCATAATATCGATGACTTTCTGCCAAAGTATCGCAAGCAACATAACTGAAATTTCGGGAATTAAAAACAATTATTGTTTTAAAGTCTGTTTGAAATTAAATTTAAAAATTTAAATTAAATATAGTTAAAGGTTTTATAACAAGTAAATAGCTTATAATTATATCTATTTACGTGTTATAAACCCTACAGGTTAGATATGGTTTAAAACAGACTTTAAAACAAAAAATGTTTTCAATTCCCGAAATTTATGTTGCTTGCGATACTTTGCCTCAAAGTCATCGATATTATGATTATCGAAAATTCACTTTTTTCTCGATATTAGTGTACGAATGGTATACGTAAAAAATTGTCAATTTTCAAAAAAAAATACTTTCGCATTTTTTATATTACCCATTAAATAAAATGAAAAAAATGCAAAGTAAATTTTTCTAAAAATTTCCCAATTTTTCCGCCGGCTTAATTTTTTCCGGAAATTTTAAAACTACCTAAAACCAAAGGGTATTTTATTTTACACAGTCTTCCAGAAGACTCTTGCTATTAATCTGACTTACTAAGAATTATTTTTTTCCTACAAGTTTTTCTGACTTAATAAGTTTTATTCAGTTTTTAAGACTTTCAAAACTCTTATGTTTACTAAGTCTTATTAAAACTTTTTCACAAGAAATGTTAAAAACAACCAACTCAAACACTCAAAACTATCTAAAAAGTCACAAAAATAATTTTCTTAATTTTAGTTATGAAGAGAGGGCAAGATCCCTAGAGACGGTGGTAACAAAACATAAGAAGAGCACCACCTACGAAGACTTGATTTCGCACGTGTACAGCCCCATGACATTCGACAATCGCGGCGGGGGATCCCTTTGCTCCGGGGGCGGCGATTTGTCGAGCAACTCTTCGAATTTGGCGGCAGCTTTGATCGATTCCTCGCACAAAGGCGTCCAAAGGACCGATCCCAAGTACAGAGGTAAGAATCAGTGATTTTTAAACGTACAAAAGTTTTACTCAGTAGCGGATCCCGGATTTTTTCTCTTAACGTCCTTTTCATAATATAGCAGTTATTTTTTAACTTGCTGTTATTTAAAATTTTTAATTAAAAAACATATATGGGGTGCACCAAGTATCCTTCTATGGGAATTTGAAGAGCTACAAGTTCGGTTATAATAGAAAAAAGTTACGTAACTACAAGCCTTTTAAAATGAAATTTAAAAATTTTAAAAAAGCCAGCGGTTCTCAAAATATTTGTCCTGTCAAATCCAAAATGCGGTACAACTTCGGAATTTCTGGGAATTTGGAAATTAAGTAAGTTTAACATGAAAACATACACATTAGAGTGGGTGGAATATCCGCTTTTTCAAAATTAATTTGGTAATCGCAAAACGAAAAAAAAATTTGCACGAAAATTTTTGTTTGCCCAACATCATAGGCTCGCCAAATGAAAGTAACAAAATATTTTTTTTCACACCATATGTAAGGAAATTTAATTGTCTATGAATTTTGACGTTTATATTGTAATTTCGCAGATAATCCCGATTTTTTTTTAATTGATTTTTTATAACAAAACTTATTTTAAAAGTAAAAAAAGTTTTTTTGATATGATTTGTTGGAAAATTTAATTCCCCAAAAAAAAGGTCCTTATGAATGATCGCATAAGTATTGTAGTTTCGGAGATAAATGCGATGTTATTGTCATTGCCATATTTTATCAAAAAACAATCTTTTTATATAATTTGCTACAAAGTGTAATTGCATACAAAAAAGTACTTATCAATTGATGTGTGGTTTTTTGGTGTTAATTTTTGTGTGAAATTTTTGAACCAGAGATAATCGCGATGCATACCTATATGTCAAAATAAAATAATTGTGAACTCAACATTTTTTCTTTACATTTTTGGTAAAATATAAATGTGTATGTAAAACTTTTTTTTAATTCTGGGTAATAACGAGGTTTTTTAAATTATTTAAAAACTGCAGATTTTTTTTTCAATCTTATACGCAACTTTTCTTTAATTTAACCGACCTTGTATCTCCTCAAATAAAAAAGATACCCATAGGGTAAACCACATAGTTATTGGACACTTAAGGAATATTATTTATTTAAAATTTATATATGCCGTTGTTTTAAAGATTTTAGTTTTTTCTTAAAAATATATAAAAAAATAAATAAATAAATAAACTTTATTTACGTTTACTTAAAAATAAGAATATTTGAATTTTTAATAATAGTTTTATAAAAACATGCAAAAAAGTAATTGGACATTTTATATAGTAATTGGACACATATTACTTACTTTCTAAAACTGAATTATTCAAAAATGTCATAGCGAAAAATCAGCCACTAATAATTCTCGTCAACAGGACATTTAGCAATCAATGAAATATTATTCGCTGAATCCGAAAATATCGACAAAAGTTATAGAAGTAGAAAGTTTGAAATATAATCAATTTTACATATAATATGGAATTGACTATATCTCAAAAACTGCTTAACTTTTATAGTTTTTGACGGTCTTTTTGGATTCAGGGGACAATTTTACATAATAATTGGCTGGTAAATGTCCGGGATACTAATAGAGTATGATATTGGACATAATATGTCCAATAATAGAAATTTACATTTTTTAGCAACCAGTAATTGGACACTGGCCATTTTACTGTTTGTTTTCAGAATTAAAATTAAAACGCATTAAAGTGACAATGTTTAAACCATGAGGAACACACTGATCTGTACACTTTTTAGAAATATATTTTATTGTAATTTAAACACAGTCCTGCTCTTAACAAAAAAAAACAAAAATCTTACCACCAAAGTAACTTGCGAACTTTTTTGTCCTATATTGGACCCAAAATAAAGTAGTTCTATATTATTACCGACTGATAGTTATAATTGTATACAGCGTACCGTAAACACGGGTGGCTTTAGCTCACTTTCAAACTTAATCTTAACATTTTTGTAGTTTTAACAATCATAAACATTAAATATTGTATATCAAAATTTGAGTCTTGAGTTGCCTTTTCATAATAACTATGTTATAATCTTACATAGGGCTGATTTACAAAAATAAAAATTAAAAACGGTGTGCAAAGTTACCCCCTGGTTGCGGGTTACTTTGTCTCACAGTGTATTTTCCGTATCAAATTTACTCAACATTTTATTATATTTTTATTAGACATAATATGTTAGCAGCGATATATAGCAATTGCAAGGGATTACCGATAAAAACAATAAAAAATCGACCTGTAGTTAACCAAGGATCATCATTCCAAAGAATTTCGCATAATATAGAAATTGAAACGCGTATATTTTTAAGAGTTTTGCACTAATGCAATATATACAACTTTAAAGTGTAATAAATCCCATTTATTTTTTTAAAACACTGATTTTCCTGTATTATAAACTCAATAGAATCGCTTAATTGACAGGTTTAGACCAACAAATTATAAATGTTAATTTTATCGAGCGCGAAAAATTTTTTCATAAAAGGGCTAAAGTCACCCGCGGGGTGCAAAGTCACCCGTGTTTACGGTAATCTAATGATTTGACTTTAAGGTAACTATTTATAGAACTATTGTTTTTACAGTATTAATGTTAATTGTCCAATAACTATAAAGTGTCCAATAACTACTTTACCCTACATTGATGTACTTGTTAGAATTTAAAGAATTATATCACTATTTTTTTTAAATTTAGCTTCTGACGTGTCTAGAGGCGTTTGGTTCACAAACCCAGACATGTCTCAAAACGTGGAATCGACCAGCATATCGCCGCGACCTTTAAAAAAATTCTCCGCCAACCTGAAAAATTCTAGGCGCTCGCTTAGGCACGACGCTTCGATAGAATCGCCGCCAGAAAGCCCCCTACAAATGACGAGAAAAAAATAAACGCCGCAAGGTAACTACTACCAACACCGGAAACGAAATATCTTCGTTGTAGAAACTGTGTAGATATAACGCACGATTTTCACGTACATTAAGGTTGTTTACTGTATCATATGTAACTTAAATCGCTAGAGAGAAACGACATATTTTTTTACTACTGAATTTTTAAATATGGTGTGCTAAGAATGTGGTTAAAGGATACTTTAGGATGTAACAATATGGGGACGTAATTAAATGTTCAGTAAATATACTTAGGCAAATACCGTTCTATACATAAAACCGTTTTGTTGTTTTTTCTTACATTATATGAAGGTGCATTTTCTTCAAAAACATACAAAATAAAGGTCGTTAATAAGTGCAACTTTACCATTTTTTTAATAATACACTCACAGGCAAAATAATCGATCCACACAAATTTTCGATGAATTTCAATCGCAAATAACTTTATTTGATGTCGGATTTAAACGAATATTAAAGAATATTGTAGATAAATTAATGGACAATCGCTCACATTTTATAAAATTACTGAAAAATAGACTTACGTTTGTAATATACAGGTTTAAACAAAAAGATGTTTTTTACCATAAGTTTAAGACACTCTGTAGAGTGGCAAAATCGTATATTGTTCTAAATTAAGTTTTATTTATCAAATCACATCTATTCTTAACAGTTTTGTTTTTGGTTCACCTCGATATATTTATTTTTGTGGAAAATATGTATTTTTTAAAAAAGCATTGCAATTTCCAATATTTTTCTGTATGGAGAACTAAGGTTGCTATGGTCCAATAGGTTATGGAGAATGACAGTGACAGTTTTGTTGAATCATCCCATACTTGGACATGTCATACACGGCTTTCAAAAGCTATCAAATTGTTTTTTGCAATTTAATGTTTAAATTTTGAGGAGTCTTCTTACTTTAAAAAATGGATATGTCTCCGACTGATGTTGCCAGAGCCATGAATTTAATCCAGGATGGACGGTCACAGTATTACTTGGCAAATGTTTTAAACGTCACAAGAAGTAAAGTTCAAAGGGCAACATCAGTCGGAGACATTTTTAAAAGTAAGAAGACACCTCAAAATTAACACATTAATGTACAAAAAACAATTTGATAGCTTTTGAAAGCTGTATATGACATGTCCAAGTATGGGATGATTCAACAAAACTGACACTGTCATTTTCCATAGGCTATGGATGGACCATAGCAACCTTAGTTCTTCATACAGGAAAACTATTGGAAATTGCAATGTTTTAAAAAAAAAATCCATATTTTCCACAAAAATAAATATATCAAGGTAAACCAAAAACAAAACTGTTAAAAATAGATGTGACTTGATAATTAAAACTTAATTTAGAACAATATACGGATATGCCAAACTTATGGTAAAAAACATATTTTTGTTTAAACCTGTATATTATAAAAGTACGTATATTTTTTTAGTAATTTTTAAAATGTGAGCGATTCTCCATTAATGTATCTACAATATTCTTTAATATTTGTTTAAATCCGAAATCAAATAAAAAAGTTATTTGCGATTGAAATTCATCGAAAATTTGTGTGGATCGATTATTTTGCCTGTGAGTGTAGTTTGTAAAGATTTAAGGTTGAAAAAGATTATACAGGGCTGTAAATAATTACAACATGGTCATTCGACATATTTGTGACCTTTATTTTTAGATGTTTTAAACCAGAAATTCGTAGAAAATTTTAAAACCTCTACGCTAGAACTCTTCCCAAAACTTTGCTAGTGCCATCTTGTTAACAATAGAATCTTCTTTGCAATTAACAAAATAGTAATATTTTAAATCAAAATCACTTATTTTTTAGTAGGTCCAAATTATTTAATTATTAAGTATTAACGTTGGTATGAGAGGCAAATCAATGATGAAACCATCCAGTAAATTGTCAGACTGATGTTTTATCCAGATCGGTGGAATATTATTACTATAAGTAACACTTATTTTGTTATAAAGCCACTATATTTTATTGTATGACTGTTATTTATTTTATAAGTTAATTAATATTTATTTTTTTTCATTTTCTTGTTTTTAGAGTTTCTTATATTATTAAGTTATGACATATTTATTAACTATTTATTAATCCAATTACTTTTTGTCAAGATTATATTATCTTTGTTCTATATTTAGTTTTTAAGCTTAAATCTGCCTTCATTTATACATATCCAGAAAATAAGAACTAAAAGTATAATAAAGATCCTAATAATCTCAAAAAACATTATTATATTCAAAAAATCTGATGCATTTATTAAATTAGTTTCAGTATTACACAATAAAAAAACGTAATGTTTTTAGTCAGTTGTTGACTTTTTGTAGTTTTCTTTGTTATAATTCCAGTATTTTTCAATATAATGCTATACACAGTTGAAGGTAATATAGTTTTCCATTTTTATTCGTACTTATAGTGGTACTTACTATTAAATTAAAAATATTATTAAAAAATAGCATTGTATTGTGTGGTCCATCTAGTTTAAATTGTTCTACTTAAATTTTTTTGAATGGTGTTCAGTATTATCTACTTTCAGTTAACAGGAAATATTGTTTAACATTATTATTATGAATATTGTTAAATTTCATATTTTTTTGTATTCTTTTATAATATACATATAACGTTTCAAATATATGTACTTACTTATTAAAAGCTTTATTAATAAACCCAAAAATTGTTAATTATAGTTTGATTTTAAAAACCTTTTTGCTTTTTTAAAATTAAATTTCATTTTTATTTGGTAAAACGGCAGTTATTAATTTTCATCTAACCTAAGCTCTTACAAATGATTAAAAATAATGAGTAAAAAAGTTGTTTATGATTTAAAGTTGAAATTTGTTAATAAATGTTTTTATTAACAAATTTTAACTTTAATTATTAATTACTAATGATTTTTAAGGGGTTAAGGTACTATATTAGTTACATACAATAAGAAAATGTTAAAAAAATTCTTAAAAAATTGTGGTAGAGATAACATTTAACATTTACAATTGTAAAAATAAAAATGCAATACACGGCAATATTATTTATTAACCAATATAAATAGTAACATGGCAATATTCTGTCAATATTGCCTTGTACACAGCGTTGCCAGTGCCAGTGCTTTTGTACTAATAGGTCTGTCAGTACGTTTTGGGAAATTTCCTTTTTAAAACCAAAAAAGTTAAAACTAATACAAATGACAAATAAAACCAGCAAAATTTTACAAAAATATGCATATAATTATTTAGGAAAGTACTTTTAAAACGAATTTAAGAATCTCAAAATAAAAAATGGCACGATTCCTATAAAATAATCTCGTACATTGGTTGGATAAAGGCCTATCTAAATTGCTATGCACCGTTTTTTGATATAAAATACAATCTTAATTAATTTATTATTGACATGTCAAAATCTAGCCGTTAAAGTGGTACGCACGTATGTATAATCTGTGCGTAGGTAGCTAGATTATGACTTAAGCCAAAAAAAATTAAAAGCGAAATCAAAAAAAGCAGATATTGCCAAGGTTTTGCTATTCCATAGGTTTAAAGTATTACCAATAAAATGAAATATAGCCAATTCAGTACTTTTACCTTTAATAAAACCAAATTGCTGGCTGGAAATTATATCATATTTTTTACAATAGTTTATTATTCGGTTTGATATACAAAGTTCTATTATTTTTGAAAAAATTGGTAATAAGGATATTGGTCTATAGTTGTTTATATCGGTTGCTGATCCCTTTTTATGCAGAACCTTGACAACAGCCATTTTAAGAATTTCTGGGAATATACCATGTACAAAACTTACATTAATAATATGACTTAGAGGGCCTGATATTATAAAAGCACATCTTTTTATTACAATGGTTGGAATTTCATCCCAACCCGTTGATTTTTTATTTTTTAAATTCATAATTAAATTAAAAATTTCAAAAGAATTCGTAGGAAACAAAAACATATTTGAACCAAGGCAATCAATATTACAATTTAAATTTGGTGTGGGTAGATTCATTTTTTCAGATACATTAGCAAAGTATGAATTAAATTCGTTTGCTACATTAAAACATTCACTAATAATACCATTATCGGTTTCTAATTCAATTTTTTCACCCTTTGGACATAAGTTTTTATTTTTATTAATAAGTCTCCACATTTCCCTTTGATTGTTAGAAGCATTTTCAATTAAATTTTTATTAAAATGAAGTTTGGCTACATTTATTTCAATTTTTAAAGTTCTACAAATTTTTTTGTATCTATTTTTTAAAGTTTCGTAAACATAAGCATTGCAATTTAACAGATTCTGATGCATTTCTCTTTTCATAGAAGATAATTGTTTAATTCTGTTATTCATCCAAGGTATTTTATTTGAAGTTTTACTTTTATAACTCTTTTTTGGAAAAAATACATCAAAGTGGAATTTAAAAATTTGATGAAAAGATTCAAAACACAAATTTGGTTCAAAACAATTAAAGACGCAGCTCCAGTTGATTGTAGATAACTTCTCTATGAAGCCACCAATATTCGACTCGGAAAATGATCTTTTAAATTGCAGTTTATTGTTTTGTATTTCAATGTTATGTTTAAAACAAAGTCTTATAGCATAGTGGTCTGATAAGCTTGAATATATAACAGAAGAAGTATAGAATGACGAATGAATATTTGTAAATATATTATCAATTTGTGTTTTAGATTTTTTTGTAACTCTTGTAGGCATATTAAGAGTAAAATGAAGATTAAAGCTATTAAAAAGATTATTAAGTTTTTGTTTTTGTGGACAATTATTATTTAAAAAATTTACATTAAAATCCCCCAAGATGGCAATTGATTCATTATTTCTTGTTACTAAATTAAATAATATAAGTTCAAAATTTGATAAGAATTCACCAAAATCTGCAGAAGGAGAACGATAAACACATACCACAAATAAATTATGATCTGGACACTTTATTGCACAACACTCGCATATTTTTTCTACCGATTTTACTGTGACTTCCTCGGTTTTCAGACCTTCTTTTCCATATATACAAACACCTCCATGAAGAAAGCTTGTTCTGCAAAAGGCAGTTTTTAGTTTATAGTTAAAAATTTTTGCAAACTTTAGTTGTTCTGCAGTCATCCAATGTTCTGAGAAACATATTAAATCTGGATCTTCATTTTTTAAAAATATTTCAACCTCCCCTATTTTATTGTTTAAACTTTGGATATTATTATGTATTAACATTAAATTATTTTTAGGATGTGTTTCTGAATTCTGCCTGTTGGACTGATTCCTGGTTTTGTTGACGAAAAAACGATTTAAAGTAAAAATTTTTAATCAAGATTCCTTTTGGCCAAAATTTACTGTCCTAGGCTTAAGGATACTTATATTTTCAAAGTCTGTTCCCACAGTAAATGCTTGGCTATTCGAAGATTCCTTTTTTGGAAGGCATTTAACAATAAAGTTTAATTCTGGACATTTATTTTTGAGAAAATTTCCAAGAGAAGCAATTGTAGTTTCTTTTTTGGTATTTCCAACATATATCCAGGCATGTTTTTTAACTGCGCAAAGTGCATTTTCGGAATTGTCATCTTCCTCTGGTTTCGCCGTTCCTCGTATAGTTTTTGGTTTGTTATTGTTTTGTTTATTTATATTTGTGACAGTTTTTTTCTCAAATTCCTTCGCTGACGGAGCAGCGGTTTTTTCGATAGTTTTTTGTGGTACTTGTATTACTTGCGCATATGTAGCTGGTAAATTATTTTTATTATTGGACTCACTTAAATAATTTATTTTATCCTTTAATAATTTATTTTTGTCTCTCATCTCCTCAACTAATTGCTTGTAGATGGAATTTTCGCTATTAATTGAGTTATTCATTTGAATAACATCAAATATTTTATTGCAGACCATTTCATTAGAAACACAACATTTGCCTATGAACACATCACCCTTAGTTTCAATGCACAACCATTATGATATGCTCCTTGGCAAAAATAGCATTTGACACCATTAACCACTTTTTTCTTGCAACTTTTATGCACACACACGTCTTCACTCTCAGACATCGTAGTTACATAATGGGACTCCCATTCATTGTACCATCAGCGTTGCCAGTGCTAGTGCTTTTGTACTGAAATCAGTACTTTTTAAGGTCTGTCAGTACGTCAGTGCTATTTTCATAGTGTCAGTTCGTTTTTCAAAATTTCCTTTAAAGGAAATTTTGAAAAACGAGGAATTCCTCCCAACCAAAAAAAGTTAAAACTTAAACAAATGAAAGAAAACTTTTCTTTTAACAGTACCTTTTTAGTCAAATCGTGGTCTAGCAACGCTGGTACCGTACCATAGAAATAATATTATATTATAAAATATAGTAATTATATGCATGTAAAATTTTTGTTTGATTAGTTTCCAAACAGGGGAAGTGCACGTTTCTCCTTGTCTCACTGACAGGAATCTTGATTTCCGGTGAAGATCTCTTATCTTCTCCCGGCCGCTTTGGGAAATGTTATCTAAGGTCTAATCGTGGTCTAGCAACGTTGGGTACCATAAAAATAATATATATATTATAAAAAATATAGTAATTATATATATTATGCATATAGGCATGTAAAATTTTTGTTTGATTAGTTTCCAAACAGGGGAAGTGCACGTTTCTCCTTGTCTCACTGACAGGAATCTTAATTTCCGGTGAAGATCTCTTATCTTCTCCCGGCCGCTTCGGGAAATGTTATCTAAGGTGGTCCCTCTTTGGAATCCTGATCCTTATGCTGTAACATTTGACCCACTGTGTGCACTTACACCCTATTAGGGGACCAATGACTAATGGTCAATTATGAATTATTATGCGCTGGCTTATAAACGCTGGGAATGCAGGGACAGCGGTGAGATGTTGACCTAAATAAACAAATTCAAGGTCGACTACTGTGATCAAGAAGACTACATACAGGGTTGCCAGTTCTACTGATTTTTCAGTAGATCTACTGATTTGCTGATTGATCTACTGAAAAATGTTGTAATCTACTGAAAAAAATATGAGGTTTATTTATTATGGTTATCAATAATATATCACTTACATTTATCTTGCATTAAATTCCGAACGCTCTATTTAAATACATTTACAAGCACTATTTAAAATTCTAACGCGTCTCAGCGCTTGATATGTTGGTTATACTGACCACGGGACTCGGGGAATCCCCGTCGGGGATTACGGGGGCAGTGTTGCTAATTGACGGCTGAACAAGGTAACAATTGTGCGAAAGCAACTTTGGACATATAATAGGACCTATTAAATAGGAAAGATGGCTAACGACAAATCACAGATTTAAATCCTGATTTATAGATTGCCTTCCTTCCTTCCTTCCGTAGAAAATAAAAAATACAATCCCGTACGGGAATCTATAAACGAGAGGATGGAATAAAGGGGGGGAAGACAATCCATAAATCAGGCTTAACCTTTGTTAAATCTGATATTTCATTGTACACCTGGTAAATACGTATACAATAAAATTCAAAATTTTGACATTTGCATTTAAAAATTAAAATGAATGGCCAAACTATTCGATGAAGACTAAATTTATTAAATTAGACCATAATAGTGGGTTTATGGTCTAAGGAATTTAGTAAACCAATAGACCTATCCCATAAAACGGACTTTTAGATAGCGCGTGCGTGAAAAGGCACGTCGTCTTTTTTTAATTATATAAAAGAGAAAGAGATACAACTCTTCTTCAGGCACGCGCTATCCAAAAGTCTGTTTTATGGGATAGGTCTATTAGCTCAAACCCACATGGATCAATGAAACAGCCAAGCAGAATTTTGGGATCCTGTAAGTAGGCAAAAACATATCTCAACATTATTATCCTGATGGCATACTTATGTTTTTTTTTTTAGAAGACAATTTTGAGCAACCCCGTATATTCCAGTAGGTTAAACGATCGGGTTGTTTGACCTACCGTTTTTGTGACATTGAAGTAGATCGATTGTTCCATGTTACAAGTAATTTTCAAAAATGGTAGTTGGTGCCTTTCCAGCAGCCAAACTAGGGGCCTTATTGTTGAAACAAATCAGTAAACCGATTGCCAATGTCGTCAAATCGCAGGCAAAGCAGCATCCCTTTTTCAGAAAGTATATCTGCATGCCACCAGCCCAGTGTACGTATTTTAAGGTTATTTAACATCCTTTGATACCTTAATTTGCCTTTATTTTAAGTGTACAACTGGTGCGAGGTGCGCGCGAAGATGTGGATGTTGAATTTGGGGAAACCAGTCAATATTCCAGTATTAAACGAAGCCATGGCCATCGAACTGGGTGCCAATCTTCTGGGCGAAGGAATTATATTTATTATTGCTGCTGGGATACTTTTATCTGAATATAATAGGTGTGTAAGAGTATAACTATGTTTATTGAGTCTTTATAAAAGCATATTATGTTTATAGGTCATCACGGAAAGAAGAGCAAAAAGAAGCAGCAAAGAAAGCAGAAATGACAGCTTTAACTGATGCTATTAGGGATTTGTTTATACAATCTGAAGAGCAGGGAGCCTATATTAGAGAATTAACTAGAAAAATGGGTGAAATTGGTAACTTAGTGACGTTCTTACTGTGATTTCTAATAAAATAACTTAATTTCAGAAACAAATGTGTACTCTGGTAAAAATCAACCAATACCTTCTTCTTTACCAGCAAGTAGGGTACCTTTGAATAGTGACCCCATTTACCCCCAGGAAACAGTGCAAATAGAGGAAGTTTCTTGTAGCGAAGACTCACAATTGCCCAAAAATGCTGGATTAATTTTAAATGCTGTAAATAATATTGAACATGAATTCTGGAATAACCCAAAACAAGAAAGAACACCTGGTATTTTGACAATGGGTTTATCTCATATACACAAAAATGTTCTTAGGATTCAAGTTTAGCTTCATTTTTTTGAATTGTGAATGTAGATATCCTGTAATTATACCTAAGATTATTTATTTAATTTTATTAGGACCCAATAAATATTTTTGTTTAGTTTGGTGTTTTTTTATTCAAAATTAAACCATATAAATATTTTGGTTGTGGATAAAATTGTGTTTTATTTAATTATAATAAATGTAGGTAATATTTTCTCATGGAGAAAATTTGCAAAAACCATAAATTACGTACAATTATTTTACAAAACAAATTTATAGACAAAAGTCACCTTAACATTACATACAAAAGTTTTATCAAATGGCTTCTTCACTGCAGTTGTTATTTTTAACATGGCTTTCTAAATGTTCTTCATTTAAATTATTCGTTGTACTTTCATCCATTTTGGTTGCCTCTTTAGCTTCTGTTTTATCTTCATTTGATTTATCTACATTTTCTGAACCATTTTCAATTTCCATTGATTCAATGGGATTTTCTGATTCTTTTATTGTTGAATGTTCTGGATTATGGCTTATATCTTCCTGCATAGATTCATCCAATTGAGAAATATTAGCCATATCATGATCTACAGAATCATTCAAGTTCTCTTCATCCTTTTCTTCTGGCTTCTTTTCAAAGTTCTTATTCATTCTTTCTTCAATCTGTTTTAGCTCATCCAACACTTTATTTTTCTTCTTTTCAATCATTTCTACAAAAAAAATTAATTTAATTAATTTCATAAAAAATGGTTTTAATATTTTAAATATTTAATAGTCTAGGAAAATACTTACTTTCAATTTCAATTTTGTTGGTTGCCAATTTTTCTTTGCTTGCTTCATTAAGCTTCCTGGGCAGAAAATGGATGTGTGGTTTGGCTTTGGTTGTCAAAAAATTGACCCTTGGCTTTTGTTTGTCCTCCCAATAGGCATACTCTTTCATTCTTAGCATTTTAAGTTCAATAACTTTAATCTCAGCTTGCTTCTTACGCCTATTCAAAAACAACTCTTGCCTTTCCTTCTTAATTTCCTGCTTTTCTTTTATTTCGTGTTCTTCAATTTTTTTCTCGAGCTGCGCACGCTTTTCTTCTTTTGGTTTTAACTTTGTTTCCTCCTGTTGAAATTTTTGTAGGGTGCCTAGAAGAGCACCAAACATCCGCCTGTTTCTGGCTTTGGATTTTTCGTCTTTACTTTGAGCAGCTAGTGCCTCCAGTCTGCTAGGAACTTCCTTTGGAGTGACTATAACCTTACTGATCATCTGTTTTTGTGTTGTCGATTCTGGCATCGCTCTGTCAGATAACCTCTTAAACACAGACACACCACTTCTTCTTTTGCTTGGTGGCTCATCGTTTTCGTGAGAGTAATTCCTGGTTCTTACGTTTCGTACACGCGATTTGTCTTCTGAAGGATCCCTACCAATTAACCTCTTTATATTCTCGTCTACACCTTTCAAACTGCTTTTCGCTTGCTCTAGTTCCGATTGTAAGCTACTAAACGACTTAAGTATTTCAGTTCCCATTTTATTTGATGGAAATTAACACTTTATCTGGAGAAATCAATGAAATGCCATGGGTAAATCTAATTTTGATGTTTTCCCTTTTGCGGCTGTCAAATTCAGTGCTGCCAACCGATGCGTGTAAATATAATCCTTTTAAAACCTTGTATAACATTAAATTTTATAAAAATAAGTAGCATAATTGCGTAAAATATATTTATTATTAATTTTATTTTATCATGGCCCGCGAAATTCTTTAAATATTAATTGTTAAATTAATAATTTATATTATCTTAAGTTGGTAATTAGGCTGGTGGCAATTTAGGGTTTTTCGTTACTAAAAGTTGACATGTCCAACTTGGACCAAAGAACCAAAGAACTTTGGCTTGGACCATAGAAATAATAATTTCTATGGCTTGGACAGTCCAAGCATATAAACAAAGTTCTTTGGATATACCACAAAACTAGTTTTGTGGGATATACACATGGATAATATTCATTGGATATACACCATAGATAAAATACTTAAACAAAACTTGTGTGGGCTTTTTTTATTCAAAATTTGACGTCAAAAATTTGGGGGTTTCTCCCATAATATAATATATATATAATCTGTGGTTTCTCCTCTGTGATTTGGACAGTCAAATGGACGTCAGGGACATGCATAACAGTAAAGCATGATTTATAGATTGCCTTCCTTCCTTCCTCCCGTAGAAGATAAACAATATAATCCCGTACGAGAATCTAAAAACTATTTATTTATTTGAAAATAATGTGCAGTTCGTATATTATTGACAATTCTTGAATTAACACAATGCCATCGAATACCACCAGATGGCGCGCGCGTTTCGAAAACCCACATACTTCCAGTATGTGCGAAAACCCGAACCCGAAGGACAAAAGATAATTGTTATTGTTTTTAATAATAAAAATGATCTTTTGTCCCTTATAACTCAATATTGTACATACGGGGGTTTGGCTTACCAGGGCAGTATAGTAGTCAGTGTTGCCAGAACTTATTTTCAAATAGTACTAGTTTTCAGTTAAAAAAGTACCAGATTTAAAAAAAAAGTACCATATTTTCAGAACTCAAAAATAAAGTTTTAGGTAAGGAGGGGTGAAAAATTTTTTTTATTCATTTAATATAAATTAAAACATTTATTTTTTATAGTATTAAAATTAAATTAATATTAAAATCCTATTAAAAATATTATAAATGGTATAATTACCTCTCCATAATAAATATCCCCCTATTAATATTATATAATAATTATATGCACTTAATAATTATATACACTTTTTTCAAAATACAGAAAGTTTCTATCAGAATTTTTAATGACAAGTGACAATCATGCGCAACAACTCTCTTTAGTTGGTTGGTTTAGTAGGTTTCGCCACAAGGTGGGTGTCGCCATCTATTATCATTCCGCCCAATGTTTCTAAATGTGTATTTATAGTGGCGTGTATCCGTTTGAAATTTATAATAATTTTAATTAAGTAGGGTAAAAAATTGTTATTTTATTTTTAGGCCCATATATCAAAAAGTACTGGATTTTGATCCAAGGGTACTAGGGTATAGAATGTATTAAAAAAGTACTAGATCTAGTACAATTGTACTAGACTGGCAACACTGATAGTAGTACCATTGATTAAGGTGTTCTTCACTCCCTTCTTTATCTCTGCTTCACTCAACGGTAGTACACAAAGAACACTTTGGTAGTACAGTGAGAGAGAAAACTGTCACTATATTTTATTTTTGCCAAACAGCGGTCACCAGCTGCTAGCGGCTGTTTACTTTCGAAGTTTTTTCCATGGTGGTTTTCCACCCTGTTTTTTTCGGTCACAGAGAATAAATGTAGAACTCTGTAAACTTAATTTGTTAGTCGTCATTAATATCGATAGATGGAGCCCTTGTGGATCCACAGCATTGTGTGAATCACAAGTTAAGCAGGCCGCACATTATCGCGGAACGGAATGGATTGGAACGGAACGGAAATTTTGAGCCTATTATTTGTGGCGTTTGTTCCGATCCGCGGTAGTGTGCGGACTCTAACTAGTTATATGCTTTTCAAAATTTCCGTTCCGTTCCAATCCATTCCGTTCCGCGATAATGTGCGGCCTGCTTTAAGCGTCGTTCCGCCATTTTATTTCTCCTCTTTTGTTGTGTAAGTTGTTTAAGCTTGTTTCGTTTTATTCTCGAAACAATATTATGTTTTATGTTTTAGATAAACCCAGACAAATCCAGGATGTTTTCTATCGGAATATCCAATAATCTGGATCCGCTGCAATTTTTTGCAGAGTTGTTAAATGAAATCAAAATTCATCAACAATTGGGTGTTACACCGCTACATTTAGCAGCAGCAAACGGTCAGTTGGATTTAGTCAATATTTTATTAATACAAGGTTTCAATATTAACTCAAAGACTAAGCCCAATGGCTTTACGCCTCTAAATTTTGCAATTAAAAAAAATCACCTGGATATGGTTAACTTCCTTATTGCTCATGGAGCAGATGTAAACCATAGGGCCACTCAAGGCTTTACACCTTTAAGTATTGCTTCCCTGCTAGGCTATATATAATATATATAATATAATATATTTAGATATTGTCAACACCTTGATTGCAAATGAAGCAGATCTTGGTACTAAAACAGATAAACTTAATACACCTTTACACATAGCAGCACAGGAAGGTCATCTAGAAATTATAAATGTTTTTATTAAAAAAGGATTAGATATTAATGCTTTAAATAATGAACGAGCAAGACCTTTGCATTTGGCAGTACAAAATGGTCACCTTGAGGTTATTAAAGCCCTTATTTTACATGGGTCTACTATTAATGCTGGAACTTCAGACAAATTTAATCATACACCCTTACATCTGGGAATACAAACTGGTAGATTAGATATAGTTAAGACTTTGCTTGAAGCAGGAGCAAATGTTAATGCATATATATGTGTTAAGGGTACACCTCTACATATGGCATCTCACTATGGCTTTTTAGAGTTGGTAGACGTTTTACTAAAAGCAAAATCCAATGTTAATGCTAAATGTGTTAAAATGCTTACATCTCTGCATTTAGCAGCAGAATCTAATCACTTTGGAGTAGTTAAGTCTCTTCTTCTCATAAAGGAAATTGATGTTAATGCTAGAGACTGCAATGATTCCACAGCTTTACATATGAGTTCTTATAAGGGTCACTTAGAAGTAGTAAAGCTACTGATAGAAAAGAAAGCCAATGTTAATGCTAAAAAGTACGAAGGGTTTACACCTTTACATCTAGCAATTCAGCAAAGTCATTTCCCAGATAGCACACAACGTCTTGAAGATGTCTTTTGTATGTCTGTATTATGCCTGAACGTCTGAAGATCTAAAAAAGACGTCTAAAAGATGTCTTTTGATAGACGTCTTAAAGATATCTTCATTTAATGTCCTAAAGACATCTTATAAACGCCTGATAACGCCGCTTATTTTTTTTCATTTTTTTTGTAAAATATCAACCACTTAAGACAGCAAACAAAGTCTTGAAGATCTAAAGATCTAAAAAAGACGTCTGAAAGACGTCTTTTATAGACGTCTTAAAGATATCTTTTTCTGTTCTCAAGACATCTTATAAATGCCTGATACCGCGGTTTTTTTTATTTTTTTGATAAAATAGTAAATGTTGACAAATCAAAATCGAAATTATATCCCATAATCAGCGACTTCATTGTAATAGAAATAACTTTAATGTAGGATTTTGAGTTTTGACAACGATTATGGGTAGGGTAACTGAATAAATATATATCTGACATTTTTGTTGATTGGTTATTTTTCCTACAATTAATAATATCCATTTTATAATAAACCATTATAAACTAACATGTTTTTTAAAAATTAAGTATTAAGACAAAATAACCTTAAAATAACCCAACGAACGTTTTTAAATCAAATTACCCGCACATTTCCCATAATGCAATGAAATCATAAGTCACGCCATGAGATCCTTATGCTTTCCTTTTCTATTTCACCAAGCGCTGATATGTCTGCCTCTTTTCAATTCTGAAATAACTCGTACCCACAATCCAATGTGGATTGTGCTCGCAGTACGAGCCTTGTACCTAACTATAAATGCAGATTGCAAACATCAGACGCCATTTTTGCGCTTACGTCAAATTTGGTTAAATAGCTAATCGTGGCGGTTTTTCGTTCTCGTTCGACGTTTAACTTAAGTGACAAGTAAAAGCAGTGTGCAGTGTTGTAACAACACTGTTTTTGGATTGTTTTTGTGAATTTGCTGTGGTTTAATATACTCAAGAGGGAAAATTATTCAGGTAATTTAAAAAAATTTTCTTGTGTGCTTAAAATGAAGCGTACATCTCTCAATAAATATTATATGCGTGCAAAGAGGGCCGCCAATTTAAAAAGACCCTCACTAGAAGATATAGAAAAGCATGTTTTACATTCTCCCGCCATAGTGTCTAACGGTGAGTGCTGCACTTTCACTATACCTAGTGACTCGCCGTCTGATGTTGAGCAGCGAGTTGAGCAGGATTCTTCCAACATTTCTATTCCAAATATCGAAGGAACCTCGAAAGGTCTAGGAAAAGACACCAAAGAGGTGGAAGTTGCCATACGTATGGCAACTTCCACCTCTTTGGTGTCTTTTCCTGTACAGGCTTGGTTAATAAGGGCTTCAGACAGAAGGCTTCTTCTTGCCAAGAAGTTTTGACTCGATTTAGGCAGAAATAAATATGTAATAATTTAATTTTTGTTTTATTTTAAATAGAAGTACCTATACGTTATTTTTAGAAGTTAAAAAGCATTATTAGCTACATTTTAATTACTTAATAGTATTAAGTTAACACATTAGAAACGTTTTGGCGATGTAGCAATGCATAACCAAAACGTTTTCAATAGGTAGTCTTTAACATCTTAAAGACGTCTTAACGACGTTTAGCCACGACTTAATAATGCCGTTAAAAAGACATCTTAAAGACGGTGTGTTTTGTAACATTAGATATCTTAAAGACGTCTTAAAGATGACTTACGTCGTAAACTGGACGTCTTAAAGATGTCATGAACGTCCGAGTCCGACATCTTTAAGATATCTTTAAGATGTCTCTGTGCTATCTGGGTTTG